TAAAACTCGATTGTATCTGAATGCAGTTGTATTTGCTGCCTATATATTAATATAGGAACATGCAGGGACGATTCTATTGTGGATGGTTCCGCAGTTTATGAGCACACATACTGAGGCTAAGGTTATTACTATGGAGCAGCGCCAAGGATAGTATTAGGGGAAGGCTGGCGATCGGGACATGCAGGAATTTCTTGAGGAATCAATATTTTAGTGAAACAGAAAGAAAGAACGTCCACTGAAGAAAATTATTTAAAACGACTGAAACCGTAAAGAAGCTTTGTGGCCCCATCCCTGGTTTTTAGGTGGCATGTTAGCTGTTTTACTTACAACTGGGTCCTGTGAAAAACTACGTCATGATTTCAGCTAATTTTAGGGCTGATGTCGCTAGTTTTGTGTTCTTGATGGATATCCTGTTACTTCGTAAGCAGAGGGGAATTGACGAATATACTTTTTTGGAACAGCTCGTTCAGGAATATCTTCAAATAGAACCAAAGAACAAAAGAGGAGAGGAGAGATTGGCGATAGTCACAAGAGGCGACCTCGTCCTCTCGTAATCACCAGAAGAAAGCACAAAGAAAAAAGTGGTTGGCCACTATAAAACTTGAGACAGAAGAAGGGTTGTACACAGAAGTGAGAACTGTGGTCGGCCTTCTTCGCGTACAGTTTGGTGAGGCAACAGGAAGCACCTTCTTTTTTGAAACAATGAGTCCTTTGGATAGTCAGATTGGGTCAATCGAGTTCCTTCCATACTATTCACAGACTTAGCAACTCTCAAGTTTCTTAATCTAATTTTTTGTCAAGTTACGATTTCCAAAGCACTGGAAAAGCTTCGGGGTATGCTTACGATGGTGAGGAATTGGCTGCGGAGTGGCTTGTTCTGCTATGTTGTGGTTGCTCTTGGGCAGGTTGAGGGGAACAGAGGTTGAAGGCAATTAGCATGAAGGGCTTGAAGAGGACACGTCGAAGACTTATTCCTAGAGGCATTTCGGTGGTCTTCCACAGTTCATCTTTGGGAGTAATGGAAGGGGGCTAGCCCTAAATGGATTGATCTGATTCTTTGTGATGAAGTGCTATAATGATCTAAGGGGCAATTATATCATCCAACAGCTCTGACCTCATCCTTTGGTGTTGGAAAATAATTACAGCTCTCACCTATATTTGGGAATGCGTTTTTTCTTGTTATACCTTCTACAACTGATTGATGATATGAGATTGGTGACGTTGACGCCCCGAGCAGGAGATCAATGAAGATGACGAGGAGGAGGGACGCCCCAGAGCAGGAGATAAATGAAGATGCCAAGGAGGAGGACAAACAACACCTTAGTAGTGGTAGTGTGGACTTCGGAATCCACCAAAGCGCTCAAGAAGTGTAGTTACAAAAACGGTGATTGTGCCGTTGGTGAGCTGATTTTGCTTCTCTGCAATTTCCCGGTGGGTTTAGGGATGTAAATACGCATTGTGAATCTGGGAGATGGTTTTCTCTTCTCGTTCCCGGTTAATTGTGGGAAGATAGTGGCAACCGGTACCGAGATGATCGGTTTTCCCACCTCATTGGTTCGGCGCACGGTTTTTGAATTTCTTCAAAACCAGTGTTCATGGTTAGGCCGCACGGGTTTTGGCATCAAAAAACCAACCAAACCAAACCGAGCCCACCTAATATATATATATAGTATATAGTAGAAATAAAAAAGAAAATTGATTAGAAATTAGTTTGAATCACACTCTTTAAAATATATCATTATACTTTCCTTTTAAAGTATCTCTGCGAAAATACCCTGGATGCATATTTAGCCTTGGAAAAGTAGAGGTGACTTATGGTTCCCCTCTCAGAAAGGGAATGAGTGCTCCCAAAACCATTATTGAGGCGGGGAGTGCGGATAATATTCAGTCGATGGTAAGGAAGTGAGGGAGGGGGTTATTTGAAAGCAAAATCTGCAAGTCTAACAAAAACTAATTAAATTAGTCCCTCTTCTCTGCAAAACGAAGATGAATTAGCCAAAAATCATAGCAATGAAAACTATAATGCAAAGGAAGATGCACCTGTGAGTGTGAATGTTTATCTGTGGGGTGTGTGTGTGTGTGTGAGAGAAGAGAGAGAGCTGAGTAGAGAGAGAGAGAGAGAGAGAGAGAGATGAGGAGCAGAAGGAGGGAGGAGAAGATGCACTCTGAGAAAACTTCGGCCAAACTAAGTTTGTTTAGGCAGTGTGGAAGAGGCGAGGAGAGAAAAACTTATAAATCTAGTAAGCGACCATTGTAATAGCAACCAAGAAGAGACAGAATTCCTCTTTTTTTCTTTGCTGTTTTTAATGAAAAGAGAAGGAAGCACGTTCTCTTCTGTTTCTCATTTTTGATATAAAAAAAGACGAAGACTGTTTCTTAATGAAAAAGAAAAAAGACGAAGACTAATTTCGACTATTTAAAATAAAAAAAAAACAGAAACCAGGTGAATTGAAAGTCTTTGAATAGTTGGTCGAAATAAAGAAAGAAACACCATTACAGTAAACGAATTTAAGAAGAGAGTTGTACGACCAAGTAGTTAACAATACAAGGGTGACGAAATTATTTTATTGATTTTTCTAATAACTAGAGTTGCATTTTCTAAGACAAGCTAAGTTGTTACATCCGATCCTTTTGAACAACACTTATAAATGATCACTCAAGTTTGAAAATAAACAGATGGTCTCATCTAAGGTGCTTATTTCGCTTTTGAATATTTTAATTTCTGCATCTTTTAAGGTGGAAATATATTTGAAAGTAATAATGTGTGAAAAATGCGTACTCAGAGAGAGAAGAGAGAGAGAACAACGGAAAGTTGGTTTCAGAAGGGTGGGGCTAGGGGAGAGAAACCATTTGAAGATTGGAAAGGAAGGCCGCCTTTAAAAATTGCATAGAAACCAATAAGAACGTGCTCGTTTTTGTTCTTTGGAGAAATGACAAAGAAGAGGAATACTACGTTTCTAACAAGGAAAGGAAACAGAAAGACAAGGTTTTGCAAAGTTAATCATGTTCTTCCCGTCCGTTAGTCCGTAGGAAAAAAAAAAAATGGGGCCCAACTCCATATAAGCAACAGGTCAACTACAAGGTGGTAAAACGTGTTTGTCGTTCAGACATGCAACGCTTCCGAAACAAAAAAAAGGCGCGAACAGCCAACAGGGGCTGGCGATGCATAATATAATAATATAACATACCATTGCAAACGCTTTCCGAAACAAAAAAGGCAAAGAGGGCGGAAACTCCCTGCATCTTATCAAACCTTTTTGGTCGAAATCATGCCTCATGCAATGAACGCTCCAAAGGCGTGTGGGGGGGGAGGGGGGGGCGGCGGGGAGAGCACCATAGTATAAATAAGGAAAACAAAACGGAGGAGGCTCAATAGATCCGTACTCCCCTCACCTTCACCTCATCTATTTCTCTCCTTTTCTCTATATTCCCCCAAAAAAAAAAAAAAAAAAAAAAAAAAAAAAAAAAAAAAAAAAAAAAAAAAAAAAAAAAAAAAAAAAAAAAAAAAAAAAAAAAAAAAAAAAAAAAAAAAAAAAAAAAAAAAAAAAAAAAAAAAAAAAAAAAAAAAAAAAAAAAAAAAAAAAAAAAAAAAAAAAAAAAAAAAAAAAAAAAAAAAAAAAAAAAAAAAAAAAAAAAAAAAAAAAAAAAAAAAAAAAAAAAAAAAAAAAAAAAAAAAAAAAAAAAAAAAAAAAAAAAAAAAAAAAAAAAAAAAAAAAAAAAAAAAAAAAAAAAAAAAAAAAAAAAAAAAAAAAAAAAAAAAAAAAAAAAAAAAAAAAAAAAAAAAAAAAAAAAAAAAAAAAAAAAAAAAAAAAAAAAAAAAAAAGGGCACTGCCTTGTTAAAATTGAATGTCCATGGACAAACATGCCTTAAGGGTACAACTTCAGGGTACCAAACTGAAATTAACCCTTATTACTATCATGATTATTTGGGTTTTATTCTTTAACTTATTTATAAGTGATTGGTTTGGTTAGAAATTGAGGTAACTTTTGGGTGGGTTAATGTTGAGTAATTTGACACATTAATTAAACAGGTAGCATTAGGATTTACTGGTAGTCTACTGCACAAACATGAAATGACACAGCACCTTAACACCAATTACGACCCCTAAGGTCAACCCTATGATGTTAGGAAGTTGAAATTGTCAGTTAGTACTTTAGTATTTTGACTTAACTTGTATGTCTCTGTATATATACACGCATATTTTCTCAAACAAAAGTATGTTTGTGTTTCTTTTTTTTTTTTTTTTTTTTTTTTTTTTCAGTATATTGGGTCCAAGGAAACTGATCAGAAGGCTGATAAGGTTTCAAAGTTGGGGATATTAGATTTTTGGACTCCAGAGAATCACTATCGGTGGTCAGTATCTAGATACGGTGGTCATGTTTCTGGAAGCGTAGAACCAGTGAAACGTTCTCAACTATTTTTGTGTGGTATCTTTCTACTAACCTTTTTTTATCTATTAACACAATCCAAAAATTTCACTGGTAAAACTTTGAGGTCTCAATTCTCACTTTCAGGTTTGGAGACTGGGGAAGTTGAGTCACTGAAATCCAAAAGAATGGAGCTTCAAGAATATGTTACTGCTTTACAGGAAAGCATTAGATCGCTTCAGATTGAAGAAAGACAAGCAGAAGAGGAAGCAGCTAAACTTCAGAAACAGAGGGTAATCACATTAATGTTATTATTAATAACCTATACAGTAATACTGCCTATAATTTAATCTTTCTTGTACAAGCGTTTTGTGGGGAGGGAAGAACATCTCGGTATAGTCTTCAATCTTTTATTAACTAAGTTCGGTTAGGCATGCAATTCCTTCACTTATGCAGAATATCATAATATATTTTTTTAGGAGGGGATTATCAGAATTGTACAGGATGAGAAGAAAAAACGGCGTGAAATGGAAAACCGTATTGGTAAGTATAATGATTTAGAAATTTGCTATTTGAGAAGCTTTAAAATTCATTTATTTTTTTTATTTTGGAATGTACTGTGGTGATTTTAGTACAAAGGAGAAGGAAATTAGAATCTATGGAGAAAGAGGATGACTGGATACTGTTATGGCAAAGCTCAATGAACAAGCTGCAAAACATAACATTGACCGATTCCATTCTGTGATCGAAATTAAGGTCAGGTTTTGGTCAAACTTTCGTTATGATATTCTGATGGTGACAAGATTTAAATCTAAATAATCCATACACTAATGTTTGGCACAGAAATAAGGATTTCAGGATTTGGTTACTTCATTCTTTAACTTTTCTGTCTATTTTTCAGTGTCTGCTTGCTGAGGCTGTTTCTTTAAAACAGAGTTTTGCTGAAAAACACATGAGGGTCATTGAGTTTGATGCAAAGGTAATTTCTATGATGGTCCAGAACATGCTGTTTTGAGCCCGCCCTTGTTTCCTACATGCTGCGTTTACCTATTTACAAATTTTACAAATTAAGTTTACCTGAAAGTACCATTTGTGAATATGAGTTGTGATTTTTTTTTTTTTTTTTTTTTTTTTTTTTTTTTTTTTTTTTTTTCTTTTCTTCCTCTCTTTACAATTTAACAACTGAAGGAACTATTATCTATTTGTGCAGTAGATGTGCGTTATTTTCTGTTTCCTGAGAAATAGATTTTGTCATATGTTGGCTTACTAGTCCGTTGTTATCTCAGCTTTTGTAAGAGAAACTATCAAGTTTTTATGGATATCCTTTGCATCCAGAAATATACTAATAGCTGCTGCCAGTTCATAGTTGGGCTTGCGTTACCATGTTGACAACTTTGAATACTTTTCTTCTGGGTTGATTTGCTTTAGATACCTGTATTTTGTTCTTTCATATGGCAGGAAAGGGGTATGTGTGTGGTTTAATTGTTGATGATGATTCGGGGTGAGTGCAAAAATGTTGTTTGGATCCTTGACAAATGTAGGAAGGATATATGAGATCCAGAAGTGGGCTTTGGCATGAATTTCGATAGGATATATTTTTCCGGACTTCTTTTATGAGTTTTGAAAGTTGTGGTAATGTAGACACCATCTTTGTAGTATTCTTCTGTCATGTTGGCTTGGATCCTCTTGTAGTGTTCCAACGAAACAAGGCTTCTTGCTCATTTTGTTCAGGCAATCTGTTACACAATGTTTCTTAAACTCAAGATATTTATATTGCATGGCTATTTAAATGCAAGGTAAATTAGTCTCTCCATCTTTCTCCACAAGTAGGCATGGGAAGTCTATTAAAATTCAATCATAAAACTAAAGTGAATGTATTTTTTAATGTTTTACTTTTTTTTATAGGTAGGATGTAAAAATGAGTGGATTTGTTTTTTCCCTTGAAGTTTTAGGGCCTGAGTAGTTCAAATATTTGTTTTTTCAAGCAAAAAAAGTTTCCTCGTATTGTTCTAATGAATTATTTCTTTGCTTGATTAAATATCTTTAGATGTCATGTTTCTGTTGTTGTAAGGTTATTATTATACAATATTGCATTATACATATATTTTCAGTCTAATTACTTGATATGTGCTTGTTTCTCATTTGTTAGATTAAAGAAATGGAGGTCAATATCAAGCAGCATGACAAAGTTGCTCTTCAAGCAGCCTTGCATCTTGAGGAGTGTGAGTAGCTTTTCATTTTTCTTTGAGACTCGTCCAGCGCTAGAACTTGGTTTAAACTGTTTGATCTGTGCATAACTTTGGTTTTACTTTTGTTATTGTGTTGTAAAGTAATTTACTGTATGAATGACAAAAAAACATAATTTAGGAAATGCTGCTTATTACCATTTGCTTCTTGTCCAGGTAAGAAGGCAGTAGAGGATTTCCGACAGCAACTTGAAGTTGCCAAGAAGAATGCAGAATTAATTGCCAGGATCACTCCAGAACTAGAGAAGGCATTTGTTGAGGGTTTTTATAATAATGAGTTAACTAGACATGAAAGATATCTGAATATGTGCATTGAATGAGTATGAGTATGATGAGTTAATTGATTTGATGTAACGAAAAAAAAAAAAAAAAAAAAAAAAAAAAAAAAAAAAAAAAAAAAAAAAAAAATCAATTGTAAAAACAAAAAAAAAAAAAAAAGTGTGGGGTTCAAAGTTTTTGTTACTAAAAAACCCCCCAAACTTTTATGTCAGGTGCTCAGTCATTACCTGTTTTGTGGCATCCAATGCTTAGAATTTCCAGTAGGTCATTCTTCAGGATATTGAAATATATCAGAATGACAACATATACATCTGTGTATATATGTTTATTGTGAAAATACATATGGAGTAGGAAGCCATATTTGGATCTGTAAAAGTTGTATGAAAGCAAGTATCAAAACATGGAGCCAAGTGGAATTTGGACAGAGGCCTCAGTGTTTGCACTTCATATTATGCTTATAGTATTTATGTTCCTTGCATATGAGCATGGACCTAATGGGCAACCCATATAAAACATCTTATCTTCTGTCTTCTGTCTTTTGTCTTGTCTTTCCCCTCTTTCCGGGCTTATTATGTTATTCAAATTTAACTATTTATTGCTTCTAATCATATGAGTAATGTGACATAATATCTTATATTTTTATGTCTAGATGCCCACTACAATTGAAGAACTGGAGGCTGCTATACAGGAAAATATTTCTCAAGCTAATTCTATTCTTTTCCTAAATCACAATATTCTGAAAGAATATGAAGACCGCCAGCGCCAGGTAATTTTCTGCCATCTTTGCTAGTTTTTCCTTTTCTTTTCTTGTTTCTTCTTAACTTCCTCACCGGAAATTGCAATTATATTGCAGATAGAAGATAAGGCAAAAAAGTTGGAAGCAGATAAAGCAGAGCTTAGGGGATGTATAGCTGAAGTAGATAATCTTAAGGTGAGTGGAGCCTTTTTTTTGGGTCAAATCAGAGGTTAGTGAAGCTTGGGTGTTACCTTAATGAGTGTTTTGTGAAGTTTCTGTTGGTCTCCTAGATGAACACCTGACAATAAATTTTGGCCATTTGATCTCACACTGTAACCACTCTACCCAGAGTCACCACAATGTACTGCTCCTTAATGAATTATAATCTCTAGTCAATTGATCCAATCCAGAATCTCCTTGTAAACATCCCTTATTGCCACTTCTAAAAGGAAATATGATGGATGCTAATCATATAAAAAGTAATTGAAATATTCTTTCACATTTAAACTTCTCAAGAAGCAGTCCATAACGTTTATTTAACACGACACCTACTGTTCATGTTTATGGCTAAATGCGTATCGCATTTGCGCATTAGCTTGTATGCAGTTTACATCCTCCATTGAAATTGCGGTTCTTTTGTGCTGCCACAATTTAGTAGTTGCAACAAACAACAAATTCCAAAGGCATTGAGCAAATTTTCACATTTCCAGTCCTCACTTGTATTACCAAGATGGTCAAGTTGAATAACTTTTTAGATCAACAGTGGTAATGAAGGGTTTTAATCTAAACATCAGTGTCAAAGTACTTTTGTATTCTTCCCCCACAAACAACCCACCCTGGCCCCCCCCCCTCCCTCCCTCTCCTCCTTTTTCTCTGTTTCATGTTGAATGTTTCTGTGCATATTTGCCTACTTCATCAGTATATTTCTAATGTGGATATTTTTTTTTAGTGTCCTAATTTTAAATTATTTGTAGGAAACTTGGCTTCCAACATTAAGAAACCTTGTTGCTCAGATAAATGAGACTTTCAGTTGGAACTTCCAAGAAATGGCTGTTGCAGGGGAAGTTTCATTGGGTACCTCAGTATTACAATTTCTAGAAAATGTCTTCTTTTTTTGTGGAAGAAAATGTCTTTTATTATTTGTTTCATGACCCCCTTTTATTTAATGTTTCTTCTCAGATGAGCATGAAATGGACTTCGATCAATTTGGGATACTTATAAAAGTAAAATTCAGGTGACCTGCTGATATACTCTCATGGTGCTACTAGACATTTAAATTTGGAAGTTTAATTTATGAGAGTTATTTTTTTTATTTACTTAAATATAGAGAAGTGAAACCCCCCTTTTGAAAAATTTGTGAAGTTTGATGTGGGTGTCCAAAACTTAGCATCAGTTCAGTTATGAATTACTTTTTCGAGAAAAAGAAACTAATTCTGAAACTTTTTTGTAAGAATTTGGAAAGTGGATAGTTTAGATAGTGTTTGAAGGATATATAAAAACTTAACCTTAGGGCACCAACTAGCTTGTTAGAGGTATTTAAGTGCCACTAACTGCCTGCTTTTCTTTTCCAATCCAGTTCATTTTATACATATAGTATAGATATCCTGCTTAAATGAAATTCTACCATAGGAAATAATAGCTGGATTTTAACTTTCTGCTATTCCACTATGATGCTATGAATTCACAGCTTTTGATTTGTTATGTGAAATTCTGGTTAATACGTATCTACTGCACACAAATTTGTTTTGACTTTATGGTCATCAGACAAGCAGGGCAGCTACAAGTTCTCAGTGCCCACCATCAATCTGGAGGGGTATTACACTAACTATTCTTGAGTTCTTGATTCAAATACAACAGTTTTACCTTATTGTGCCTCAAACTTCCCATTTTGTAGGAGCGTTCAGTTTCAACTATACTTTATCTTGTTTCTCTTCAAGACCTTACAAATTGCCCATTTAGGGTGGTTGATGAGATAAATCAAGGTTGGTTGCACAACAGATTGCTTTTTGCTCTTTCTTTCCTCACATCAAGTTCCATCTATCTCAGAAAAAATCATTGCGGCATTTAATATTTTCTCAGGGATGGATCCTATAAATGAGAGAAAGATGTTCCAGCAATTAGTAAGAGCAGCATCCCAACCAAATACACCACAGTAAGAGCACTATGCATAATTTGCCATAGTTATCTGTCTATTTTTTTGGTGCCTGCGTTCTCTCTATTTTGATCTGTTTTAGAAGGTGCAAAATAACAAAATGGGAACAAGAATGAAACTTCTTGTACAAGTATTGGGTGCTATAATCACCAACCTTTCGTATGTAATAGCGCTCTGTTGTAGTCTGTCTCTCAGTGTGTACATCACATTTACCTGCTCCTTAAATGGTGTTGCTGTTTGCACCTGAATGCTGAGGGATAACCTATCATTTACATGGTACATAATTTAGGTTAACAACACAGTTTCTGCTTCTAATGTGAGCGAAAGAATTGCAAGATTGTGTAAGCAATGACGCAATTGAGAATATATGACTCCGTATAAGTTGGAGTTGACAAAGCGCATTCTGCTTCTCGTATGCCTGACTTCCCAATTGTAAAAAGTGACTTAAGTTTTGGTTTCTGTGCCATGTTGTTCAGATGCTTCTTGCTTACCCCAAAGTTGCTACCAGATCTGGATTACAGTGAAGCATGCAGCATTTTGAACATAATGAATGGCCCCTGGATCAAGCAGCCAGCAAAAGGTGAAAACATCACTCGAGAGTTAACAGTCAGTATTGTCTATTAATATGTTGAAACTTATCAACTACTCACCAAAAATTCTTTCTTTTTTGTTAATTCAGTCTGGAGCCAGGGTGATTGCTGGGGAAATGTCATAGGCTTAGTAGGAAAAAGCCAATGCTGAAAATAACAATTACCCTTTGAAATGGGGAGCAATCAGGAATTTTTTTCGAAAATGATCAACCCTGTGTAAATTGTTTCTACCCTTTGTACAGATGATTTTCACAAATGTCTTATCGTGGTTGCTCGGAGGAGGCTCTATGGCTGTTCATAGGGAGTGCCTTGTATTTGTGCAGTAAGGATTAGATTTAGGCATAAGCAAAACCAAAAAGCATTATATTTTGGAGGCGTGATGGTTCGTTTATGCTTCTATCGATGGTCAATGAATATCCAGTATCTTGTTTGTGTAACATAAATAAACGTTTGATATTTCAAGCCTCATGATGTTTCCATTTCATTACTTCTACATAACTTGCATGGTTATCCGTTGGAGTAACAAGCTTTCCCCGTTTCTATCACACTGGTATTGTTTGAAGAGGCCGAGCTGTGATTTGGAAGAGAATAATCCTGTGTTGAAATTCAAGTTAATGTCTGAAAATTAACTCACTAAAATCAAGGCAGTTGGTGTAAAAAATACTCATTTAAAATTTCTATTTTTGGAGAATCGTAAACGTTAAGGACCATTTTATTTATTAATTAATCAAGGTAGAACTGGTGGCTGTTAAAAACAGGTAGAAATCCGAACAGTTTTACCCTTGGTTAACAGAACAGTTTGGTCACAAGGAGGGCCTACAGCTTGAGGAAGAGAAACACTAATCTTGGTTAACAGAAAATTACCTTGTTTACTAATCTTGTTCTACTATGATATGATATAATTATTTATTGCAATTTGCAAAAATTAAACGTACAAGGACCATAGTTGCACTTGAATCTTGATCCACTATTAAAGGGGGTGATGTACACGTTAAACAATAGAGTAAATTGGAGCACTAGTCCCTGAATTAAAATATTTTTTCCCCTATTTTTTTTATTTTTAATAAAAGCGATATTTAGAGAGTGGGAAATCAAACCTACGACCTTGAATGCATTACAATCTACAAAACAAACCCCTTCACCTTGAATTAGATTCTTTAATTCAAAAGTGCACAAACCTTTTAAATTCTTTAATCCGTCAATGTGCTTAACATGCCCAAACTAATCTCCTTTTTCAACAAATTAATATAGGGTATTTCGCAGCAATGGTCCCTCAACTATACCCGTATTTGCATTTGGGTCACTAAACTCAATTATTAGTTGCAGAGGTCACTCAACTAGGTGTTTTGTTGCACCATTAATCCTTCCATCAAGTTTGTGACTTTTTCCATTAAAAATGAGGGTAAATTTGAAAATTCACTCACAACCCTCATTTTCCTCCACAATCCTCCATTGCCGCAACCTGATATTTTTCATCTCTCTGGTTCTTTTGTACTTCACACCTTCTCTGTACACTTTCCCAGCTAGGCTCAATCATGGTTTTCTGTTGAATTTTGGGTTTGTTTTCACTATGATCTATGCCTTGTTTTATGTCTGCTTGGATAAGAAAGCTGGATCTTTGGTTGCTTTGCTTTGTGTTCTTTGTTGGGTTGGAGCCAGTTTGCTTGCTGGTCGCCTTGGATTTTCTTTGGAGTTACCTTCGAAGGCGGAGACAATATCGTCGCTATCGATCTCGGGTAAGACCTACTCCTTGCTCCAGACGCCGGAGCCTTAGGGCCAGGTGGTCTTGCCGACGCAGGAGTCGAAGAGGTCGCGCCAATTTTTGCCATCGTAGTTCTTGAGGGCAGCCATGTCTTGCTAGAAGTCGAGGAGGCCGCTGGAGTTGGATCGGTAGATGATCTCATCGAGGGAGTAGGACTCGGAGTCGACGGCGACAGTAGAGGAAGGGTTGGTGTTGAAGGGGACGTAGTGGGCAGAGAAATGGTGGGTGTGAGTTGTGTTGTGATAGTGAGCTCCATCGTGACTGTTGCGACAATGGAGGATTGTGGAGGAAGGGGAGGATTGTGAATGAATTTCCGAATTTACCCTCATTTTTTACAGAAAATTTAACAGAGTTTGACGGAAGGACTAATGGTGCAACAAAACACCTAGTTGAGTGACATCTGCAACTAATAATTGAGTTCAATGACCCAAATGCAAATACCGATATAGTTGAGGGACTATTGCTGCGAAAAACTCAATTAATATAAGGGGAAAACAGCACTGCGTAGCGGGCAAATTGGAGACACCCCCTTTCTTCCAACCATGGAGAATTTCCGCAGCCCAAGAACTGAGCATACACGACAGTAAAATCTCCCTCATTGACAAAAAATAAATAAAAAATCGAAAGTGAAGAGTTGATAATATTGATCACAAATTAATACATGGCCTTTCTCACTCTCACTCAGGGTAGATGAGACTGTAATATGCTCTCTTTATGGGGGACAGTCTCAACCAAGATACAACATCAAGGTCACCCTCTCTCTCTCTCACACTTCATCCCCTTACTCTCCTACCATCTTTACTAACTACATTCGCAAAAGTTTTGACAGTGGCACCTAAGAGGCTGAATGAACAATTTAAAGACAGCATGTACAGGTGTTAGTATTCTTCAATTTGTTGGAAGCTTGAAATCAAGCATCTCCCTTATATTTAACCGAATCGAAGGACCCATTGATGAGCAAATATGTGCACTTTTCCAGTAAACACCTTTCGCACCTGGTGGCTTATTTGTTTCTACCGATTTCTGTCAGGTAAAGCATAAGTAAAATTAAATTTCATAGTAAGTGGATTGCAATTCCAACAGCAATGGATATTGGGAATTAAGGAGAAGAATATACCACTGCGGCAAGCAAGTTTATGAGAAGGTCTTCTTCAGGAAAGTCAGCTTTTTCCAAAACGTAAATGAACTATACCAGTTTTATCTGCTCTGTATTCAACTTTCCCCTGCTTGAATTCTGCTATGGCCTGAAACAGAGAATATGATAAGGTCATTTTATACAGTAGCTAGGAACCAGTTAAATGTTCAGGGCTAGAAAGAATATCCCACAAGTGCAGAAAGAAACTAAAACATTGAAATCCAAATCATACCTGAGGTATATTAGGAGTGACAGTACCAGCTTTCGGATTTGGCATGAGCCCTCGTGGTCCTAGAATCTTTCCTAGGCTAGCGACCTTTGACAAACATCAAAGACGATAAAATGTAACCGAATATCATAATTTCCAGCCATTATCAAGCACAGATACAGCATATACAAAATAGAAAGTAAAAAATTGTGAAAGTTAAGAAAGCTGAAGACACCAGCTAGTCTAACGGAAGTCACCTTTTTCACTCCACAAGAACAAGTCACAAGGAAAAGCAGGCAGCACATATTGCTTTTCCTTTCTTACTTTTAATTATTTAGTTTTGTGGCACGGGTGTCTGATTATGAGACGTATTTTGATGCCAATTTTTTATTCTTAATTTCACTTCTGAATAACATGAACTTTACTACATCAATACAAATTAACATTATGACAGGCATTGTATTATTGTCCTCAAATGCATAAGCAACAAGTGAGAGCATTGTATGCTACAAATGTACAAGGCATTGTAGGGGTGGGGGTGGGATGGCGGGGGACATCACAAGATTTTGCACAAAAATAAACATGGATACTAAATACAACCAAACAATATTCGTCAGCATTTTATCATGCACATCAGGATTTAGATTTCAACTGACTAGTTTCTTTTTCTGCTGCAAAACTAGTCCTTATCATTTCAATCATAAACCCTAATTTTGTTGACCAAAAATCAAAAAAGACCATAGTATTTTAGCTTTTACTCGACGTCCAGATGCCTACTGTATGTTATAAAAATCAAAATGATTACCATACTTCATTGTCAAATAGAGATTGTTATATATATATATATATATATATATATATATATATATATATTGATTAGACAAAATAATGAAGGCAACACCTTGGGCATCATATCTGGTGAAGCAATTAACTTGTCAAATTCCATGAATCCTTCTTTTATCTGTTGTATCAAATCATCTCCACCAACCAAATCTGCTCCAGCATTTTTTGCTTCATCAAACCTTTCACCTGTAGATATTAAAGAAGATAACCTGTGACAAGAAATACTATGAAAACCCAAAAACCTTTCATTTTAAAATTATTGCAACTCACAGGAGCCCCGAGTGCACCTGCACACATGGATGCTTGTGATATAAAATGAGCTTGAGGGGGAGCAAAAAAGCTTAAGGAAGAAGAATATTTTTGAACAATATGAAAGGAAAAATATGAGAACCCAAACATTTGAAACTTTTAGATAAAGTATAAGGCGTACTAATCTTAGTATCATTCAAAAAACTACAGCACATGTCTATTGAGGTTAATCTATGCCAGCTAATAATGAAACACCTAAGGTGCAATTTTGTAGATATAACACATTTTTCATACAGGATTAAATCTACAGAAACCATATATCTGTATTTATATAAAATTAAATACAAACAAGCCAACGTGAAAAATTAACAAGCAACAGAACTGGAGCCAATTATAAGCTAAAGCAAGAAAGTGCAACATCTCCAACATCCTCAGTAACTACTTCCATTTTTTTCTTAAAAGAGGTGAGAAAAATCTTACAATTCCTAAGAGTAAATTTTAACCTCTTTTGGACCAAATGACTAAGAGATTGCCATGCCATCAGAGATATAAAAAAAAGAATACGATAAATTGACTTAAAGAAAAAATATTATGAACAGGCCTTACAAGAGAAATGATAATGCTCCAATCCAATTTGAATTTCGAAGAGTGTGATACACTATTTAGAAACCGACAGGTATAGGAAATTCACCAAGATTAGTGGCAGAAAAAGTCCCATTAATCATTTCAAGACCAGATCATTGAAGAAATGGGAATACTATACCCCCTCCAACTAATTCATTTGCACAAAGTCCCCTTCACAGAAGATGAAAACCATTTAGAGATGCCTAGATTCAGCCAAGCAAGCATTTCTTCTGTTCTTTTCAACCAAGGTAAAAGCATAATGAAAATAAAACCCCACTCAGTAAAGGTGTTACTTGTTCTTGCCTTGTAGGATTAATTGACAGAACAATTTACCTATAGAGAATTCAGATAGCAGTTTCAAGAATAACAGATCTAGCTAATACATGCTAATGCGGAAATTGTTTGCATAGTTATGCTCCTCTACTTTTCATGCTCTAGGTTGAAATTTCCAACTTGTATCCTCAGTAAGTTCAACCACATCTCCTTAGCTCATACTAAACGACAGATATATTTACTTTTTATCCATTAAGGACAATAGTACAAAGAGAAATTGAGAGAGTAACTACCTTGAGTAAGAACAGCCACTTTAACAGTCTGTCCAGTTCCCTTGGGCAGGTTTACCTAGGACAAGAATTCCATAACACATGAAAGAAATAATGCACTGCTAAGCAGTTGATAAGCCTAAACATATTTCTAACTAACAAGATAAAAAAACTCACAGTTGCCCTTAGCTGTTGGTCATTATATTTTGGGTCAATATTGAGGCGGAAATGAGCTTCAGCAGTTTCTACAAATTTTGTATTGGTCATTTCTTTCAGTAAAGCTATTGCTGGCTGCAGCTCATACTCTTTTTTGGTTTCCCTCAATTTCTGAATTTCCAAGAATCTTTTGGACCTTGTCTGACATTTTGAACAGAAGACAATTGAGCGTTTGTATCAGTACTGACATCTTGGAAGAACGTAAAAACAGGACATTGCACGAATATAAATCAACTAAAACCAAATTACAAAAAATAACTTTAGGGGTTTCTTCAATCTTTAGAATCATACGAACAACAGAAAAACCATCAAACTTGAAGAATGTATGTATATATTTGTAGAACCAGTGTCTTTTTCAAGACAATAACGTGACCTTACTTTACTCAATCAATCCTTCTAGAATCTGAAGAAGCATAACTTACAAAAAGTTAGTGACTATATTTCCTTAAAGAATTCAACGAAGGGTTTTTCTGACACAATGTTTGAAGTGATAAGAAAGAAAAAACCCATTAATCCCATTTCTAAATGAATCGATATTCTTCAACAACAAAAAAATTAAAGGTAAAAGAACAATACAAGAATCACTGGGCATACTTTGCTTCGATAAAAATGCAATAACTTCTGAAATTTAAATCCTGGAGCCTTAATGAAGACACACAAACAAGATAACCAAAAATGAAAACAAATTTCGCCCCAAAAATTGGGGAAAAACCAAGCTGGCAGAAGATAATGACGAAATACTTACTCTGTCCCTCTTTAAAAGCAATGCAGCCTTCCCTTTCTTGGGCTTGGAACAGCAACGGTAACAGAACTATCGCCTTTTACTTCTTCATCGTCAGCCACATCCTCAGCCACCTCTGCCTCAGCAGTCAAAGCAGTCGCTGCGACAGGGTAAGTCTCAGACTTGGCTTCCTTTAACAAACTCAAATTGACCCACTTGCTTGGTCTTCTCTCTCTAGGCCTCAAAACCAGTGGGCAGAGACAAAAAGTTTTAAAGAGCGGCTTGGGCTTGAAGGAGACGAGCGAGGGAGTGAAGTCTTGTGGGTGCACAGAGGAGGAGGCGTACGTTAGCATGAGGGATGAGGGTGTGGTACTAGTAGCCATTGTTGGAGCTCTGTGTCTCTGCAAATGAAGCCTTTGGAAAATTGCTATCTATCCATATAAGTTCGAGATAAGAGGTGGCTTTATTGTCTACTATTTGATGGTAGACCATAGTTCCCATCCGCAATAATAAATTAAAACATGAATAAAATTGTTCCATTATTTTTTTCAAAAAGTAATTTAACAAAATTGGTTTTCTTTTCTTATTGACCAAAGATTTCTAATTTTTTCTAATTTTGCGGATATGGACTTAGCCAAAAATAAATATATAAACATTTGCCTTCTAATTTTTGGGGTTGAATTACTTGTGTTCTTGCCTTGCATAGATTTTGTTCTTATTAGTTTGTTTTTGGCCTATCTATCTCATGTTTTTAATTTCTCATTAACAGAATGGTAATGTGAATAATATGTGTGTAGTGTGCTACTTGTACAAGCGCTACTCGGTAGCCTACGCATGCTTGGCTAACTGTCGTTGGGCTTCTTCCCGTTTCGTGGTCAACTAGCGGTAGTCTTCTTTCAAATCAGTATTCTGGCCGTGCAGCTGATTGTTGTGCTCTTGGACCTTGGTCATGTCCACGCGCAATCGGTCGAGTTGAGCTTGTAAGTCGAACTCATTAGTCCTCTTCCTCATGGAGGATTCAGGATGAGGCGTGGCAAGTTGTGTGTCGAGGCTAGCATCACTCGACATCTAGATTCTAGGAGGTAAGGTGTCAAGGAGGCGAAACTGCCTAATGAGCGAGGAGTCCAGTATGGTTAGCAAAGGAGTGGGAAGTCAAGCAACGATTCCCATAAAAGTGCTAAATTGTTGATGTCCAAAATTGGATACAACTTCTAAAGGAATTGATCTTCGGATATCGTGCCTCAAGGATTCTTCGGTAGTTGTTGATACCAAATATCCATAGGGCCTGCCAAAAAGAGTGCAAGAAATAAAGGCCCAAATTACTTGAGTAGATAATGAAACCCAAAACCAACATTTACCTTACCCATGTCTAAGGAGGTCTAAGAATGGTAATAGAGGCCGAACAAACCCAGTTAAGGCCTACGCGGCCAAAAACCCATCACATAAAACCCTAACACCTCCCCTTAGAGGCCTGCATATAGGAATTGAAGCGCTTAAAAAAGCACACCAAATCTTCCACTAACGCTTGCTTTCCCAAAAGAGAGAGACACACATCAAACCACCACTTATCGCACACTTAGAAGATGCCATGACATCGGCGACTCCTTAATCCCACATTGAAAAAGGACAATAGAAAGGTCCAACTTCCTTATATAAAAAGGAGCACTTTCTGCCTAAAAAATGGTAACATGAGTCTCCTCCATACTTGATTACAGTACTTTTGGATAACCTTCGTTGTGGGAAAAGACTGACTTAGGCATCAGAGGGTGGTTGGTGGACCCACCACCACTTCTTCAGTGACCTTTTCATGTTTTTCTTTCAAGAAGAGCAACCAACAATGACCACTCCAAGAAGGGGCAAAAATATACAAAAGTGCAGCCTCAAAACCCAATATGTCCTTAAGGAAGAGTTAACTCAGTTCGACTCACTCTGATTAGTTGAGCGATTTTTATGCATCAACAACAATCAAAGTGTTATATGCGAAAAGGGAAGATCAGTTAGACATTGGTATTGGTGTGATACATGCTGAAGGCACTCTGATGCTTAAATCATCTTAAATTTGGTATTTGAGACAATTGTAGGTGAGTAATGACTAGGGTAAAAATTGGTTACCTCATGTCTTTGAAATAGTGCTCTATTTTTATTTATTTATAAGTAAAAGGGTATGTTTGCACATTTCTTCGATATGAGGCTCTTGTCAATCACTATTGTGGTGACACATGTTCTGAAGTCGACATGGCAACCTCATCGATTGTTGGAGGCATGTCTCTCTGCGTATATCGTCGGCATGTAGACTGCTGAGTAGTTGGGGGACAACCACTCGTGTCTTGGTTGATTCGTGCTACCGATCAATGAGGGGCAAATTATCCCCTTCCGATTGGTAGGTTCTTCTATCAGTCAGCTGAATAGAGGGTTTGTATAGTGACCCTTGTTGGGAGCTAATCCTTCAACACAATTGTTATGGTTAAACCTTCAACATGTGTCTTTTTAAGTACCCTGCCCATTTCCGATTTTAATTCTTTTGTTATTCATAAGGTTTCCAGAAGTATTTAAGCATACTTTACATGTGGTTAGGGTATGTTTTGTTATTTCAGTTTATCAAATAAACTTTGAGGTTTCCTCATGTCTTCCTAGTGGATTCCAAAATTATATGTTTTAGGCTAAAGTTTAGCCAATCAATTGTCATGATGCATCAATTGCTAAAAAATAAGGAAAAAAAAAGAAGAGAAGAAGCCAGCCACCACCAATACCACACTCAATACAACTGAATGGCGCCCATATAGCTTATAGCCAAGTAGCCTATTAGTCGGGGGGGGGGAGAGGGGGGAAAAAAAAAAAAAAAAAAAAAAAAAAAAAAACTTACTTTTTTTTTTAAAAAAAAAAAAAAAAAAAAGCATCAGTGCACATACCTCATTTTATTGGTGCTGTTTTAGTCAAAGCCTAAAAACATTGAACTAATTATAAGAGAATTCTTGAGAGAGTTAGCTGAGGCTGCTACATTGCAACAAATGTTTAATTGAAAACACATTGAACTTGAAATTTTAAAATTCCAAATTTAATACTTATTCTTATTTTCTTCTTTAAAGAATAAGTGCCATAAACTTTCAAGAGAAATGCTAACAGGATTTACTCAAAAGAGAATTCTTTACATGGACTTACTAATTTGACCCAGTTTACACGATAAATAATGGGATGACAACAACTCCAATGTGTGATTCTCTTTTGAGCAAATAATAAATTATAATTTCATTTTGGTCCACAAAAAAAGTCTTCAGAACATTCATCAAAACCAAAATAAATAAAAATAAATAAATAAAACACGAAGAAGACCAAGACCAGTTGGGGAGAGAGAGAGGGAGACCATATGTGAGGACAGGAAGACGCAGGAAGAGTCTGTTAAGGCTCGTGTGATCGATCATCTACTCCATTCTTCCACCCCCAACCAAATCACACCAACCCAATTCTCTGAATTAAATTCACACTTGCCCCTTCTCTTCTAACTTCAACATTCCCTCTCTGCTTCTTGAAAGAAAGAGAGAGGGAGGAACTGAAAGCAAGCAAGCAAGAACCAACAATGGCAGCAGTCACCAGCTTCTCCAACTTCTCCACTACCCAAACTCTCTTTCTCTCTTCACCAAACAACCCTCAGCATTTCTCTATATCCCCAAAAAGCCTCTCTCTCACTCTCATTTCCCGCAGTAAAGTCACCACAACTCCCTCCGTCTCATTCACCACCCCCCGCCTCACCCGCTTCTCCTTCATCGCCAGCTCATCCGCCGCATACGGCGGTGACCCCCCTCCTGGCGGCGGGGTAGGCGGCGGAGGTAACAACAATAACAATCAGGACAACGGTGGCGGTGATGACGGCGGTGAGGACCGGGAGCGGAACAAGGTGGAGGCCGTGGCGGCGATAGCGGAGGCGGGGCGGTCGTCGGAGAGCCTGCCCAAGGACTTGGTGGCGGCAATAGAGGCGGGCCGTGTGCCGGGGTCTATTGTGAGAAGGTTCTTTGAGCTGGAGAAGTCGGCGGTGTTCAGGTGGCTGCTTGGGTTTGATGGGTTTAAGGAGCGGTTGCTTGCGGATGACTTGTTCTTGACTAAGGTTGCTATAGAGTGTGGTGTTGGAATATTCACCAAGGTCTGTGCTTCTTCTAATTTGCTAACTTCTAATCTGATAAAGTTATAGAAAAGGTGAAATCTTGACCGTTGATCCATACTTTGGCATCTACAATTCTTATTTGGCGCCTCAATGGAAATGGTGGCTCTGTTATGCATTGGATATCTTTTAACTTTTGAATATTGAATACAAATCAGAGTATCTGCTATGTATAGGTAGGTGTAAGCTGAGCTCTTTCCATGTTGCTCGTTTTTCAGACTGCTGCAGAGTTGGAGCGGCGCCGCGAAAATTTTACCAAAGAGCTGGATTTTGTTTTTGCGGATGTGGTACGCCTCTCATATAAATAAGATCTTTGATTTTGTTGTGCTGCAGAACGGAAAACTATTGCCTCCAAACTAAGTAATTTTCATTAGCTTCATAGATGAATAGCTTTTACAAGTGATGTTTGTATAATTGGGCTGAGCGACAGTGTAACAGTAAGAAACACTGTCGGAATCTGGGATATGTCATATGATATAAATATTAAAAATAAATAAGTTCAACTCGGAAAATCTGCCTTTCAGTTGAGTTTTGGGTTGTGAATTGAAATGGATGCAGAAAACTATCTTTGGGAACATTGAGCTCAATGCCAACTCTTGGTAGCAACCTTTGTGCAATTTGTGCGCTTCCAATTACAGAATCACTAAATGGTATTCGTGTCTTCGGTCATTTTCCTTTGAATAGGAGTTGCTTGATTGTAGGATCCTCAGTTTCCACTCTTGTGTTTTTCTTTCCTTGCATCCTTGCAACTTGATTCTAGGTGTCTTTTTATATTCGTATGATCCTTTTATTTATTTTTGGTTGGCATTTCTGCTATCTGTGCTCTAAAACTGAGCCTGCTTTGTGGGAACTTTAGTTAATTGACTGGTTTGAATTGTTTGCTTCAATTGGAAATTGGACTTACTTAGAATTTGTTAATGGGGTTGCAATGACAATATCAACTGTGTTTCTGAAGTAGAGTTATAAATTGCGGGGATTACTTATCATTTAATTGCATTTTACTAGTAGGACCTGGTGCAATGTACATCTTTTAAATTTGTTTACTCATTTGATTACTTCCCCATACTTTCAGAAGGCTTATTAATCTCAAAGGAAAGTTCCTTTTCTAGTCATAAGCTTTCATATATGCTAAACTTTGTGTTAAACTTGGAGTGCAAAAGATCTGCAGCACTTCTTCAACTTTGTAACAACTGGAAGTTTTCCTCAATTTTGATGATAGCTGATGTGTTTCGTTTACCATTTCATGCTATCTATTTCTGCCTTTTTTATCTGTTGGGTTTCTGGTTTCTATTTGTTGCACCTTTTTGCAGCCTTACTGTTAATATTTTTTTTTAAATCTCAGGTGATGGCCATTATAGCCGATTTTATGCTTGTTTGGCTTCCTGCTCCTACTGTTTCACTTCGACCTCCTCTTACTGTCAGTGCGGGGCGTCTTGCTAAGTTCTTCTATGGGTGTCCTGATAATGCTTTTCAGGTTAGTGCTTGCTTCATTATTTTTGGCCTTTTAAGTTGCCACTTTGTCATATGACTATAACAAGCGAGTCATCACTCCTGTCTGCAGGTAGCTTTGGCTGGAACATCTTACTCACTCTTACAGAGAATAGGTGCAATAGTGGTATGTGCTATCTAACAGTTTAGCAGTCATGTTCATGTCTCATAGTGGTACGTGCATTGAGTTTAAAGTATTTTGATCTTTTATTCAGAGAAATGGAGCTAAACTATTTGCAGTCGGGACTGGTGCATCTCTGGTGAGTGAAATTTTCAGCAATAACCAAATACTTTCCATACCTATTTAACCCTCTTTAACTAACTCATTATATTATAGAGCATGTACGCATTAATTTAACGTTGCATCAATCATTACAACATTGATGAACAATTCTGTACAGGCCTGGGTTTGTTATATTCTGGTCATATTATTGGGTCTCCAATACTAACCCTAAAGTATCTTCTGCATGTTGTATTGGAACACTTATACAACATGCATCATAAGCAAGGCTAGATTTTCCTTTTACTTAGCCATAAAAAATAAAAAAAATTAATTGATGAGAATATTGTATTTAAAGCCCTGAAGCATCATGCTATGCAGGAAAGACTATATCAACTTTTGCTCAGCCACATAAACTAACTCTACTAGCAAATTGTATTGAAATATAGGATACTTATGTAGTATATGTCTATCAAAATGATTCTTTACTGAGCGTTATAATCCTCGACTGTTTCTAATTTAATGATAGTGTACCATTGATTTGAATTTTGTATCAACGTTCAACAATAACAGAGATGTAGATTTTTTTCTCCAAATAATATACAAAGGCACAAGCTTCTCCAACCAGTCTTATAAATGAATTATGAGGCTCTAGTGCGCTTTATTGCCAAAGTATATTTCATTTTCAATTACTGTCTAAAATATTATATGTATTTAGTGAAAGAAATGGGAGTATTGGTACATTACTAGATTGTTTTTGTCTTGTGTTATAAGTTTTTCATTGCAGAATGCACATATGAAATCTGCTTCCCACTCATGTAATGGCTATACAGGTGTCATGATGTTATGTGGTTCCCAGTTTGTTATATGGTTGACAGTTTCAGTAGGCTAGTAGCCGTTTGGTGTCATATGACTGTTTACAACTTTTCAATTTCTTTTAGGTTGGTACGGGTGTAACAAATGCATTGATTAATGCACGAAAAGCTATCGATAAATCTTTTGCTGGTGAAGCAGAGGATGTTCCCATATTATCAACTAGTGTAGCCTATGGAGTTTATATGGCAGTTTCTAGCAATCTAAGGTACACAGGTTTTCTGCAGATTTAAGTAATCTATTTATTATTTACTCTAACCTTCATGAACTGTCAGCATAGACCATTAACAAACTTTTGAAGACTGACTGAAGAAACTTGGTATTTTAAAGAGTAACTATCATATCCATGGAGAACAGTATCTATCCAAAAAAACCATTTGTGGAATTTCTGGATGGTACCGGGCCTTTCTAGTTATCGAGAAGCTTTTTATCCTAAGAGCACATGGGGAAAAGAGAAACAAGCTCTTCTAACTATATGAATCCATATATAGTCTCCAAGAACATGTTGACAGAAGAAACCCTTTATAAAATTCATACACCAGTTATTCCTGTGGAAAGACAAGTGCCACCATAAACATGTCTTAAAAAGAAACTCTTTAACCTCTCAAAATAGAACAGTTATTTATGTGAAAGGACACATGCTTACCATTATTCCAACAATGGATACAAGATGTGCTGCAGCAGAGTAAGGATCTGCAGAAGACACCTTGAAGAAGGAAATCTTTTGTTTACCATTATTTAGCTTTATGTACATAATTCTGTGTTTTTTGATTGAGGGAAAAAAAAAAGCCAATGCTATGATATATGTTGGCCTTTAGAAAATTCTATATATCAATTGTCTACCATACGGAAATTCCTTTTTAGGCAAGATAATTGATGTTGGTTGGATAGTGGGGATTAAAGAAACATGCATCCCATCTTTAAGAGAAGGGCTAAGAGATATCCTGATTATTTCATTGACTTATTATTTCATTTGGCAATGACACTACTATTTAATCATTGCTCATAAATAGTTGAGGCTAGTCAGAAATGATAATAATTTATTTTTGTTACTATTGGAAACATGTATAATGATATACCTTTTGTTTTAAAGGTACCAAGTTCTCGCTGGAGTAATCGAACAACGAATTCTAGAACCCTTGCTACACCAACACAAGATTATACTGAGTGCAATTTGCTTTGCTGTTCGAACAGGCAACACATTCTTGGGGTCCTTGATGTAAGATCTGAGTTCTCCTTGAATCTCATTATGTAAGTTGGTTGTGTTTTCCTCTTCAATTCTCATGATTCTTTATATTGTGGAACAGGTGGGTTGATTATGCACGGTGGGTTGGAATTCAAAAGATACGAGATTAGAGCATAGGATAGATTACATGATTGTTGTAAGTAATTTTATTTTTGTGTGGATATTGATTTTGTTTATGGAATTACAGTGTGGTAACCTTTCGATAAAAATGCAAGAGATGGGCATTTAGAAAATAAACTAGCAACCACGAGATATCACCTATATATGCTTCCATCGTGGTGGGGTGGACAATCAGACCAAGCATGGTCTTTGCCAATTAACCCATTTGTTTTCTTTATTTCATTTTTGTTTAAATATTGGCGTATACAGATTATAATAGTCTAGACAGATAATTGAACTCTTAGAATGTCATATTATCCCCATTTGTAATCCAAATGGCCGTAGATTCATCCATCATATATAGAATCTCTTATTGATGTACTGTTTACTGGTGAATGTCACTCATAAAAATGGTAAGGACATGCATAAACATGGCAACTCAGCTCAACATATTCCTAATGAGCCAAAAGAAACAAAGAAAACAACAAACAATGAAGATGTCAGCACAACCAAATTGGTCAACAACAATTCAGTGCCTAAACAAGGGTGCATATCTTATTTGATTGAGGACGGAAAAAGAATTCTGTATATGAATATGTAATATCTCATTAGGGGTGGTTGCGGTTCGGTAACCGCGAATTTTTACTCAAACCGCAAACCGACCGACTATTTGCGGTTTGGTGATTTTTGAAACCGCAAACCGACCGCGTTTTGCGGTTTACCGCATTGCGGTAAACCGCAAAATGCGGTCGGTTACCGCGAATTAGCGGTTTAAAACCGCAAATTCTCAAGCATTCACAAAAATATAAATTCACAACCTAAATAAATAAATACACAACCTCAATTTCTCAAGGATATATAAATTCACAACCTAAGAAAATTAAAGTTAAAATTTCAAGCATTCCAATTAAAGTTAAACTTCTCAAACATTCCAATTCCAAATCCTTTAAAGTTACAAACCAAAAGGAAAATGCAAAGCAAAATGAATTAAAGTTACAACCAAAAAGAAAAATCCAATTCAAAGTTAATTAAAGTTACAAACTAAAAGGAAAATGCAATGCACCAATGTTACAAACTCAAGTGTTGGTGGTGAGTGGATTTGAAGAACCCCGTTGTGTTGTTTGAGCACTAATGTTATCTACAAATAAAACAACATAGTTTAGTACATTTTATTATAAGAAGAAGCATAAATAACATTAGTATAAATAAACTAATTACTTACAAGTTATTATATGTTCCATTTCCTTGTATAATTCAACATCATCATCCGTGCGGCTATACTTTGCGGTTTGCGGTAACCGCAAGTTTTGAAAATCAAATACCGCAACCGCAACCGCAAATGCGGTTCGGTTCTTAATACCGCAAATGCGGTTCGGTTTACCGCGATTGCGGTTTTATTGCGGTAAATTGTCGGTTGGTTTTTGCAGTTTTTCGGTTTAAAATGCCACCCCTATATCTCATTGCTTGCTGGCGAGGCGGGTTAGGCCAGGGCAGTGAGCCTGCCTCATTGCACCAAAGTTCAAATTCTCCTCCCCGCAGACTATCGTCTGTAAAATTTGTATAAAAAAAAACCTGTCTCATTGTTTGCTATTCCTTCTCATGTTTACAAATGCCTAGTGAATTGACATGACCCAATAAAACAATCCTTCTTGCTTTGATAGGCAGAATATTTAAAGCAAATGGTTGTCCAAAGAACTGACGAAACTCTCATAAATATCTTTCTTTGAGTCCTTTTTGTAGCACTGTCACCCACTGCTGCAAAGGAAGAGGATTCTGCTGTTGAAATTTTGAGTTTGGGCCTATTTAACTCCCATTGCTGCTGAAAGTAGCAAAGGATGGTTTCAACTCTTTCTGCAAAGAGGACAATATCATTGTAGGCGTCACACTCGAATCAAGGAGCAAGCAAAACATCTAGAGAGAAAAAGAGCATGAGCCATACGAGTTTACTATTCCCCTGCAGTGGTTTCTTGAGAAGCTTGAAGGGATGGGAGTTTGAAGACTATTCTGGCACAACACAACATCCGCTTCTGTAATCTGTATATAGCATCCAAATATTGAAAGCGTTCCTGCCAATGCAGAAGCGCATTCTTTAAACAAAACACGGCAACCTCACTTGTATTTTTCAGCATGATTCAAAAGATAATTTGGTAAATCATCAAAATAAAGATGAGGCTGAGTTGCACATATAATATGTCAGTGCAAATATCAAGAATTTGTCACAAGTGTCTGGCAGGTTGAGTCGATATTTCTGTTTAAAAGAACAAAGAACAATTGGTTACTGGATGTCCTTCAAAAACTGAAGTCGTCCCAACCAAAAATTGTAAAGGGGTCAGGGTTCAAATCTTCAGTTAAGATTAAGTAAACCTACTAACTTGAATAAAAGGCAGAGAATTATGAAAAACATAAACATTGTAGCCAAGCAAAAAAAAGAAAGAAAAATATGGGTAAAAGTTTTCTCAGTAGAGAAATGGCAAAATATTACAAGGCAAACCAAATGGCAAAATATTAAACATCTGAAACTTGCAACAGAAAGATAGTGATTTACCATCTTCAGTTGATGTTAGCACGATATGAAATGACCTTGTTGCTATCCAGTCCTTTCACAGCTCTTCACCCTGCAGCTCCGGAAGTAAGAGAGGCAGTCCCTTCTTTCAACCCTCTCACACTGGACCAGACATCATGTGTGTGTTGAACCAAAAAAAAATTATTAAAAAAAAAATCGTGGGTTTAGATAACCCCCATAACGTTGGGTGGGTGATTCCCACAACCACATGACACTTGCTTTCAAAACAAATGGGAAACAACGTGTGCATCAGATTGTCCCTATTCTTATCCCTAGAAAAAAGGAAGGGATAAATAAAGAAAGAGGATAATCACATAATAGTGGGAAGAGATCGTGTTTATTTTTTTGGCAACTCCATTCAGCAGAGAAACTGCCCACTTAGCAAACGTGCTTCCCCAACTGCTGTTCATCTTTTGCCTATAAAAGACATGAACGTACAAAAATAAAACAAGGGAAGAGGAGGAGGAGAGGAGAAGGTGCTGTAGAAAAGTGGGGCTGAAAAAGAGCCTGCAAGGCGACAAGGGCTTGGAGAAGAGGCAGCCGTGAGGCTGCAGAAGAAAAAAACAAACCCAGCGGCAGACTGTGAAGAGATACCAAAAAAAAAGCCAACAAGGCTTGGGGAACGTGGAGGATGCACGGCAGTGCTGAAGAAATGTGACAGAAGCAATCAAGGCTCCTCTCTTGAGATCCTCCATGTTGGGTGGCAACCCTTTTAATCAATCAAACGGGTGGCAACCCTCAAATCAAACTATTGGATGATGAATCCATCATGGGTGGCAACCCTTAAATCATTTTGTTGGATGATAAATCCATAATGGGTGGCAACCCTTCAATCAAAATTTCCTGGATGTTCAACCCATCTTTGGGTAATAAATCCTGAAATCAAAACAGTGGGTTTCGCACCCCAGAAACCGAGCTTGGGTATTTCACCCTGAAAACAAATATGGGTTTTTACCCTCAAAACAAGTTTGGGTTTTTACACCCCAAACAAATCTTGGATACAAAATCCATCATGGGTGTGTAACCCTCAATCAAATACCCTGAATGATATATCCATTTTTTGGGCATAAAACTCATTCAGTGAGTTCTCAAGAGCACAAATCCAATTTGGGTACAAAACCCACAAACAAAATCATTGGGGGTTAATCTCACAGCAAATAAAAAATAAGCTGTGCTTGAAAAGGAAGACAACCATGTTGGTTGTGGCTCGGCCTGATGCTGCAGATAGTAGCAGCAAATAACAAAGAAGAAGGAAGACTCCTGTCGAAAGAGAAAAGGGAAGAAGAGTAAGAAAAAATGGGAAAGTGACGTCAGCCACTTGGTTTCAAAAGGGAGAAGAAATTCAAAGAAAAAAAAAGAAGTCAAAAGACAAAAAAACAAGGGACATTTTGGAAAAAGCAAAAGGAGAGAGAAAAATTTTAAAAGAAGCAAAAATGGACAAAAATGCCCTTATTTATTTTTAGATTTCCTAAGGAATCCAATACATTTGCATGTCTTTGATTTGAAAGTTGAGCGGTTTTTTTGTCTTTTTTGAAAAAACTTTGGCTTTTTCCAAAAGTGAAAATTTTTTTATGTCTAAAACCTAAAAAACCTAAAAAACAAAACATAGTGGCGTCAGCCACTTTGTTTGTGTTTTGGATTTATATCAACTCTCTCTCTTCTTTCCTTCTTTTCTCTCTTCTTCACATGTCCAAAAAATGGGCCAGTCAAAATATCGTAGGCCCGAAATAAAATAATGGATTGTCAAAAATAATTGTCCATTGATTTTCAAAGGCCCATAATATTTAATGGGTGATTTAAATAATTATCCATTAAATTTATCAAGGTCCAAACTGCCTATTATATGGTTCATAGATCAATTTTAAACATCCTCACATTTATATTTGGGTCCAAATGCAATTGTCAATTATAGGAAAAAATTAATGGGATAATTAAAATTACTCATTATTATTCTTGGACATTGACAACAAGAAAAGTGGTACAAAACCATCCAATTTTTTATGGGTTATCTACTCATGCAAATTGCATTGAAATTAATTTCAAATCTCTCAAACACAAATTCTTAATTAGTGGGCTACACTCACCCATTGATTTCCAATTTTTCTCATGGGCCATCTACCCCAAAAAGTTCCAATGAGATTAAATTCAAATATCTCAAACACAAATTTTCAATTAGTGGGCCACACTTACCCACTAATTTCCAATTTTTCCCATAGGTCATCTACCTATGAAAATCTCCAAATTATCTCAAAGTCACAAGTTCTAAATTATTGGGCCACACTTACCCATTAATTTCTAATTTTTTTTTCCATAGGTTATCTACCTATGAAAACCTTCAAATCGTCTCAAAGACACCAACTCTAAATTATTCCATTAATTTCTAAATTTTGGAACTACGTCGGTTTGATCCCATTAAGGGTACGTAGGCAGTCTAACATCTCAATAGACGCAACCACAACCAAATTCTCATCAATCAAATCTCCACCCAAATCATTTCCGAACTACGCTGGTTTGATCCCATCAAGGGTACGTAGGCAGTCTAACATCTCAATAGACGCAACCGCAACCAAATTCCCATCAACCAAACCTTTACACAAATCAGTTTGGAACTACGTCGGTTTGATCCCGCCAAGGGTACGTAGGCAGTCTAACATTCCGATAGACGCAACCGCAACTAAATTTGAATCCCTGGTTTTATCCTAACCAAATTCGTCCACACTCAACCATTAATTTCCAGTTTTTCTCGTGGGTCATCTACTCATGAAAATTCCAATGAGATTAAATTCAAATATCTCAAACACAAATTCTCAATTAGTGGGCCACACTTACCCATTAATTTTCAATTTTTCCCATAGGTCATCTACCTATGAAAATCCCCAAATTATCTCAAAGATAAAAATTCTAAATTATTGGGCCACACTTACCCATTAATTTCTAATTTCTTCTCGTGGGTCATCTACTCATGAAAATTCCAATGAGATTAAATTTAAATATCTCAAACACAAATTCTAAATTATTGGGCCACACTTACCCATTAATTTCCAATTTTTCCCATAGGTCATCTATCTATGAAAATCTTCAAATCGTCTCAAAGACACCAATTCTAAATTATTGGGCCACACTTACCCATTAATTTCTAAATTTTGGAACTACGCCGGTTTGATCCCATCAAGGGTACGTAGGCAGTCTAGCATCCCAATAGACGCAACCGCAACCAAATCCAAACAAATTAAATATTTACCTTTACACAAATCAAGTTCGAATTACGTTGGTTTGATCCCTTTGAAAGGGTACGTAGGCAATCTAGAGATTCAATCTAGATGCAACCATCCCAAACACAACTCCATATCGAATCCCTGGCTTACTCAGCTAAATTCACTCAAACACCCCTCAATCAAATTCATTCAAATTCCCTTTTTTTGCAATGAGTCATCTATTCATTGCGGATCTTTGAACTACGAGTGGCTTAATTCCTGCAAAGGATACGTAGGCACCCTGAGGTTGAACTTGGGAGCAGCCGCAAAACCAAACACATACGTTCTGTTTCTTTATAATGGAATCAAAGGGTTTTCCCTTGTAGCGAGGGATTGTAATTAAGAGACTTGTGTCTCGAATGGGTCGAACCTAAAATAATAAAACCCCATTAATTGATTAGTGGTGGTGAAATTATGTTTGGAGGTTTACATTTTTCTTCAACAGTGTGGACTGGCTTAAATGCACTCCCTGTATTTATTCTATTGGATGAGAAACTAAGTCATATTTCAATGTGTCACGGTCATGCCTTAGTGAAAATGAAGATTATAGTGATTGAAGAAGTCAAGAGTGTACAATAGCATAAAGCAAGAACCAGAACCAGCAAATCAGTAAATTACTCTCTTTTTTTTATTTTATAAATGAAACCACTAATTGGCGCTGGTGATATTTTATATAAATTATGCTTGATGGGGTGACCTTCCTCTTCTTCATGTTATATATTAATTCCAGCCTCAACACTTCTATCTTTCCAAATTCCTGTCCAAATGAACCCTATAATTAACATTATGATTATTTAACTCTCAGATATATATATATATATATATTTTTAATCTGAGCTATAACAATGTTGTTTCTTTTTTTTTCTTTTTTTTTGTACAATTATATTATCCATATGCTATATATTAACTATAATATAAGAGCATCTATAATCATGCTTCTTATTTTTTTAGTTAAAATTTAGCTAAAAACACACAAAAGTTATTTTAGGAGCATCTATAAAATTTGAACTCCAATCATACTCCCTAATTTAGAGAATCATAAATACTGTAGTTATTTTTTAATTCAATATGATTGGTCACCTTATTTGGCAAGTGCTGTAATTTTGACAAAACTATATTGGTCAACAATTTGCTTTTCTTTTCAGGGATCTCTCGACATTAAAAAATTATAAACTACTCGCAATAATATGCCAGAAAAGGAGTCTCACCATAAAGAGTACAGGGAAAGTGTTGATAATGTTTGAAATTTGAAGTACCTGGGGAGAGTGAGAGTCGGAGTTGACCATGTCCATGTGTGGGTGTGGGTTCTCATCATCTTCAAACCGTCTTCTAATCCCTTATATCTATGCAGGGGATGTGGGATATTTTGGGCAGGTATCGTCCTTTACTTCCAGGCTGGCATTTGTCTTTTAGCAGAGGACACCCACTGATTTCAAGTTCCCTCAGTGAAATAGGCAACCCCTGCTCTGGAATATATGCCAGCTTTGGACAATTGAAGAGTTGAAGAGATCGAAGAGAGGTGAGGGATTGAAAGCCCTTGCTGCTCAGTTTCTTCAGATTTGGGAAGCCCCAAATTGAGAGATGAGTGAGAGATTCGGGGAGCAGCATCTCCATCTCCATCTCCCTGTAACTGTCGGGTGGAAATGACACCACACTTGGGTCTTCACCACTGATGGACAATTCTGTAAGAGAGGTGAGTGTGGGCAACAACTCCCACAGCGGCTTACAATTCTTGATTTCGAAGATTCCAAGTGATGTTAGGTTGGGGGGAAAAGAAGTGAAATTTAAACCTTCACCGTAATCAATACTCAATTCCTGAAGATGGTTGAGATTCCGCATGTCCGGTAACATCTCCAATTGGTTGCAATTATGGATGTTGATTTGTCTCAGGCTGGAGGCGGCTGTTGTTGTTGGCGAAGGCAAACCCTTAAGCTCGGGATGGAAACCAGACTCCCACAATCATAAATCTTTAAAGTTTGAAGATTGGTGAGGTGGCATAGGCCCTCCGGTAACGAGTTAAGATTTGGGCAAGACCAGATGCTAATATATTCAAGACAATAATTAGTGTTGTCGTGGGCTAACCCATCGGACGTTAGTAACTGCAGCTCTTCACAATTCCATATGTCAAGGCTTTTAAGCGCCTTGGCTCTCAATGATAACGACGTTAGAGATTCACATCCCCGTATTTGCAAGTGCTCAAGAGAAATAGGAGAAGAAGAGGAAGACGAAGAACTATCCTCCTCTTTCTCTACTAATGATTTCAAACTTTTACACTGCACTATCTGTATTCTTCTTAGATTTGGGGGAATCTGGTATTTTGCAAAATACAGCAACGAATCGCACTCCTCAATGCTTATGACTTCAAGGGAAGGAGGCAGACCAACATCTGGAAAAGAAACCAGACTTGAGCATCCAACTATTTTAAGGTCTTGAAGGGAAGGAGGCAGACCAACATCTGGAAAAGAAACCAGACTTGAGCATCCAACTATTTTAAGGTCTTGAAGAGCCGTTAGGTGATGCAACCCTTCTGGTACCTTCGAAAGACTTGCACAGTTGTATAATTCTAGATATTTAAGCTTGCAAGTCAACATTTGCAATTGCAGCAACTCCTCTGCTTCTTTTCCCAGCTTTTGAAGGAGGGAAGAGTTGCCTTTAATAACCAAACGATGAAGAGAAATCAAGTGTTGCAATACTCTATCCTCATTCTTCAGTGAAGATGTCAGCTCTTCACATCCGCCAATCGTCAAATTCGCAACCTTCCTTAATCCTTTGGTGAATTCCCCTGTTTGGAACCTCACCTCTGAAATATTTGAAAGTCTCAAGGAATTTAATAACTCAAACTCAACGCCACTTGTCTTCACCACCGCTTTGCAACCGTCAATGTCTAATGCACCAATTTGTTTATAGTTGGAAATTGAAATCACCAATTCCTGGCATTCAATAATTCTAAGTGTTTCTAATGAATCAAGGTTCTCGGGCACCTTACCCTCCAATTGAGGACAATTTATGATTGAAAGCAATTTCAAGCAAGGGAAAACACCAATTCCCTGATCCCCTACAAAAGGAACCCATTTCTTCCAGTGTTGCATATCCTCAAACTCAAGAGTCTCTAGTACTGGAAAAGGCAAGCTACCCTCCCCATAAAACTCAGGACCAACACTTTCCACTGCAGCCATTCCTCTAATATAAAGTTCTTTGAGCAAAGGCAGTTGCCCAAGTGGTGGCAAGATTTGACAATTTTTACATTTGTCTAAGTGTACATGCACCATAGTGGAGAATAAACGATCTCCAATCCATGTTGAAAATTCTAATCCAGCATAACCCCTGATGATGAGACTTTCAAGCATTCTATGAGGTTCTAATCTGTCAAGCACGCCTAATTGCGTTTCTTGTGTGTTATCCGACCATTCTAGCACCAATTTATCTACTCTCTCCTTGGATTTTAAGTCGGCCTTCCGTGCATCCTCAGCATCGATCACATTCTCCAACCTTGAGAGCCATAATGTCCCTCGGAGATGGGATAGGGATCCTATCTCTCTTATCCCTGATTCATCACTACCTTTACCCACCACAAAATTAGGCAAAGATTGTAGATTTGTCAACCGACCTAGTTGCGGAGGCATTGGTTTCAGTGAAGATACACTTGAGTTGTTGAGATGACGCAGATTCACTAGATTCCTCAAGTTGATAGGTAGTGCCTTCAAATAACGACAACCTTCCAATATCAGTGTCTGTAAGTTGAAAAGAGTGGTTGTTGATTCAGGCAAACTTTTTATCCATGTGTGAGAAAGATCAAGATACCGGAGATACTTCAAATTACCAATTGAATTTGGCAGCTCAGTCACTCGATAGCCATTGAGAGAAAGCACACGCAAGTATTGCAATTTTGGCAATAAATCAAAAGTAACCTTACGACTTAGATAATTCGAAGGATAATCACCTGAAAGTGGTAGGAAGGTTCGCAAATGTTTCACTTCAGAAAATGCCTCAAATCTTTTAACCGCATCATACTTACCAGAAATGTATGACGCATGGCGGGCCTCCGTAAAACATCCATGTTGTACATGATCGCTATTCTGCTTATCCTCCAATCTAACACAAATATCTCCTGCTGCCCACTTTGCCAGACCAACAACGAGGTCATGCATTACATATGTTGAATTGTATTTATTGCTTGATTTCTGAAATAATGACCTCGATAAGAGCTCCTGAAAATAGTCAGTTCCTAAATCTTCCATTTGCTTATTATGTTCTGGTTGTGGTTGAATCAAACCCTCTGCCATCCACAGAAGAATCAATTGCTGCTCACAAAATTCATAGTCATTTGGAAGTATCGAACAATAGGCAAAGCATCTTTTCAAATGTGAAGGAAGGTAGTGATAGCTTAATCTTAATACCGGAAGTATGTCACGCTCATTTGATAGACTCCATAATTTGTTGTTCAATATTTCCTCCCATTCATTCATCTCTTTACGAAGTAAAAGGCCGCCAAGAGTCCTAGCAGCCAAAGGCAATCCACTGCATCTTGCAACAATTTTCTCCTTGAGTGACTCGAAATTTGGTGGTATAGCTCTGTTGACATTACTGAATGCATGCTGCTCAAATACTTCAAAACAAACGTCATTTGACATAGGCTCCAAATTATGAATTAGAGTGCCAGCTCCCATCATTTTCGAAACTTCTGCATCACGCGTTGTCACAATTATCTTGCTTCCTGCTGCTCCAGTGCGAAAGGGGGACTGCAGTTTCATCCATAGACCATAGCTACATGTGCCCCAAACATCATCTAAAACAATTAAAAACTTCTTCCCAGCTAATTCCGTATGCAGATACTGTTGAACCTGATTGAAATCTTCTGTAGGATAGTGTTTGGATGTGACTGCTTCGAGAATTTGCTTTGTCACTCTTTCTAGGTTGAAGTCATCAGACACGCATACCCAAGCAGTCGGTCTAAATTGCTGGGTTGCATCAATTTCATTGAACACTTGTGCAGCAAGTGTTGTCTTTCCGACTCCAGCCATACCAACAATGGCAACTACATCGAAATTGACAGCACCACGCTCTTGTTTCGACAGAAATTCCACGACCCGCCTTTTGTCTTCGTCCCTTCCAATCACAGGTCCATCTGGTTGACTGGAACTGGGAGGTAAATTTTGACGTGCCTTAGTGGACGACGTCGTCCCAGTAATGATATTCAAACTAAGCTGGTCCTTTCGCTGAGATATCTCTTGTAAACGCTCAGTTATCTTCTGTATTTTTGAGTTTATTTTGTAGTTGAAAACACCATTAGGAACTGAGTTCCAGACCCTTCTTGCGGTGCCGGCATAATGTCCCAGCTCTATCTCCCGTCTGAGCATTTTAGTAGCATATTTGTCCAATACGTCTTCCACGTCATAAGCTAAGTCCCTGAGATCATCCAGCCAAAGCTTCAGCGGCTTGCTCTCGGTAATTAGTTGCCTCTCCTCCGCCTCATTCAGAACCGCTCCAATTGCAGACAAGGTGGCAGTCCATTTCTGCAGCTTTTGGTCGACGCCCTTTATGAGTCCAAAGTACTTGAACACCTCACGACTCGCCAACTTGTCGACCAGCACTCGAAGGAATGCCACAAGATAAGCCTCTCCCATAGTTTCTGAAGAGAAGCGAGCAATCAAAGAAAATGTAAGGAGTTGTTTCTTGAAGCAGCTTGATTAGAAATGCATCAACTGAAACAAGCTAAATTAGAAATGCATCAAAGAGTAGGAATTCTGAGCAATAGTAAAAGAATCAATCAAAGTACCTGTAGTTTAAGAATAAATCAAAGTATCAGCAGTAGATTTCTTCACGAATTACCGAAAGTGTCGCAATGAACAAGAAGGAAAATTCAAAGGCAATAGTAATACACAGTTACACACTTTTAGAACCAAAGAGATCAAGAGAGCCAGAACCAAGACATAATAAATATGAAGATGGATGAGTGTGGAAGATGGATGAAACTAATTATGGGTTTGAGAATTTTGAGAATTTTGTAAATTGGCTCAAAATTTTGATTTGAATTAATTGTGTTTTTTGATTTGTGACCCTTGGGATTGTCAAGTGGCACTTAGAGGGTTAAGTGATCAAAGAGACACGAGGCAGCCAAAGGTCGGGCACTTCGTGGGTTGGTGCTGGCCATTTGAGAAAGAATTCTTTCTTTCTTTAATGTTTCCAAGTTGTTGAGGAGTGCAGCAACTCACGTGGGCATGCTGTTAAAGGGATGGTCTTTTGTCAAATAGAGGAAACAAGGCCATGTGAAGCAGCTGGAAAAGAGAAAAATGCGGGCTGCTGATGGAGCATGGCTCGAGGCATTTTTATGGGCTGCTGATGGTGCATGGCTCAAGGCTTCTTTGACTGACCATCACGTGGCTTCCCTTGGCATGCGGTTGCTCTCATTTGGAGAGTAGCTGCATGAGTTTATAAAAGAGAGAGAGAGGGAGCAGCATGCGGGTAGGGTGTGAGGGTATTTGTGCCGCACCATTTTGTTGAATTATAAAGTTGAGATATTGAGTCGTATACTTATTCTTAGTATTAAAATTATAAATAAACTCTATATCATTTAATTTTTATAAACAAATTCAAAAAATGAAAGTTGGTACTATTGAATTTAATTTTGATTATTAAATTATTTTGATATCCTATTGAGTTTTTGAGTTTTTTTTATGAGGTTTTGGGGTTGAGTTTGTTTTAAGAAATCAATGATAGTTTTGTAATTTAAAAGAAGTTAAAAGCTTTTTGTTATGTTGTAAATAGGCTTTGGGTGTGTTTCTAAAGTCCATTTCATATAAGTTTTTTTTATATTATTTATTTATAATTTGGGCTCCTATATTTTATATAATAGTGAATCTCTCTTATAAGTTCTTAAGCTGACTTATTTGTTAGTTAAAATAGTGTCTCCATTTCCTTGTAAGCAACTCCATTCAATGTGACAATACATTTGCAATTGCCATTACCAAGAATCCTATATTTCATCATAAGACAAAGCATATTGATAGAAGGTATCACTTCATCAAAGATGCACTACAAGAAGGCATTATTGACTTGGTGTACTGTCCTACAAATGAACAACTTGCTAACATCTTCACCAAAACATTAGTCAAGGATCGATTCAATTATCTCAGGAGTATGCTTGGAGTTAAATCAGCTCAAAATTTAAAGGGGAGTGTCGATTTATAAACTCTTAAGCAGATTTATTAGGTAGTTAAATACAGTTTTGTTTTAACTCACTTTTGTAAGCCAAGTGTAAGCTTTCTATTGGATGACTAAAGGAATGGCTGAGATCACTTTGATGTGTAAAAGATCCAGCTATTAAGCCTAACGGTCATATATTCCCTCACACTATGTGCGTGAGGTTGTAAGCAAGAGAGAGACTGAAAGAATATAACATTCCTCTGCTACACGTATAGCAGAGTAATTCATGCCAAATTCGATATGCTATTAATCTTTCCTTTCTTCTTCATCACTCTGCCTTCCAAATCCTAGAAAACACTAACAAAAATGAGTAGGTTGTAGACTTTAAGACTCAATTGACAGCTGCAATTTTTTATATTACTGGATCAGTACACAATTTTTTTTCTATTTAAAATTTATTCATTATTGTTTACTTTTATATTTCGTCACTAAGAACATTTCCAACCGATATGTCAAAAGTGTCACATAGACATTTAACGGTTAGAAACAACATTTCACATCACTCCAACCGAAAATGTCAAAGCTGATGTGGAATGAAGACTTAAGATTCAGCTGTTATTTTTGACATCCCAAAAGCAAGATGTCAAATGAATATTTTATTATTTTTTAAAGACAGTTAGTTGTAACTTTCATTTATTATTTTTCTTCTTTATCTTAAATGATTTGACTGTTACAATAATTATTTATTTGACATATCAGGTGGAGTATAAAACTATGTAAATGTCAAATTACTACATCAGCCATCAAATTTAAATTTGATGTTTGGTATTTGGCATCTCCCTTGGAGATGCTCTAATCACAGTTTTTATTTTGCTTGTAGGCTTCTTAAACCTGGAGGGATCTATTTGTTGGTAACTGTGCACCCTTAGATGTGGCTTTATATTTTACATTGTTCTTTCTTTTATTGAAATCTCAAAATAGATAGTCTGTTCTTAAACTGCCACATAGCAGATAACCTATGGTGAAGAAAACAGGAACTCTGAGCTTTGCTTAAAAAAAATAAAAACAAAAAACAAAAAGAAAACAAAAAGCAGGAACTTTGAGCAGATAAAATAAGATACAAGAAACGAAAAAAGAAAGGCACCAAACAGAATATAACCGAAGTACCTGCAGTTTGAGTATATGATATATTTCAGCAGCAGATTTCTTCACGAATTATCAAATACCGAAGGTGTCGCAATGAACAAGAAGGAAAATTCAAAAGCAATACACAGTAACATACTTTTAGAACCGAAGAAATCCAGAGAGCCAGAACCAAGACATAATATTGTTAATGCAGCAAGTTTTGAAGTCTTTGAGTGGAGAAATGTTTACTACCAAATACTTTTTTTTTATAACAAAAAAAACAAACGTAGTGTCCCACACGGTTTCTTTGACACGTTTACTTTTCTGTCCTTACGCGAAGATGGCATCTAAACAGACTCATCACAGAGCTGCCGTGCCTCAATATATTATTTAAAGCTTTATTTTGTTGGGATTATGATTTCTCACACACACAAACTACTAAGGTGTCGTAGGGATTTGAGCTTGAGATAACTAATCTACAATTCAATGTCATTTTTCATTGGGCAAGACCTTTTGGCCAGCTTATATGCATTCTATAAATTTTAAAGATTTACTAGCAAATTTGAAACAAAGTCTTGCTTTATTATTAAGAAGAAGAAAAAAATTACATTTTCTATATGTTAGCAAACTCATTTTCTGTTAAAAGACAAATTATCAAGTACTATTATGTATCTTCTTGATTGAAAAGTTATCAAACATCTAATAGTAATTGAGTGTTACTAACTCTTTTTTTATAGAAATATTTCACTTTGGCTGCCTACAAGTTTTAGCATTACGGGCAACACTTTAATGGGCTCAGCGACGATACCTCTCAAAAATGGAAATTAAAGGCTATTCTAAAAATCTTATCCAAATTTCTACAATGTCAAACTTCAATTCCCTCGAGATTGCATTCAAGTATTTAAGAAATTAAGTTCATTTTTCCAACTTTTAAATGGTTAGAATCGCACATAATTTTCGAGAAATCATTATGGTAGGAGATGGTTTGGCAAATTGAAGACATACTCTTCATCATAATTGTATTTTGGTACTTCCCATATCTTGTGTTATATTGGTTAAAATTTTAGGGCCGTTTTATAATCATTTCAATTTTAAGTTTTAGTTTTTACTTTTTGTGCTACAGTATAAAAGAAAATGAGAGTAAGGATGAGAGTGAGGATGAGATTGAGAGAGAGGATGAGAGGGCACGATGGGAGAGAGAAGTAATAAAAGTGAAAACAAAACTTGAAAATGAAAACAATTTCAAATATCTTTCAATTTTTAATTTTTGTTTTCACTTTTGTATTTCTAATAATAATAATTTTGAAAAAAAAAAAAGCAAAAAGTCATTTTTGTTTCCTGTAGTTTACCACTTCTCCAACTAATCTTATAAATGAATTATGAGGCTCTAGTGTGCTTTATTGCCATTGAAAGTACATTTCATTTTCAATTGCTGTCTACAATATTATATGTATTTAGTGAAAGAAATGGGAGTATTGGTACATATGAAATCTGCTTCCCACTCATGTAATGGCTATACAGGTGTCATGATGTTATGTAATTCCGAGTTTGTTATATGGTTGACAGTTTCAGTAGGCTAGTAGCCGTTTGGTGTAACAAATGTATTGATTAATGCACGAAAAGCTATCGACAAATCTTTCGCTGGTGAAGCAGAGGATGTTCCCATATTATCAACTAGTGTAGCCTATGGAGTTTATATGGCAGTTTCTAGCAATCTAAGGTACACAGGTTTTCTGCAGATTTAAGTAATCTATTTATTATGTACTCTAACCTTCATACCCATGGAGAATAGTATCTATCCAAAAAACCATTTGTGGCATTTCTGGATGGAACTGGGCCTTTCTAGTTATCAAGAAGCTTTTTATCCTGAGAGCACATGGGCGAAAAGAGAAACAAGCTCTTCTAACTATTTGAATCCATATATAGTCTCGAAGAACATGTTGACAGAAGAAACCCTTTATAAAATTCATACACCAGTATTCCTGTGGAAAGACATATGCCACCATAAAATGTCTTAAAAAGAAACTCTTTAACCTCTCGAATAGAACAGCTACTTATGCGAACGGACACATGCTCATCATTATTCCAACAATGGATACAAGATGTGCAGCAGCAAAGTAAGGATCTGCAGAAGACACCTTGAAGAAGGAAATCTATGTTTTTTGAAATGAAACTAGTCGCAATAATATGCCAGAAAAGGAGTCTCACCATAAAGAGTACAGGGAAAGTGTTGATAATGTTTGAAATTTGAAGTACCTGGGGAGAGTGAGAGTCGGAGTTGACCATGTCCATGTGTCGGTGTGGGTTCTCATCATCTTCAAACCGTCTTCTAATCAATTATATATATGCGAGGGATGTGGGATATTTTGGGCAGGTATCGTCCTTTACTTCCAGGCTGGCATTTATCTTTTAGCAGAGGACACCGAATGATACGAAGTTCCCTCAGTGAAATAGGCAACCCCTGCTCAAGACTTCGAAGAGAGGTGAGGGATTGAAAGCCCTTGCTGCTCAGTTTCTTCAGATTTGGGAAGCCCCAAATTGAGAGATAAGTGAGAGATTTGGGGAGCAGCATCTCCATCTCCATCTCCCTGTAACTGTCGGGTGGAAACGACACCACATATGGGTCTTCACCACTGATGGACAAGCTTGTAAGAGAGGCGAGCCTGTGCGACAACTCCCACATCGGCTTACAATTCTTGATTCCGCAGATTGTAAGTGATGTTAGGTTGGGGGGAAAGGAAGTGAAATTTAAACCTTCACCGTAATCAATATTCAATTCCTGAAGACAGTTGAGATTGCGCATGTCCGGTAACATCTCCAATTTGTTGCAATTTCTGATGCAGATTTCTCTCAGGCTGGAGGCGGCTGTTGTTGTTGGCGAAGGCAAACCCTCACCACTCAGGCTCGGGATGGAAACCAAACTCCCACAATCATCAATATTTAAGGTTTGAAGATTGGTGAGGTGGCATAGGCCCTCCGGTAAGGATTTCAGATTTGGGCAAGACCAGATCTTAATATATTCAAGACAATAATTAGTGTTGTCGTGGGCTAACCCATCGGACGTTAGTAACTGCAGCTCTTTACAACCCCATATGTCAAGGCTTTTAAGCGCCCTGGGAAACAACTGGGCTCTCAATGATAACGACGTTAGAGATTCACATCCCCGTATTTCCAAGTGCTCAAGAGAAATAGGAGAAGAAGAGGAAGACGAAGAACTATCCTCCTCTTTCTCTACTAATGATTTCAAACTTTTACACTCTTCAATCTCTATTCTTCTTAGATTTGGGGGAATCTGGTATTTTGCAAAATACAGCAACGAATCACACTTCTCAATCCTTATGACTTCAAGGGAAGGAGGCAGACCAACATCTGGAAAAGAAACCAGACTTGTCGTAAGAACAATGTGTAGGAGCCTCGTCTGGGCAACAGGAAACATCTACTGTAACGTTTCACACTCTCACAGAGGCCAAAGCAACTATGATGGAGCGTTACCTAGGTTTGAAGCAAGGGCCTACAACTTCACAAGTCCTCCAAAGGAACCCGAAGTTCAAGTCACTTTTTGACCAACTTGGCTTTGGGCCTCAAGCAAGGGAAACAGCTATTGTAGCTCTCATGAGTATCTCCATGGAATCCAACTCTCATTACTTCACAGCTCAATCGCAATGGTCATTCTTAGAAAACGATAATGCCATTGTTTTCACGGATGAAGATATGGAAGTCCCATATCCAGATCATAGGAGGCCATTCTATTTGGAGGGACAGATCAATGAGGTATTTATAAGGAGAGCTTTGGTAGATATGGGTTCTTGCGTCAACATTTTGCCTCTGTCTGTGCTTACAGCAGCTGGTATCCCGCTGTCTAAGATTGTGCAGTCCCAAACAAGCATCAGTGGTTTCGGGAATAAAAGTGAGGTTACAGTTGGACACATGCAAGTAAATCTGAAGGTGGAACCAATCTGGTCACTTACTAAGTTTCATGTGGTGGACGTGGATGTAGCTTACCATGCTTTGCTCGGAAGGCCATGGCTCAACAAGCACAAACTTGTGGTCTCTACCTACCATCAATGTGTGAAAGGAAGGATTGGGCTAAGGCCACTTCGCATACCAGGAAATCAAGCACCCTTCAACAGAAATGAAGCCCATTACTCAGAGGTGGAATTCTACACCGAATGCACAGGTGCTGGAAGCAACCCATCCAAGGATTTCGGGACATATCTGCCTTCGTGGACTGAAATTCATGATCTGAGCAACGAAGAACTCATAACCATTGTTGATCGAGAAAGAAAGAGGCACTCGAAGGTTAACAACCATGCCCACGATCAACCTCAGTGTTCAAAAGTGACGCTGCCAGACGGACGTATGGTGTATCGCTTATGACAAGTTTGGGGGCTTGACCGTGTTCTATGGGAAAGCCCCAAGTATGGAGAAGAAGCAATGCATACAGATAGCCACAAGAACTCTGGAGATAAGGCACCCATGTCTTGCGCTTTCCAAGAGCCTATGATGGCGCCTAGGCACATGCAAGATGGGCCAATGACAGTGGCTGACTAGTTGGAAACGATCAATTTGAGTGATGACCCCTCTATCCAAAGGCCTATCTCCATCAACATTCACTTGACGAGCAAAGAGAAGGAAGCTTTGGTGTCTTTGTTAAAAGAATTCTGAGATGTGTTTACTTGGAGTTACGAAGAAATGCCTGGTCTCAATCCAAATTTAGTAAGTCACACACTGAATATTGAGCTTGGTACGAAACCTGTTGTACAGCCAAGAAGGAATTTTCATCCTGAAATCGAAAAGCAAATCAAAGTGGAATTTGAGAAGTTATTAGTTGCTGGATTCATTAAACCAATCAAGCATCCAACATGGCTAGCCAACATTGTTCCTGTGAAGAAGAAGACCAGTGTGATTAGAATATGCATAGACTATCGTGATCTCAACTGAGCTTGCCCAAAAGATGAATTCCCATTGCCCAATATGGATATCTTGATTGATTCAACTTCAGGGCAAGGCTTGCTGCCATTTATGTCTGGATTTAGTGGCTGCAACCAAATAAAGATGTCACCAAAGGATGCTGAGAAAATAGCCTTTCGAACGCCATATGGGAATTTCTACTATACGGTCATGTCATTCGGTCTCAAGAATGCCGGTGCTACCTACCAAAGAGCTATGACGGCAGTATTCCATGATATGATGGGAAAAGAGGTGGAAGACTATATGGATGACTAGGTGGTAAAGTCAACGAATAGAGGAGGTCATCATGAGGTTCTGAGGAAGGTGTCAGCTCTATGGATTAAAGATGAACCTAAAGAAATGTGTATTTGGAGTCTCATCCGGAAAGTTTTTAGGTTTTCAGGTACACCAACGAGGTATAGATGTGGATCATGAGAAAACCAAGGCCATATACTCTCTTGCACCGCCTAAGAATCCAAAGGAATTGAAGAGTTTCATAGGAAGATTGTCGTACATCTGGCATTTTATTCCAGGTATTGCTGCCATGATAAGTGTTTTCACTCATTTACTCAAAAAAGGCAAACCGTGTATATGAAGCAAGGAATGCCAAGAAGCTTACCGGCAAGTACAACAACTGATCACTAAGCTACCCACGATTAGGGCACTCATTTCGAGACTTCCACTCAAGCTTTATTTGGCTGCAACAAACACTGCAGTTGGAGCTTTGCTTACCCAAGATAGTTATGATGGGGAGGAGAGCCCCATTTATTATGTGAGCAGACAATTAAGAGGAGCTGAGACAAGGTACCTAAAAACCGAACTCTTATGCCTTGCCCTTGTCTATGCTGTGCAACGATTGCGACATTATTTTCTTGCCCACAAGCTGTAGCTCATAATGAAATATGATCCTGTAAGGTATTTACTCACAAGACCAGTGCTGTCGGGACGCCTTGCACGTTGGTTGCTACAATTATATGAGTTTGATATCACGTGTGCAACCCCGAAAGCTATCAAGGGGCAAGCTGTGATCGACATGTTAGCCTTATTCCCTGAATTAGAAGGGTCTACATTGTCTGAAGAAATGTTAGGAGAGCTGCCATAAGTAGTTGTCATTGCTACAGAAGAGGAACCATGGACCCTCTATTTTGATGGTTCCTCTACAACCAATGGCGGAGGAGCAGGCGTAGTGCTTATTAACACCGATGGGCAAGCTATGGCCCTCTCATTCAAATTGGATTTTCCATGCACAAATAACGTGGCAGAATATGAAGCTTTTGTCATGGGTTTGTTTACGGCAAAAGAGATGGGTGTAGAAAGAATGAAGATCATTGGCGATTCAAATCTCGTACTAAGTCAATTGCAAGGAAACTTTGCTGTGAAGGAGGCAACCTTGGCACCATATTGTACAACTGCTGAAAGGCTCATTAATTCTTTCAAGCAGATTGTGATGGAACACATTACGGGGGTCACCAATAGATACGCCAACACTTTGTCCACGTTAGGATCAAAGCTCTCGTTTGTCCAAGAGCAGCCTAATATTATTGTGATAAAGAGAAACACACCGATAGTCAAAACAATGACTCAAGAAGAATTGCTGGAAGGGGATGATTGGAGAAAGCCAGTAAAGGAGAAATTAAATGAACGATGAGGTATTATAGATTTGAAAGACTATGTGATTATCTATGGGGAACTCTACAGGTGTCTTCCAAGAGGTATTTTGACCTGCTGTATAGGTGTGATGGAAGCACGAAGAAGGTTACAAGAGGTGCATGATGCTACTTGCAACTTCGAACTGGTGGTCAGTTTGTATCGACGCCTGCAATGTAAGGGTTATTATTGGCCAGAAATGAAGAAGCAAGCAGCTGAAATTTAGTCCAATTGCCCTGCGTGTTCTACGATACTCTCCACAGAAGAATCTTTCACCATTTCATTTGCAGAAGATTAGAGGGCTCTATACTTAGCATTCTTTGTTGAGGGAATTCTAACAATGAACTCCAAGCTTGCCTACAAGCTCAAAAAGATGATAAATAGGTATTTTGTGGATGGGTCGACTCTCTACCAGAAGGGGTTTAATGGTGAACTGCTAAAATGCTTGGAAGAATTAGAGGCACGTCAAGCCATGCAGGAAATACATGCTAGAGAGTGCGGAGAGCACCAAGGAATGAAGAGGCTTCACTGGCAGCTACTAAGTTTTGGATATTACTGGCTTACCATGAAGAAGGATGCACATGACTTTGTTAAGAAACGCCACACATGCCAAATCCATGCTAATTTAAGTTATAAACCTCCTATGCTGTTGCAAGATATGCGCACTCCTTGGCCTTTTCATACTTGGGGGCTTGATCTAATTGGGACAATCCATCCTCCTTCTGACGGCTATTTAAGGATCCTTACCGCTACGGAATATTTCACAAAATGGGTCAAAGCAATCCCCCTCTAGAAGGCCACGGGAGCTGCCTCCAATTTCATTCAAGAATACATTGTGAGCAGGTTTGGAATCCCATACAAAAAGGTTACTGACAATGGCATGCCTTTCGTTAACAAGCAAGTGACCTCAACACTTAGTGGTTACGGTATCAAGCATCGTCGCTCCTTTCGTTAACAAGTAAGTGAGCTCAACACTTAGTGGTTACGGTATCAAGCATCGTCGCTTCACACCTTATTACCCACAAGGAAACGGACAAGCGGAGACTACTAATAAAACAATACTGAGGATTTTGAGCAAGATGGTACATGAGTACGAGGGCGGTTGGAGCATTCATCTGCCGGATGCTTTGTGGGCTTACTGCACCTCACCAAGAAGTGCTACAGGTTTTTCACCTTATTCAATTGTGTATGGGTCTGATGCTATTTCACCCGTGGAAATCACCATTCCTACGGCCAGAGTATCGGTTGTCAATGATCTTGAATGGGATGCGAAGTCATGCTCAAATTGGCGTTTGTTAGATCTCGAAGCCGTGGACGAAAGAAGAATAGAAGCCAAAAGAAAAATGGCACTTTACCACAAAATTGTTGTCCAAGCATATAACAGGACCTTTAAGCCTGAAGCCTTCAAGTAAGGAGATCTTGTGCTAAAAGTTGTCGAGCATGTGAGAAGACAAGTGTCGGGACCTTCCAAGTTTGCTCCACAATGGGAGGGTCCATTTGCATTCAAGGAAGTTCGCAGCAGTGGCTATTATTGCTTAATCTCTGTCAAGGAAGGCATGCTAATAGATCTCATCAATGGAAAGTGGCTTAAGCCCTACTACTGCCAAGTAGGCATAGTATCTTATTTTTATGTTATTGCATTTCCTTTAAATATGGTCTCCTTCTATATGCTTGCTTTTTGAAGCTTTTGTAAAATTTACCATATTAGGGCAATAACATAAGGGGGACATAGGTTCCAGCAGCTTGAACACAACAATACTCTGTGCAAAACCTCACGATACAAGTTTTGGAACATCCTAGGGAAAATACTGCCTAAATAAGATTAAGTTATCCAAGCTAGAGATTAATGTGTTCTTCGGTCTCAAGAGAAATTCTGAAATGTGTCAAGCTAGTCAGTCTCACATCAAGCAAAACGCTACCTGCAAGGCAGAGTAAAGCAAATGTCAGAAGAGTGCAGGATGGTGCCAGAAAAAAGAAGAAGTAAAATGAGCAGGGATGAAGGGTTATGAACCTTAAAACCACCAAGCATAGCTAAAAAAGAACGGAAGAAGCCTTGTGAGAAGATCTTGTCACTACCTTTGCCACACAGCCAGCACCATCGGAAGAAACACCTTGGGCAAGAAAGAGGGCACGCAGTTCCCCATGTTGATTCTCCAACTCACACTGCTTGAGATTCAAAGCCTCTGCTGCTGCTCTTATTTCATCGGGACCGGAAAATTTATCCATGTTGTGAATGGCCTGTGCCCCAAATACAGCATGTGCTAAATTTTTCACTAGGTTCAAAAGAAACTCTACCCAAAAACCCAAGGTCATGGCTTCAGAGATTGCGTCACGCCAGCAAAGGAGTCGATGATTTGTAATATCCAACAAATACATGGTATCCATTACATGAAGCACCAAACCAAGGGTCTGGAAAGCAGCACACCGCAAAAAGGATTAGGTAATACCAGTCATGTCCATGAAATCACCATATTTGTCCATGAATTTCTCTAGGGCTGCAACCGTCTCGGGATAAACAAGAGCTCCCCAGAATGTTGCATAGCCGTTAAATCGGTGACAAAGTGGCAGGAGCTCATCTGCTGATCGAAGGACTTGAACACCACCATCAAAGCAGGCACTGAATGCAATAAAGGAATTCTCCCACTCCAGCCAAGACATGCTAAATCGGCACTCTGCAGAAACGATCCCGGCAGTAGTATCATTAACACGAGCTTCCTCATCGGCAGATGTTTCACCAAATGAAATCGCCGAAAGAGACGTTAGGGAGCTAGACTCTGGCCTATGAAGAAGTGACTGAATGTGGGATGGAGTGGGCAACGTCCCATGGAAGGAAAAAGTTTTGCCTCGGAGAGGTCCCTTCAAAGAAAGTGTTGAACGATAGGCTGCAAGGGGCTCGTGATTTGAAACTCATATGCCTTGTCCTGAGGATTTGTTGATGCCATAAGCAGAGATGACTCAGCAAGGGCTACCTCAACCAATGTGTTAAGTGTGGTAGAAGAAGAAGGCACCGCAGGCACAATCTCCATGTTTTGAGTGGCATGCCCAGCATGCAAATATATATATGCATATATGTAAGGGCAAGTACGAGATAATCAGCAAGTTACGTCACGTATGGGCAAGAGAGAGACGACTGCCCAATTAAGCAATAAAAAAAAAGAGATAAAAGGAAAATATGAGTGAAGCAAGCAGTAGTTACCTCCTGGGCATTCTGTGCAGGGTCAACAATGGCTGCAGCAAGGTGCAAGCCTTCGGAGATATTGGCGACCTGCAAAACAAGGATGGATGGTGAATAGGCAGTTTGCATGACAAAGAATGGAAGAGGATCAAAGTTTAAGATATGCCAAGTACCGACTCAACACTATCAATGTCACCAATGTCCTCTTGCTTTGGAACACTAGCCTCAGTCTTGGTGGTATCACCATCATCACTGTCATCATCAATGGTCACCACCGTTCTAGCTCCAGAAGCTCCGCTTTCGCTTGTGTGAGCTCTAGTGAACCTTGCATTTAGGATACGCATGCTACAACATTTTGGAGTCACATGTGGGAACACGGAAGGTGTATCACTTATCTTCCTCTTTGGAGTGGTACCCATTTTTCCTATAAAAAAAAAGGAAACAAAAGAAAAGTAAAAAAAAAAAAATATATAACAGGTATATGATAAGTAAAGAAAGTGTGACAAGGGATTAAAGGTAGGATAATACTTATTGCGAAGAGGGGTGGTTTCCAGCGCCTTGCCAACACGGCCCTGGCTCTCAGATACAGCAGGCTTCGAAGGCTGTGGACGCCCTCGGGGAGTTGCTTCTCTAGTTCGAGGAGGGCACTTGGTGCCACCTTTGGAATGAACTTTCTAGGTTTACCGGTAGTCTGCTCCTTCCCTACACTTTGCTTCTCTTCCCGCCTTCGTTTGCCAGACACCGACGTCGTGTCTTTCCCAGAACTGTGAGGACTCTGTGTTCCCAGCTTTGGCCTCGTTTTGGGAAATTCCCCAACAATGTCACCACTTTTAGAAATAAAGGGTAGATTGCGTTTTTGGCTTAAAGAGATGGCTTTCTCTTCCGACACCAAACCTGCAAGGCGAGCTGTTGTGGGTGGCAATCTATCACCAACAAAAGATTGGAATTCACGAAAAGAGGTAAGGCAACGGTTCCAGTAGGCTTGATAGCTCCGTGTGAAGCCACCAACTCTCCCCCTACCAGCTAAAACAAGGGGCCCACTGCTGTTTGGCACATTATCATTGCTCCAAAAGACCCTATGTAGCACAAAGGGATCATCATGGTTAGGACTGCTCAGAACCCCTTGATCAAGTCCAAACTATCGCCTGACCCGGTGTGGTGAGTAGGTCACATAAATCTTTGAGCGGCTATCTCCAAGAGTAGGTAATGGGATAGAGGCAACATTCAACAAAGCATACTTCCTGAAGCGGCCATGTTGCGGTATCACTGCTGAAACCTCAACAGTATCACCAACATCAGCATAAAAGGGCACAAAGGTAAATGCCTCTGCGAAGGTGCCGTAAGGGCGGAAGATGAAGTTTTCAACATTATCGAATAACTTTAAAAAGTTTTGGCCTTTCCTTTGCATCCGCTTAAACCACCTGCAAACTAAAGAGAGACCATCCGGCATAAAGGAACCTTTGCCCGAGTCAGCCAGCTGCATAGCACACAAATAGGGGAGTGGATATATATCTAGTCCTTTGAGACATTCCCACAAGAACACCTACAGAAAGCTAGAATTCAAAAGAGTCTCCACGCCAATGGTGCCTGATGCGCTTTTCTCCAAAAGCTAAGTCTGATCAAGTAACCAGTATAGATGGCCAAAAAACATGGGGGCTAAGGGGATCGTATCACCTCGAGCTATGGCCAAGGCCAAAGGAAATACTTGCTCATGCAGGTAGTCTTGAGTGAAATCACAGAGCACGAACCGTCCAAGCCACAGTGCTATAAATGCAGCCAATCAGCAAGGTCCCTATCTGTTCGCATCACCAAAAAATTATATCCAGTTACTGAATCGAAGTGAGGTGTTGGGGGAAGTTGGAGCACCTCTCCGTTAAACCGTAAGCTTGTCCATTTCTTCCGGAGTAAGGGCGATGTCAAAAGGACTCCGGTCACCGTAGATTGGGAGGCGGGAGATGTTGGCCACGTCTTCAAGAGTGGGGGTAAATTCCCCCCATGAACATATAAAGGTGTGAGTAGCAGCACTCCACCTCTTGACCACATGGCGAAGCATCTTTGTTTCAATATAGATATCCCATAACTTGGAAAGAAAGATGGCATCAAGTACCTGTGCCCAACGCAAAATGTTGCAAGTAGATGGATCTAGCAGCTCACGGTCAACCCACTCTGACCAACCCTTACTGATGCTACAAGGATATTGGAAGAATAGGGGAACCGCTGGAAACAGGCCTTTCTCAATGCAACACCTACATATGGAAGCAGGTTCAATTACAGGAATGGTTTCAGGTGGTGGCTCATCACCAACAACAGGATTCTCCTGGGTTTTTTCAAGCGACAAAAGGGGTCCTCCTGCTTTAAGATCGTCATCCATAGAATAAAGATGGTCCATCATAATCGGTGGGAGATCAGTGGATGCCATGGTAAAACCAACAAGGTCACAGATATCTGCAAAAAGGGGAAGGAACAAAATGCATAAGTTTCGGCACCTTCACGATTGCTGAACACATGCACATCTGTATAATTTCGTGCCAAGGTCATGCTAGCAGAAGGATTGAATTAATGCCATCATATAATTCCATCCCGCAGGAGGAAAAGGCTATTCGATGCAAATACGAAAGAAAGACCAAACTATAGGAGTAAATCATTTGAAGGGGGCCATGGATTGACAAAGGCAAGGACATTCGAAACAGTGCATACTCATGTTTTTTCTACCTTGATTTGACTCCATCCAAAAGTTTTGTGTTCAACCAAGACAAATTCAGTTGGAAGGGGTTTAAAATCTCCAATCAGTGGCCCACATCCAAAATCCAAGCTTTGGGCATAAGGAAGTAAACAAACATGCGACAAAAGGGGCTGAGGAAGAAACACTATTCTCAAGAAGGATCCTCAGAATATATATGTGTTGATGCCCCTGTGTCTACATATATGTGCATGTGATTGCGTTTTTCCAGCAGCTTGCCGAAATCGAAAGAAGAAAGATATGCCTTGTGGTTTCTTCGCCAAATTACTACATGCCTTGCAAAGTGACTTTCCCAAGTTTGGTCTCTGACGAATTGAAGGAGAAGTTCAAAAAAATTTGGGGATTTTAAAGGTAAATGGTGGCTCCTCCCAGTTGTTGCGAACGGTTTCTTTGAGCATAACCAACCAGTGGTTATGGATGATGCCTCCCTGTGACTTTTTGTTTTCAAGGGTTCTCTAGACTTGTGTGTGAGAGGGAACCAGCAATAATCAAAGGAAGGAAGGCAAGTGGCTTGGGTTTCGCATGCACAAAAGAGAAAATCAAAAAAACAAAAAGGGAGAAAGAAAGAAAAAGGACATAAAAGATTAATAAAATAAAACAGATTTGATGGAAGCATACCTAGAGAACGTAAAAGACTGCTGGAAGATAATCATGGCAGCACACACGCGGGAAACGAGAAGGTCACGTCACCAACATGGATTTGATTTTTTCCTTTGGGCTGGGTTGATTATTTGGCCCATTTTAATATCTGGTCATGGCCCCAATAATCAAGGGGGCTAATGTTGAGGCCCAAAAAATCCAAAGGCTAGGCCCATGCTTATTCTTAGCCTAACGCGAATAATTAATCGCAAAAAGGGCCCGATCGAGACATAAGAGAAATCGAAGAACGTGGTTACATAAGCTGGGAGTCATGAGTCACTCCAAGCGAGCATGCACAAAAAGACCAAAGTACACCGGCTTTGTAAATTCACACTCACCTAATCCAACGCTATTTGACCCGATCATGACCTATTATAGTACAATAAAATTCAAGCATGAGCAGGCTAAATCAACACGCAAAGCCACGTGAAAAAAAAAAGCGCCATTTTAATACCTACACCATGCTACAAGCTTAAAGTGGACCCAAGCCACAAAAATTTATGGGGGTTGCTGAGAAGGTTGTGGTATGTACAGGAACAAGCAATTATAGGACCCATTGAGGGTTCGGGGAGCGAAAGTTTTAGGCCACTTGGGAGCATTAAAACGCAAGCCTGTTCCTCGGGCCTAAACACATGGGTTAACATGAGAGAAAGGGAAAATGGTTCAATCAATGCCTTAGGAGGACATCTAGTAGCCTGCCATAACACTTAGACAAGCCCACATCAATAAAATGCCCAAATTAAATAAAGCTATTTCCAGCAACTTGACGAAAACTCATTACACGCTGGAAATATAAAGCTAATAACGCCAACACTGTACATACAAACCCAGCCCAGCAACTTGTAAAAATCTGGCGCCAAGTTCTACCTCTGTCAGAGTTCCATGGCAGGGACTGAAGGAAATCCATGAATATAGGAAGAATATCCATCGGACAAAAGACTCTACCCTTTTCATCTTTTTCCACTGAAGGCTCCATTTTGAAAATCAAGGAGGAAAGCAGGTGGCACCTCACCCTCATAGGGAGGTCCAGCCACAAAACCCTTGGAACCCCAAATGGCACTTTACCCATGCGCCTTGAATATGAAAATTTCACCAAATAGGATTGAGTAGGAAGAAGCAACAAAAAAGGGAGAAGGAGGTTAGATAAAATTATGTTTCTTTGTGCCTATAAAAGGGAGCTTCCTCTACCCAGCGAAAATAACCATCTAGAGCCTGACCAAGCTTTGTCAAGCAAACTGGGAATTTACTCAAGCCACCCAATCTTCTTCTTCGTTTGTTTTCTTCTTCCCTTATGATAGAAATCGTTCTAATTTTCCTCTACCCTACTCCAAACCTTCGTTCTCTGTAAGAAATTTATGCTTCTCTCTCTCTCTCTCTCTCTCTCTCTCTCTCTCTCTCTCTCTCTCTCTCGCTCTCGCTCTCTCTCAATTTGCTAAACTTGTGAAAGCTTAGCTCCCGTGCCACAAGCTCCTCAAGCTAAGTCACTAATCGATTTATTATGTTTATTTGGCTATTGGTAAAAGGAACCTAAGAAGTGTTTTTCTAAAGTTTCACTAAACTTTTCAAAAACTCTTTTTGAGAGCTTGATTCTTGAACTCAGACACTTAGGGAAATTATGTTCGTTTTCTTCTTACGGCAGCGCAAGCCCATTTGTCAGGCTGCTGGAACAAAAAGACCCCTACGAGTAGCACCCAAGAGGCATCGTCTATTTGACATGTGATGGGAGCTAATCGCATTGTATATCCTTCCATCATGATCTTTGCCAAATTAACCCACAACCATTGCAAGGATGAGAAATCATTTGAAATCCTTTTATTTTTTTTCGCATTTCCTTTTTGTTTAAATCTTGACACATATGGATTGTAATAGTCTAAACGACCAATCCAACTCTTAGAATGCCATCTAAATACCTAGATTTGTAATCACCCCATATATATCCCTACACAAGAAGATGGGGCAGCGCTGGAAGGTACTTATAATGTATCTAGCTGTAAGATTATATTGTATAAAACCTGTCAACTCAACTGGACATAGAATCCTCTTGGCAACAAAAGTTCAACCTAATTAGGTCCAAGGTCTTAAATATCGATAGTTTTGGAAATATCGGTGGTTCAAAAACACGGAAATATCGATGGAAATATCGGGAAAATATCGATATCGATAAAAATTGGATAAAAACCACGGAAATTGTGATACATGGAAATTTTTAATGAAACTTTAGAAGAAGTTTATTTAGTCAATCATCTATTATTTTGACACAAAAAATTGGAAGGAAATGCATTGCATAGTGGGTTTGAGTGATTTAAGTTGATTATATTGCGAAGATTGAAAATAATAGTGAAGATTGAAAATTAATAGTGAAGATTGAAAATTAATGAAGAACATAAATAAATTTATCAAAGAAATAATTAAGTAGTAAACAAAGAAAATAATTATAGAGATTTAAGTAATTAAGCAACAATTTGAAGGGGAATTTAGTAATGTAAGTACTTATAATGAATAATAAAATAATCAATAACATTAAATGGATTAAATAGAACAACAATATAAAACAATAAGTAATTATGTTAATTTCTATTTTGAGAAACAACTCGCATGTATTATAAATACATATTCCATAGCTTATTATCACAAAGTGATGACTGGCGTGGTGGTTAAGTGGCTGCAAAAATTCGGAGTTGGGAGGGGTTCGAACCCCATTGGTGTGCGCTGAGTTTAAATTGTTTAATTTTTGAAAGTTCAAGTCGCGATATTATATATACTAGATTCCATAGTTTATAATCACAAAATCATGTGCAGCGTGGTGGTTAAGTGGTTGCAAAAATTCAGAGTTGGGAGAGGTTCGAATCCCACTATGCACTGAGTTTTCCACTATCGCGATATTTTATACTAAAGCATGCTTTTGATATCAAGATATTTTGGAGTCAACCGACTTTGTTAAGTTGGGTTGTTGATTCTCAATTATTAAAATAAATAGATAGTTTTAAACGCAGTGATTAATAATTCAAAGCAAACATGCATCCATTCATAAGCAAATTATTAAAAATACATATTCATGCTAAGGCTTATGGCCTCACCCTAGCAATTTGAATTAGTTACACATACTCATAATTAAAATCAAAGAAAATATCATTCCCATGAATAAAAATAAAAACACCTTGAAGTAGAAGCTCTTCAAAAACCCTTGCCAACGTCTCTGTCTCGCTCCAAAATTGCATTAAAAAAAAGTTCCCAAAATCGCTGTGAGAAAGAACTTAAATACTTCCTAAAACCGAGCTTCCCCAATCCCCACCAGGAAACTAAGTTAAAATAAAGTAATACGAGGATATAAAATCCAAATTGGATTAGGAGAATCTACCCACAACCTGCCCAGCCACGTTTTGGTCTCAAATCTCCTTCAAATCAAGCCCAAGATAGCTTGTTTTAAAGATAAAAACATTTTGAACACTTCTCCAAAAGGCCACGAACCCATCCAAGGCCATCTTGGGCTCCAAAAACGCAATAAAAGCCTAACACGTCACCATTCCAACACCGCGCACTGCTCCTTTATTTTATTGCCAGAAAATAACCGCTCAGTAGAAAAATATGAAATTTCGATCCTATCAAGCTCAGTGGCTCACAAACGTCCTCCAACTGGAATTACTCCAAAATTTGTCCATTTGATTACGTTTTGATCTAGAGGAAGTCAAAAGCCCTATATTGAAAATATAATTCAAAGTATCAAAATTCTTCCAAAATATTAACCAAAATATACTAAGAATGAGGTTAAATAGATAATATAAAATATACCCATCAAAATACCCGAAAACTTAGCTTTTTGCTTGTCCCCAAGCAAAACAAGACTCAAACAAAAATAAAAACTTAACAAATTGGACACCTGACTATAAGGGTGGCATTTTAGACCAAAAAACCAAAAAACCGCAAAAATCAACCGACAATTTACCGCAATGGAACCGCAATCGTGGGAAACCGAACTGCATTTGCAGTGTGAAGAACCGAACCGCATTTGCGGTTGCGGTATTTGATTTTCAAAACTTGCGGTTACCGCAAACCGCGACTATATTTATAAATAAATAAAAATTGCATTTTGTATATAGCATTGGTGCTCAAACAACACAACAGTATCCTTCAAATCCACTCACCACCATCAACACTTGAGTTTGTAACTTTAATTTGTAACATTGGTGCATTTCATTTTCCTTTTAGTTTGTAACTTTAATTAACTTTGAATTGGATTTTTCCTTTGGGTTGTAACTTTAATTCATTTTGCATTGCATTTTCCTTTTGGTTTGTAACTTTAAAGGATTTGGAATTAGAATGCTTGAGAAGTTGAGGTTGTGAATGCTTAATAAGTTTAACTTTAATTGGAATGCTTGGAATTGTAACTTTAATTTTCTTTAGGTTGTGAATGCTTGAGAAGTTGAGGTTGTGAATTTATATTTTTGGGTTAAAGTATGCTTGAAATCAAAAGGCTTCAAAAGAATCATCAAAATTATGCCTAAAATGTGGAAGATTGAATTTTTATAACACAAAAAGAACTTGCGGTTTTAAACCGCTAATTCACGGTAACCGACAGCTTTTTGCGGTTTACCGCAATGTGGTAAACTGCAAAAAGCGGTCGGTTTGCGGTTTCAAAAATCACAATACCGTAAATAGTCGGTCGATTTGCGGTTTGGGCAAAAATTCGCGGTTACCGAACCGCAACCAGCCCTACCTGACTAACACTTAACCAAGTCAAAACTTTCACCTTCAAGTTGCAATCCATAGAAAATTTTAAAAACTAGAATATTTGTTCAATAGATCCAACTAATCCCACCACAGAGTCTAAGCTATTTAGAACCACTTAGAAAAGAATTCACAAGCTTCCTTCAGTCTAAAGTGAACCATCATAGTTAAAGGAGACTCGACTAAAACCCTTACCTCTCATCCCTTTTATTCATACTTCACATACTTATATAATCATTCTTTTCTTTTTTCTTTTTCTTTTTTTCAGTAACAGTAGTGATTGTGCAATGTTGGTTCCCTTAAGCTTTCGATCCAATCCGTGTAGCGAGCTTTAGGTGAATGACTCCCAAACCACAAAGGCTTTAGGGCATTAGGTGTAGAACACCCCTAAGGACTTATTAACTCAAGCTGAAAAGAGCTACAAAACCAACTAACCACCCCTGCCCCATGCCAAAACTCTACCGTTTGTCTAGAGAATCGCTGCTAATTAGGCAGGACTGGCCCGATTACTAGGCAAAGCTTCGGGTGAGGCAATTATTACTTGATAACACATACTAACTTTATTTGTTTTTTTTTTGTTGTTGTTGAAGTAACAGTAATTAAAACACACTGGGACAAAAAGTATGTATTTCATCTCACTCCCCACAAACCATGTTGGTGTGATGTGCAAATTTCAAAGTATAATTCAAAAATATCAAGTGTTTCTAATGAATCAAGGTTCTTTGGCACCTTACCCTCCAATTGAGGACAATTTCTGATTGAAAGAAACTTCAAGCAAGGGAAAACACCAATTCCCTGATCCCCTACAAAAGGAACCCATTTCTTCCAGTGTTGCATATCCTCAAACTCAAGAGTCTCTAGTACTGGAAAAGGCAAGCTACCCTCCCCATAAAACTCAGGACCGACACTTTTCAATGCAGCAATTCCTGTAATATAAAGTTCTTTGAGCAAAGGCAGTTGCCCAAGTGGTGGCAAGATTTGACAATTTTTACATTCGTCTAAGCGTACATGCACCATAGTGGAGAATAAACGATATCCAATCCATGTTGAAAATTATAATCCAGCATAACCCCTGATGATGAGTTTTTCAAGCATTCTGTGATGTTCTAATCTGTCAAGCACGCCTAATTGTGTTTCTTGTGTGGCACTCGACCATTCTAGCACCAATTCATCTACTCTCCCCTTGGATTTTAAGTCGGCCTTCCGTGCATCCTCTGCATCGATCACATTCTGTAATCCTGAGAGCCGCAATGTCCCTCGAAGATGGAATAGGGACCTTATCTCTCTTATACCCGATTGATCACGACCTTTACCCACCAAAAGTCTCAACGATACATCACTCAAATAGAATTTAGGAACTTATGAATAATTCAGTATGTTTCTATTCTTCTCATAAGAAGATATTTATAGTGATACAAATACAAGCCTATTTAGGAAGTAATTAAAATAAGTAAAAAGGAAATAAATACAATTCCTGTCAAACTAGTATTCCTATAATTACAAATCAATTATAATAAAAGTAATTGTTTATAATTCCTATTGTGATTCAGTGATTCACACATCAAAAAATCGTCCTTCTTCCCACCATAATTGACCCAGATCTCGTCCTACATCACAGAAAATTTGGAAAGACACTGAAGTCAAGCAAACAAAAGAAAGAAAAAAATGGCTAAAAGTTTTTCTCAGTAGAGAGAGGACAAAATATTACAAGGCAAACCAAGTGAGAAATGAAGTACTTTCCTTTACTATATATATTTCAAATGTACTCCATTCAAATTTTGATCTTATGTTTGCAAGTGCCTATTAAGGAGTCTTCCCATTTCCTGAATTTAAAATATATCATAAAGAGAAATAAAGATGGATTTACCATTCGCCCGATAAATTGTTGTCATCCAGCTTGAAGCAATTTTGGATGAAAAAGACCCACCTGGGAAACATACAACTAAATGAATATCTGAAAAATAATAAGGCATTCTTATTTCGCTGTACCCATTAAAGGTTGATAGTGTTTGAAATTTGAAGTACCTGGGGAGAGTTGGATATATCTTCAGGTAAGGAATGTGGTTTATTTTGTGCCAGTGTAGTCCAAAGATAGAATATCTTCCCCGGGAATGTAATGTGACCCAAAGAATCTTTGGACACCCAGAGATAAAAAATTGCGAAAGTGGAAGAGTCGGGCCCACTGGAATAGATGCCAGCTTTGGACAATTCACGAGTCGAAGAGATTGAAGAGAGGTGAGGAATTGAAAGCCCTTGCTGCTCAGTTTCTTCAGATTTGGGAAGCCCACAATTGAGAGATGAGTGAGAGATTCAGGGAGCAGCAACTCCATATCTATATCCGTATCACCTTCGGGTGGAAACGACACCACATATGGGTCTTCACCATCGACCCACAACTTTGTAAGAGAGGTGAGCCTGTGCAACAACTGCCATAGCAGCTTACAATTCTTGATTCCGTGGATTGTAAGAGATGTTATGTTGGGGGGAAAGGAAGTGAAATTTAAACCTTCACCGTAATCAATATTCAATTCCTGAAGACAGTTGAGATTGCGCATGTCCGGTAACATCTCCAATTTGTTGCAATTTTTGATATGGATGTGTCTCAGGCTGGAGGCGGCTGTTGTTGTTGGCGAAGACAAACCCTCACCACTCAGGCTCGGGATGGAAACCAGACTCCCACAATCATAAATCTGAAGAGTTTTAAGATTGGTGAGGTGGCATAGGCCCTCCGTTAACGATTTCAGATTTGGGCAAAAACCGATGTTAATATATTCAAGACAATAATTAGTGTTGTCGTGGGCTAACCCATCAGACGTTATTAACTGCAGCTCTCCACAATCGGATATGTATAGGCGTTTAAGTGCCCTGGGAAACAATTGGGCTCTCAATGATAACGACATTAGAGATTCACATTCCCGTATATCCAAGTCTCGAAGAGAAATATGAGAAGAAGAAGAAGACGAAGAACCCACCTCCTCCTCTACTAATGACTTCAAACTTTTACACCGCAGTATCTTTATTCTTCTTAGATTCGGGGGAATCTGGTATTTTGCTAAATACAGCAACGAATCACACTCCTCAATCTTTATGACTTCAAGGGAAGGACGAAAACCAACATCTGGAAAAGAAACCAGACTTGAGCATCCAACTATTTGAAGGTCTTTAAGAGCTGTAAGGTGATGCAACCCTTCTGGTACCTTCGAAAGACTTGCACACTTGTTCTTCAGTGAAGATGTCAGCTCCTCACATCCGCCAATTGTCAATTTTGCAACCTTCCTTAATCCTTCGGTGAATTCCCCTGTTTGGAACCTCACCTCTGAAATATTTGAAAGTCCCAAGAACTTTAATAACTTAAACTCAACCCCACTCGTCTTCACCACCGCTTTGCAACCATCTATGCATAATCGACCAATTTGTTTATAGTTGGAAATTGAAATAACCAATTCCTCGCATTTAATAATTGTAAGTGTTTCTAATGAATCAAGGTTCTCGGGCAACTTACCCTCCAATTGAGGACAATTTCCGATTGAAAGAAACTTCAAGCAAGGGAAAACACAAATTCCAGTATCCCCAACAAAAGGAACCCATTTCTTCCAGTGTTGCATATCCTCAAACTCAAGAGTCTCTAGTACTGGAAAAGGCAAGCTACCCTCCCCATAAAACTCAGGGCCAACAATTTCCACTGCAGCCATTCCTGTAATATAAAGTTCTTTGAGCAAAGGCAGTTGCCCAAGGGGTGGCAAGATTTGACAATCTTTACATTTGTCTAAGTGTACATGCACCATAGTGGAGAATAAACGATCTCCAATCCATGTTGAAAATTCTAATCCAGCATAACCCCTGATGATGAGTTTTTTAAGCATTCTATGAGGTTCTAATCTGTCAAGCACGCCTAATTGTGTTTCTTGTGTGGCACTCGACCATTCTAGCACCAATTCATCTACACTCTCCTTGAATTTTAAGTTGGCCCTCCGTGCATCCTCAGCATCGATCACATTCTCTAATCTTGAGAGCCGTAATGTCCCTCGGAGATGGAATAGGGACCCTATATCTCTTATACCTGATTGATCACTACCTTTACCCACAACAAAATTAGGCAAAGATTGTAGATTTGTCAACCGACCTAGTTTCGGAGGCATTGCTTTCAACGCATCTGCAAATGAGTAGTTGAGATGACGTAGATTCACTAGATTTCTCAAGTTGATAGGCAGTGCCTTCAACTTATGACAACCTTCCAATATCAATGTCTGTAAGTTGTAAAGAGAGGTGGTTGATTCAGGCAAACATCTTATCCGTGTGTGAGAGAGATCAAGATACCGCAGATACTTCAATTTACCAATTGAATTTGGCAGCTTAGTTATTTTATAGTCATTGAAAGAAAGGACCCTCAAGTATTGCAATTTTGGCAATAAATCAGAAGTAACCTTACGACTTAGATAATTCAAATGATAATCAACTGAAAGTGGTAGGAAGGTTCGCAAATGTTTCACTTCAGAAAATGCCTCAAATCTTTTAACCACATCATACTTACCAGAAATGTAGGATGCATGGCGGGCCTTCGTAAAACATCCAAGTTGTACATGATCGCTGTTCTGCTTATCCTCCAATCTAAAACAAATATCTCCTGCAGCCCACTGTGCCAAACCAACAACGAGGTCATGCATTACATATTTTGAATTGTTTTTGCTTGATTTCTGAAATAATGACCTTGATAAGAGCTCCTGAAAATAGTCAGTTCCTAAATCTTCCATTTGCTTATTATGTTCTGGTTGTGGTTGAATCAAACCCTCTGCCATCCACAGAAGAATCAATTGATGCTCTCTAAATTCATAGGCATTTGGAAGTATCGAACAATAGGCAAAGCATCTTTTCAAATGTGAAGGAAGATAGTGATAGCTTAATCTTAATACCGGAAGTATGTCACGCTCACATGATAGACTCCATAATTTGTTGGTCAATATTTCCTCCCATTCATTCATCTCCTTACGAAGTAAAAGGCCACCAAGAGTCCTAGCAGCCAAAGGCAATCCACTGCATCTTGCAATAATTTTCTCCTTCAGTGACTCGAAATTTGGTGGTATATCTCTGTTAACATTCCTGAATGCATGCTGCTCAAATACTTCAAAACAAACGTCATTTGACATAGGCTCCAAATTATGAACTAGAGTGCCAGCTCCTATCATTTTCGAAACTTCTGCATCACGCGTTGTCACAATTATCTTGCTTCCTGCTGCTCCATCGCGAAAGGGGGACTGCAGTTTCATCCATAGACCATAGCTACATGTGCCCCAAACATCATCTAAAACAATTAAAAACTTCTTCCCAGCTAATTCCGTATGCAGATACTGTTGAACTTGATTGAAATCTTCGGTAGGATAGTGCCGGGATGTGACTGATTCGAGAATTTGCTTTGTCACTCTTTCTAGATTGAAGTCATCAGACACGCATACCCAAGCAGTTGGTTTAAATTGCTCGGTTGCATCAATTTCATTGAACACTTGTGCAGCAAGTGTTGTCTTTCCGACTCCAGCCATACCAACAATGGCAACTACATCGAAATTGACGGCACCACGCTCTTGTTTCGACAGAAATTCAACGACCCGCCTTTTGTCTTTGTCCCTTCCAATCACAGGTCCATCTGGTTGACTGGAACTGGGAGGTAAATTTTGACGTGCCTTAGTGGACGGCGTCGTCCCAGTAATGATATTCAAACTAAGCTGGTCCTTTCGCTGAGATATCTCTTGTAAACGCTCAGTAATCTTCTGTATTTCTGAGTTCATTTTATAGTTGAAAACACCATTAGGAACTGATTTCCAGACCCTTCTTGCGGTGTCGGCATAATGTCCTTGCTCTATCTCCCGTTTGAGCATTTTAGTAGCATATTTGTCCAATACGTCTTCCACATCATAAGCTAAGTCCCTGAGATCATCCAGCCAAAGCTTCAGCGGCTTGCTCTCGGTAATTAGTTGCCTCTCCTCCGCGTCATTCAGAACCGCTCCAATTGCAGACAAGGTGGCAGTCCATTTCTGCAGCTTTTGGTAGACGCCCTTTATGAGTCCAAAGTACTTGAACACTTCACGACGCGCCATCTTGTCGACCAGCACTTGAAGGAATGCCACAAGATAAGCCTCTCCCATTGTTTCTTGAATTAGCAGGGAGACGAAGCACTGAAAGAGTTCTGAACAGAAACAAGCTATCAAAGAAAACGTAAGGAGATGTCCAAGTCTCTGATTTATATTCATGCACATACGATTTCAATAAAATGAAATGAAGTTGTTCACTTTTCTATTTTATTTATTTAGTTTTCGTTTGGAAAAATCACAGAAATACTAGGTGCTCCTTTTTCATTTTATTTATTTATTTTGGCCAGAACAATTCTGGTTCTCTTTTTTTCTTTTCCTTTTGTTAGAAAGATGGTTTCAATTCCTAAAATAAAATGAAAAATATAAAGGGTAATTCAATTTACATAGGAAGAGAATTGATCAACATGCTGATTTGCTTTTCACAATTTCTAAGAGCAGTTAATCTTGCACACGAGATCCTGTATTCGGATCTCTCTCTTTAAATATTGCTTGTATAAAAAAAAAATTACAGAATAATGAAACTAAGCAAACCCAAATAAAACAACTTTGCCAATGTGGCTTGGGGCTTTATATTGCCACCGTCGATGACAGGAAGCCTTTTTTTATTTAGTAAAAATCATAAATCGGTTTTGAAAAGAGGAATAAAAATTCCATGAAAATTTATGTTGTCGTGAAAACAGGAATTCTGAGCAGATAAAATAAAATACAAGAAACAAAAAACGAAAGGCACCAAACAGAATAAATCAGAAGTACCTGCCGTTTAAGTAAATATCAGCAGCAGATTTCTTCACGAATTACCAAATACCAAAGGTGTCGCAATGCACAAGAAGGAAAATTCAAAGGCAATACACAGTAACACACTTTTAGAACCAAAAAGATCAAGAGAGCCAGAACCAAGACATAATATATATGAAGAGGGATGAAACTTATGGGTTTGAGAATTTTGAGTATGAGATGTTATGATGAAAAGATATCTCTTTTATTTTTCTTTTGGGTCAATGGAAAAGACTCTGAAACAAAGTCTGCGCTACAAAACAAAAGAAGAAGATAAAGTTCGTCATCTGATGGATAAGGAAAACGAAATGCAAATTCCCGAAGACCATTTATCCTACCACACCAAAGTTAGAGAAATTTCTGTGTTTGATTATTTGCATTCTGGATTTGATTATTTGCATTCTGGATCACTACTACCATAACGATTCACACAGTCGTGCTTTCCATTGTCTAATTATATAGTCATAAAGGCTATGTCATTAATGTCCACCCTTAATTTACTTATAAGAAAATTTGGTTAGATATGCAAACGTGGGTTAAGCTAGTTGACCACGGTTGTGTCTGTTCCTTGCACCCAATAGTTCGATCTCCCTTCTCGTTAGGTTAGTTTAGAATATTGCTTTGTCAAAAAAAAAGGAAAAAAAGAAAGATATTTATAATGAATTTGGAGATTTAGGAGCAATATTTTATGAGCATTGATGGTCCTTTTTCAACATGGTAGAGAGCCATAGGAAGTTGCCTACATTAAAAAAAAATTTAAAAAAAAGTATTGCTAAACGAACCTTAAAAATAACTGAGTACACTTTATTACCAAACTATTTATTGAATTACTAATTTACCCTAATATAAAATCACCAGAAAAGATATATTAAATTGTAAAACAAATATAATTTTAATGAGTACCCTACTCATCGTATTCAACCATAATTAAATATAGAGAAGTTTTCGTATTGTTTGGTACCCACGGCGAACAATGCAGCCAATATTGGCAGAGGCGCAAAGAGGGGTCATTAATTTTAATAAAAGCATTAATGTGGAGCCTGACAGTAAGAATAAGCTCGTTCAATGCACTTGAAATTGTATTGCATAATTAATAAACACTTTTGTATGAATTATGTAGGAAATAGTAAGAAGGTTGAGTCATTGGTTGGGCAACGGATCAAATTTTTGTCTCCAATAGATAAACGGTGAGCATTTTTCCAATGAAAGAGATGAGTTTTCAACATTGTTGTAGCTCTTCTTTATAACAGTATTAATTTTTCTTTTCCAATTTTTATTCAGGTAAAGTGGATGGTTATAATTCTCAAAATAGCAAATTTGGCTTACACCCTTCAAATTCAATTTGCCATACCTAAAACCTTTCACTTTTTGTTCCTATAAATAATACCCAATTTGTATAAGTAAAAACCCATGACTAGGATCCAACTCAGCAAGTTACCTAATTAAGCATAAAATCTGATTTATTGTACTTTTCAGATTCCAAAAATACCCCAAACTAAGCCATTATTGCATTTTGTATATTAATGTATGAATCAATATGGAAACAGTTTTTAATTGGATTGTATATAATGACAGATGTTGAATTTGGAAAGATCTCCAAATGGTTGTAATGGATGTAGGAATTAATTTTGGAACATTTAAAAAAAAACAATAAATTCAAATTTGGGTAATTGGTTTGTTTAATAAAATGTTTATGTTATTTTCTTTTTATGAATTATACATGACTAATAATCCACTTTATAATTGTTTATGAATAAAACTGTACATACTAATTATGTTGAAAAAATAATGTACCTATTTGTTTTATGAAAAATATAATTTACCTAGTATGAAAAGTGTACATAATTATCTATTCCAATATACCTACATTAATTTTAATGTACTTACAATTAGGATTTAGGTATTATATGTCATCCAATGTACCTACCATTTGAATAATATACCTACTACGAATAAAGTACCTATTATTTATCTAAATAATGTACCTATTTTTTTCTATAAATAATATAGCCTTTTTTCTCTGAATAAAGTACCTATTATTTGTTTTATTAAACGTAATTTTTTTAAATGAACCTATTTTCTCTCTCCAAATAACTTACCAATTTTTTTCCTCTAATAATTTACCTATCTTTCCTCTCCAAATAATGTACCTATATTTTATATAAATTATTGTGTACCTATTTTTAATTATGAAAAATATACGCAATTACAAAGTAACTGACTTTTTTTTTGGGGGTAAATAATATACCTATATTTTATATGTATATATTTATATTATATTTTTCATAGGTACATTATTGGATATGTAATTTACAGATTTTTTTGTTTGTTTGCAATTTTAGGGGGCGAGATGTGAGAGGGAATGACAACTAAAAGAAATGGGGTGATTGATATGCTATTAATAGGGAGTATATTAATTACAATTATGGCAGTTAATGAAATGCTTGAAATAAATTATAAATAAAATATGAAGTTTAGTGGCAACGATGTAAAAACATAGAAATACTACGACCTCTTATATCCTACTGGTCATTTAAATTTGAAATTGGGTTTTACACATAGATTTATAGAGTGATGGGTATATGTCTAGGAAATAGAAAATGTATGGATCTATATTGGACAAGCCCTTCTTAAAACAACACACACAAGGTGAATCAATATGACTAGTTTCAAACAACAATTTCTGTAGTTCAGCAACTACGTGGAAATTTTTTTAGAGAATAAAATACATCATTGCAACTTGTTACTATTAGGCATGTGATTATTGCACATCCATAACTGCCGGGAGAGTGTATTAGGGTATATTATGGGTATTTTTGGTAGTTAAATAGAGTGTTTTTACATTTTCATTAAAATATTATGGTGTACTTAGATCGTGTACTCAATTAATTTTAGAGTTAATTTAGCAGCACTAAAATAAAATTAAGAAAGCTAATAAGTGAGTTTTTAATCAAGTCGTGAGTACTGGCATAGATATTTGAGTTAATTTTGTATTTTTTATATAGTTTTCCGTAAAATACATGTTATTTTAAGTAATTAAGAAAAATTAAAAACTAAAATGTAATTTTTTTTTATTTTTTTGCTTCTTAATAATAAAGCAAGACTTCGTTTCAAATTTGCTGGTACATCTTTAAAATTTATACAATGCATATAAGCTGGCCAAAAGGTCTAGCGCAATGAAAAATGACATTGAATTGTAGATTACTTATATCAGGTTCGAACTTCTATAACACCTTAGTAGTTTGTGTGTGTGAGGAACCACCTCCCCCTTGTAGTGGTTTTGGTTTTAGATTCGGACAAGAGAAAGTTGTGAGTATTTAGCAAACTTGTTTACACACATAATCCTATATGTTAGCAAACTCATTTTACGTTGAAAAACAAATTATCAAGTACTATTATGTATCTTGATTGAAAAATCAAACATCTAATAGTAATTGAGTGTTCCTAACTTTTTTTTTAAAGAAATATTTTACTTTGGCTGCCTAAATGTTTTAGCATTACGGGCAACACTTTAATGGGTTTAGTGACGACACCTCCCAAAAAAGGAAATTAAAGGCTATTCTAAAATTTTAATCCAAATTCTACAATGTCAAAGGAAATTAAAGGCTATTCTAAAATTCTAATCCAAATTCTACAATGTCAAACTTCAGTTCCCTCGAGATTGCATACAAGGATTTAATGACCCGTTTGATAACTATTCAATTTTAATTTTTAGTGTTTATTTTTATGCTAAAGTGTAGAGTTAAAAGAGAGAGTGTGGAAATGAGAACAAAAATAAAGATTAGATTAAGATGGAAGATGAGAGGGGAGGATGGGAGGGAGGAGTAACAAAAGTGAAAACTGAAATCTATTTGAAATTATTTTCACTTTCAAATTTTTTTTTCAATTTTGTTACTCCTCCCTCCCATCCTCTCTAATCATTCTCTCTCTCAACCTCACTCCCATTCTCACTCTCATTTTTCTCTATACTCTAGCACAAAAAATGAAAAATGAAAACTAAAAACTAAAATTGAAATGGTTATCAATCAGGGCCTAAGAAACTAAGTTCATTTTTCCAACTTTTAAGTAGTTAGAATCACACATAATTTTCGAGAAATCATTATGGTAGCCGACGTTCTAGTAAATTTAAGACATACTCTTTGTCATATTTGTATTTGGGTACCGTACTTCCCTTATCCTGTGTCATATTGATTAAAATTTTAAGGTTCGTTTGATAACCATTTCAGCTTTAGCTTTTAGTTTTTATTTTTTGTACTATAGTATAAAAGAAAATGAGAGTTAGGATGAGATTGAGAGAGAGGATGAGAGGGGACGATGGGAGAGAAAAGTAACAAAAGTGAAAACAATTTCAAATATATTTTAGTTTTTAATTTTTTTTTCACTTTTGTTACTACTTCTTATCCTCCCCTCTCATCTTCTCTCTCAATCCCATCTTCACTCTCATTTTCTTCTTTACTCTAGCAAAAAAAATGGAAAGTAAAAACTAAAATAAAAATAGTTATCAAACGGGCCCTTAGTTTTTTGGTTTTAATATCCGTTGGGACATTTTTTTTTAATAGTAATATACTTTGTATTTCTAATAAGAATAAATAAATAAAATGACAAACTATATAGAACCCCCCAACCTATAGGGTCATTTTCAAGTTCATACCCGATTTTAGGGACATTTACCAGTACAAACTCAATCTGAGGGAAACCCTACAATTTGCCCCCTTTTGTTAGCCAAACCGTTAGTGAGAATGTTAAATGCTGAGTGTCAAAAGTGGGATCCTTTTTTGATGACGTGGACTTCCACGTGAACCAAAAATTAATGATAAATTATTTTACTGTTTAAATTATTTTAATATATATATATATAAATATATATATATATATATATCTCTCTCTCTCAAAACCCAGAACCATCCTAGCCCCGTCGCAATCCCAGCCACCCCACAATCCACAAACCCAGCCTCGCTGCAACTCATGAAACTGAGCTTAATGTCCCTTTTACCTATGCCATGATGCTCATGGGCAGCTTATCTCTAATTGAATTTCCTTTTCTAACTGGATTTTATCATTGTTCATTTCGCCTCTGTTTTTATTGGGCGGGCTTGCTTTAACCACAAATCCGTTGAATGAAGATAGCTTGCTTACTCTCAGCCACTAGTTAGAAAGAAATCCCTTGACTTCATTTATGCCCTTATGGCCCTTATGCAGTACAAAAGGCAAGTGAGGCGGGCTAAGATAACCTGTACTATGAAAATAGTAAGGATTATTCGGCCACTCCCCGTGTTCTGGTTCTTCCACTTTCGATCCATTCCTAATTTTTCGCTTCCGCATTCTTTTGTAACTTCAGTTCTTCTTCTTCTTCTTCTTTGATTTCTTCTTATTCCTCATTGGATTTCTCTTAGTTTCTGTTTGGAACCCTTTTTTTTTTGCCCTTCTTCTAATCTCAACAATGGCGTCTTCCTTTACAATCAAAATTGAGGGTCTTCCCGGCTTGATTACTATTCGATTGAGTGATGCTAATTTCATGAAATGGAGATTTCAAATTGAATCCGTTTTGCAAGGATTCGATTTATTTGGGTATTTGGATGGCTTCATTGTTCCTCTTCCCAAATTTGCACTTCTTGCTACAAGGGGTGTTTCCTCTCAAATTACTATAGCTTATCAAGAGTGGCTCAAAACTGATACTGCGTTACTAGGTTTGCTCCTTGCGACTCTCTCTGATGAGGTGATTGATTATGTAATTGGTACAAAGACGGCTCGTGAGGCTTGGCTCATGAATTGTGGGGTGGCTGGGGTTGCGACGGGGTTGGGTTCGTGAGTTGCAACGATGATGGCTGGAGATGGGGTTGAGGTTATGGCTGGGATGGTTCTAGGTTCAGAGAGAGAGAGAGAGAGATATATATATTTTTTTAAATAATTTAAACAGTAAAATAAATTTTTTATTAATTTTTGGTCTATGTGGAAGTCCACGTCATCAAAAAATGGGTCCTATTTTTGACACATCAGCATTTAACAGACTCACTAACAGTTTGGCTAAATGAGGGGGCAAATTATAGGGTTTCCGTGAGGTTGAGTATGTATTGGTAAATCTCTCTAAAATCGGATATGAACTTGAAAATGACCCTATAAATTGGGGAGTTTTATGTAGCTTGTCCTAAATAAAAAGTAGAACATTTTTGGGTAGGGGTGGGCACGGTACAGTATTGAGCCAGTACCGCTACCGATACCGGAAATTTAAATCGGTATGGTACGATATGGGATTATGGTTTGCCAAAATTGGTACCGTACCATACCATGCCAAATCAGTATCGGTACCATTTCGATACCAAAATGATACAACTTAAAAATGAACCAATTCAATATTCAACACCAAAATAAGTGATGCCTAAGTTACAAATTCAAATATTCAACATATTCAATATCCAAATCCTAATCAACATATTCAATATCCAAATCAACCAAATCAATATTTATCCATCAACAGATTCATCAAATCCAAATGGTTGAAACTTGTGCTTTATGGCTTACAAACCAAAATAGTTAAAATTATTTCTTATGGCTTACAAAAATGCAAACACAATCCAAACATAAATGACAAAAACATAAAGTTATACTATTCGGTACGGTACGGTATTGACCGGTACCAAAATCTTGATACCGCTACCATACCATACTCTATTGGTATGGTATGATACGGTATCGAATATCTCCCCATACCAAATGAAACGGTATGAAATCGATATGGTACGGTGCGGTTAGGGTACGGTTTCGTTATTTCGGTTTAAGATGCCCACCCCTATTTTTGGGTGCCTAGAGAATTTCTCATTCGGACACCACTTACTCTGTACGGACAAAAAGGGGCCCAAAAGCCCTCGGCCTTGAAAACCAACACGAAACTGAGCGCACTTACTTGTCTGCCCCTTCGTTTCTCTCTCTCTCTCTCTTTCGTAATTTCATATCGCCGACTGTACCCAGCTGAACGCAAATCACCACAATCATCACCAGCAGCAGAAAGAGAAGAGAAGATGTTCAGGGACGTGTCGAGCTGCAACACCTACAACTATGGCGACGCCCTCTACTGGGACGCCCGCTACGTCGAAGAAGGAGGCTCCTTCGACTGGTACCAGCGCTACTCTTCTCTCCGCCCTTTTGTCCGAAACTACATACTAACCTCCTCTCGGGTTCTCATGGTCGGCTGTGGCAATGCTGGTAATTTCCCCTCTTTCTCCGTTGCTCTTTTCTTCATTGTTTGTTTGTATAGCTATTCCCTTTTGAGAGTTTTAATCCGCAGGTTCTAGAGCTTCTTTCTTTCTCTGCATTAGTGCTCTGTTTGCTCTGTTTGTTTTGAGAGAAATTCTTAGAAAAAAGATAGAAAATAATTTTTTTGATTTGGGATGTTGGGTTTTTTGGATAATCGTTCTTGTATTTTTCATTGACAACCGGGCCCTTTTGGGTTTGTTCTGTTAGAGTATAACTGGTTCCCAAAACTTCAGTGGTTTTGAACATTCATCATTTAATTTTAGCTACTTTTTGGTAATTTTGACCTGTGTTTGAATTATGGAGAAGTTGTGACCAAATCAAAGAAATTGGGTTTTAGGGTTATTGCTGGTTTAGTGGCTGGACCTTGTTCTACTCCAATTTCCCCCCTGTTATTTCTGGGCAGTTGTGCTTGAGCTTGAATTCCCCAAATTAAGGTTCTCTCTTACTCCTGCCCGCATTCTCTCTGATAGTTCCATCTGTTTTGGTATATGGATACATGAATCACCAGGGGGGATGCATTCTGTCTAGGCCCTAGAATGAAACTACAAGTAACAACATATCATTTGATCTCACACTAATTAGACAATTGATGTCGAAAGTAATAATGTACCTGATGCAATTAGGGTGCTTTGGCGTCCCTAAACATGGCATTGCCCTTTCCATCTATAGACGAAGAACTGTTGATGTAAAAATGATTCATTTTCTAATCAGGAAGGTCCTAACATCTATAATTTCATTGGATTTAGATATTTAATATCTACTTGTTGAGTGAAATTCTGATGGAAAAATCTTCTCCTGTAGTTATGTCTGAGGACATGGTTGCGGATGGATATGAAGACATAATGAACGTTGACATTTCATCAGTGGCCATTGACATGATGAAAAGAAAATATGAGCACATACCTCAGCTGAAATGTATCCTTTTGAAAACTTACTTCATTAAAATTACCAGTACAATTTTGTACTGCATTATCTTTAGTAAATATTGCAGACTCTAGGCATGTTTCCTATACAATTAGACATGCAAATGGATGTTAGGGATATGAGTGTCTTCCCAGATGAATCATTTGAAGGTGTCATTGATAAAGGTATGTATCATTTCTTTGTTTTAGTCATTTTAGAATACACAATACTGTAGACTAATTTTTTCTTTTTTGTCTTAATAAAACTGTGTTGCTGTCACCACTTTTTTGCACCTGTGGTCTGTCAAAGGAACTCTTGATTCACTGATGGTATGATGTCTGTTGTGATGTTCTTATGACTCCTCTTAGTATTACTCAAACACACTCTAATCTCTTATTTGTTCTTATATTTCTAGTGTGGCAATGACGCTCCAATTAGTGCTGCTCAAATGCTAGGGGAAGTGAGTAGGTTGTAGACTTTAAGACTCAATTGACAGCTCCAATTTTTTATATTACTGGATCAGTACACAATTTTTTCTATTTAAAATTTATTCATTATTGTTTACTTTTATATTCCGTCACTAACCACAGTTGTTATTTTGCTTTTAGGCTTCTTAAACCTGGAGGGATCTATTTGTTGGTAACTGTGCACCCTTAGATGTGGCTTTATATTTTACGTTGTTCTTTCTTTTATTGAAATCTCAAAATACATAATCTGTTCTTAAACTGCCACGTAGCAGATAACCTATGGTGATCCTACAGTAAGGATGCCTCATTTGATCCGGCCAGTGTACAATTGGAAAGTTAATTTGTACATCATACGTAAGTTTAGTTTTCATGTCATATTAGTTCGTCCATTTTCCTGTTCAAATATCTATCATTTTTCAATTCTTTCCAGAAGTGATTTTGCTTCCACCTTGTTATTTGATTCACACATAAAATCTTTTGAAGTTGTTGATTTTAGTCCCTTCTAAACTATGTTTCTACCCACCTTTGGGGGATCTTGTTTTGGATAATCAACAGAGACGATGATGCTATGATTTTGCTTGCTCCTGTTTCTTGTACGTTTTCTTTTGATTCATTAATTGTTGTTACAATTGATGATTGAGGCGCCTTATTTTGTTTTGTTATCCTTTTGACTATCTTTTCACAGCCAGACCAGGATTCCAAAGGCCTGAAGGTTGTAGTTCATCAATAAAGTCATATTTGGAACCTATTCCTATCACCGAGAAGGGCTTACTTCCAGCTGAGTTTGTTTTGGAAGATCCAGATTGTCACTTTATATATGTGTGTAAAAAGGATGATATGGAGCTAAGTAGTGCAACAACTTATGGATTGACAGTTGATCTCTTACAGTAGCTACTTGCAGTGAAGCACCGATGAAGGTATAACGGTCATCCTTGGGTGTCTGACAGATAAAGGATTCTGTTCAATGTATCTGCCTGGATTTTAGGGTTGAAAATCTAAAACAAAAAAACCCAATAAAATAAAATCCTCCTGAGAAACCAGACACATTATCCCCATATTTGATTTCTTTTATTGTGTCAGTAAGTAGCTACCAAAACAATTACAAAATAGAAGTGTGATATTAAGTTCATGGAACATTCTTGCTCAGCTCCCTTGTACAAGTATGTGATGGTTGTTTTGGCGTGCTGGTTGCTAGAATGCATTGTTGTGTCGATCCTCCAGTTTGTTCAAGTTTACAACCAGTTTTTATTGAAAATTCTTCCAATCGTGGACTTGCTTGTATATCAATCAGGATGCTCGGAATGAAGGGCATATGAGATTGAAACATTAGCTTGTATGTTCCAATGAAGGTGGTTGCCCCGGCACGTATTTGTGTTTGTTGGTTTGATACATGTTTATGTGAATGGAGAAAACGGTGGCATTGGATAGGGGAGGGCTATGATGCCAGCCGGCATCAAGCCCAAACGTATTGTCTGAAACGGGGGTTACAAAGCAGAGACTTATTTTTTTGTTGTTGATAAAAAGCGATAGAAGTTTATTAGTTCAAATGGACAAAAAGGCCATGTTTAGTACGCCTCACTTGGCTGGATTTGGTTAAATAGTACTCGAAATCCTTGTTTTGTAAGAGACATGACTAACTTAAATGAGATTGTACAGTCCAATAGTGAAAAAAAAAGGCCTCTCTCGCTCGTCTAATACAGTGAGCTTAAAAAGTGGTTCACTAAATAGCACGCTCACTAAATAGAGTAAGTGAGTTCGACGCTTTCTTTAAAAAAATATCATAATTTTATTTGTTTTTTTTTTAATTATTGTTTTAGATCTTTGAATGGGGTTTTCTTTTTTTGCAACATTTATTTTTTTATAGATAAAAATCTTTAATTAAATTTAACTATTACAATAATTATTTTGATATTGCATTTGGAAAATCAACTATAGTAATTTACAAATGTTTGATATTTTTTTTATATTGAAACAAGTTTAATAATTCATGATGTGATGCTTTCTTTATCCCAAGCAATTTTTACTTGTCTTTGAAGTCAAAAGTCAAATATACAAAAATTATACATATATATATAATTTTTTTAATTATTGTTTTACTTAGTCCTTGAAAAACCTAGAATTATATAGATTGAGCTTAGCTCCTTTAACAATGTTTCGACCAGCTAAGATTAATCTTGGGAAGCCAAAAAACAAATATCATAATTTTATTCTTCATAAAAATAAAAAAAAAAAAAAAAATATTTGTTATTTTTATTTGTTTTCTTTATTATTATTTTTTTTTTTTGTTTTTTTTTTTTTTTTTTTTGTTGCTTTTGCCCCCATATATTATATATAAATTTGAATTGGGTTTCCTTGTAGTGAGAAAAACTTTCCTGGCACGGGGATGCCAGGTCAGAAAACCCACTTCATATCCCAATACAATAAGATTGTGCCGTCTGTCCAATTTGCACAGTACATCTCTTCTGCCGGTGCAAACCAAAGTTCCGTTTTTTAATATTATTTTTTCCCCAAACAAACCTCACGGTTGTCATTGCAAGATTGAAATCACTTAAGAAAAATCCAAGAATTTCATCTCTATCTTCCATGATGCCCAAATTTTCAAGTGTACAAAAATTCATTTGAATGAACATAAAAATTCAAAACCTTTTAATTATTCCAAACCCGTGGTTCAAATCCAAGCAAAATCCCCAAACTTACACTTGGATTTCCCCAAACAAAACTTAATTCAAGTTTCCGTCTAATTTCACGTCAACAAGAAACCCATGGTATCATTTTAATCATTGTCGACCTGCTGGTTTGCATGACCTTCTTGAGGGCATCCATGTAAGCAACAGTGAGGAACCCACTAGTTTCTTGAGATATTTAGTAATATACCCATTCTTAGCACTAAAACTATAAATAAACCCTACATCATTTCATTTTTATAAACATACCAAAAAAAAACCCAAAAAATGACAAAAAATTTAATTTAAAACTTTGACAAATGGTACTATTAAATTTAATTTAAATTATTAAATTACTTTGATACCCTATTGAGTGTTTTGGGTTTTTTTATGAATTTTTGGGTTGGGTTTGTTTTAAGAAATCAATGGCAATTTTGTAATTTAAAAGAAGTTAAAAGCCTTTTTGTTATGTTATAAATGGGCTTTGGGTGTGTTTATAAATTCCATTTCATATAGGGTTTTTTTATAATTTAGGCTCCTATATTGGGTATATTAGTGAATCTCCCTAGTTTCTTTGGGTATTTTTGTTTGAATTTGTTGAATTCGAGTTGGAGAGAACGAAAACCTTGGACCTTTACTTAATAGTTTCAAGTTGATCTTACAGTGGAAGGCCGGATTCTGCGAGTGTATGAGGAGAGAAAATGAAAAAACTGAGCTTTGCTTTAAACCAGCAGGAGAGAGACGGTTTTGGGAAGATTGGGCACATGGCACAATCTTATTGGATTGGGATATGAAATGGGTTTTCTGACTTGGCATCCCCGTGCCAGGAAAGTTTTTCTCCCTTGTAGCATTTATTTATCTTTTAGGATAAAAAATTAAATTAAATTTAAATATTATAAGAATTATTTTTTAGTCCGATACAGCACCAAACGTAGGTCATACTTAATCCAGCTTATGTCAATTCAAGCTAATCTGAGCCAATCCTAGAATTTAGTTCAGTCCATGACACTCTGCCCTGCCAAATGACCCCAAAGAGTACAAAGGGAAAGACTATAAAGGGAGCCATCCCAATATCAAGACGATGACATGGGCAAAATAGTCCCAATGAAAACTGATATGGAGAGAATCACTCCCAAAAAAACACTTTTCTAGAACCCTTATTTACCGCTATAGCTGTCTTGAATCTAGTCTAATTACATCAAAGATAAAACCAGCCGCTAACCGACAGCTCATAGAATTTTTTGGAATTATGAAAGAAAAATAACACCGACAGCTCATAGAGTTTTTGAACTTTATGAACAAACTAAACCAAAATTAAAAAGCCGAAACAACATCAGTAAAACAAAAGGGAAACCAAGCACCACTAATCTTCCTTAGGGACATGACATAGAGAGTGTCATCTAGTTACTCCAAGGCGTGCCACCTAGTTACTCCAAGGCCTCAACACATCAATGAGCAGTGGATCTACCATGAGCAGTGTAGATCGACATAGATCCACCAAAAGCCATATAACATCGAGAATCTAACGGGATCCTCTGAAGCTCTCTCTCTCTCTCTCTCTATCTCTCTCTCTCTCTCTCTTAGCGGTTTTTTTTTCTATTTTCAACTAACAACTTAAATGAGAAATATGATTGCTATTTATATCTTGATGATTAAATGAGAAAATGCTTCTTTGAAAAAAGAAAAAAGAAAAAGCGAGAGACTATGTGCCCGTTTGGCATTGCTTATTTGGGGTGATAAGTGATTTTTTTTTAAATTTTGGGAAGCCCAGACCGTTTGGTAAACTATGAGAAAATCACTTATTGTTGAAAATTGTTGTGAGAGAAAGGTATAAGGGAAAGCAGTTAATGAGATGCTTTCATTTTCTGATTATGCAAGAATCAGTTTCGAAGAGGAGCTAGGTTTAATGATTATGCGAGAATCATTTTCTGATTATGTGGGAATTAGTACCGACAACACTTTTAACAAAAAGTTTACCAAACGCCAAACTGCTTTATCTCACAGCAAATCTGACATCGATTATTTTTACAGCACAACAATGCCAAACTGGCCCTATATGAAGTAGGTGGCTAGCAAAGCGGGAAGAGAAGAAAGAAATGGAAAGTAACCCAACTTGATACCTAGAATCTTTTCTTCTAAAGTTTATGACTTGGATCATTTTAACCCAACCTCTTTGTAAACCAGGTTTTTCTATGAAACAACATGAATAAGACTGGCTGAAATTTTGTTGGCCATGAACTTCTATTTCTTTTAAATTTTGTAATAATTTGCATTTTAATATGATATTGTTTTACAAATTTGTCCTCGTAACATGAGATAGTTGTGTTGAAAGTTTTTTCTTTAATGAGGGTAATTTTGGGTTATTGGGAAATTTAACCATAATGGCCTAGATCTATTATAAATGTTCTTAATCACTATAAACTCCCACTAATAAACCACATTATTTTTAATTTTTAGATTTATTACAAATTTTTTAAAGCAAAGAGTGTATGATTAATGTTAATTATATGATGATTGACAGCAAATGTTGTCACAATAATACTAGTTAATAAACTATAGATAAATACAAAAAGTAAATGTGAATTTATTGGGGGGAAGGTCTCAGACTTGATATATCATTAGGCAATATCATCATCACAACTCTTCTCTTAATATTTTGAATACAACTGATAGTCTAGATTACGAGAAAAATTTGGTTGTATTGGAGATATGACTATTTTGCTATTCCTGACTAATCCACATGGAAAAATTATCATGTATGTCATAACGTTATTAGCTAGAGATAACACTGTTGCTGTCCCTATTTCATGCAAGTGTTTTTCCTAAACTACAAGGAGAGGAGGCTTTCTCACACACACACACACTACAAGTCAATGCCATTTTTCATTTGGCCCATTAGCCAACACTTTTCTTAATATTAAAATTTGATCTTGTTTATTTTTGTGATTTGATATTATCGTCCGCTTTAGATCTAGTCATCAAATATTTGTTCTTAGACCTTCAAGCCTAAGTTGCTAAATTGGTAATTCCTATGCGTGAGTGTCCATAATCAGATAGTAGAGGATTTTTTTACTTGGCAATCACCATCTTAAGTGATGAATCTCAAGCCAGGAATTAAATTAAGACCTATCAAAGTTGGATACTTAAATAGTTTTTAAGAAATAGTTTTTGGTACTCCAAAATAGTCATCATGCACTCCTAATTTTAAAAAATAAAAGTGGAAGACATTCTTGATAACTTTTCTTTAAATGGTAAAAATAATTTTCATTATGTATATGTGCAAGTTTACTTTGAGGTTGAGGAACCAATCCAAATTCAATACTTTTCTTTCTTAAAAATGTGGGTCACTATGAATCATGGCTTAGAAGCGCCATTTCACCTGTATTCCATAAAACATAAATGGTGCACACTTCCTCAAGTAAATTTACATTCATACCCTATCTACCTGCATACAAATATGGAATAGTTTTTGACAACCCTTCTCTAGGCCTAACCTATATATAGCAATAAAATCACTTTAATTATGGGAAGAAAAAAAATCTTTTGCAGCCCAAATGAGTCATGAGACCCTTCCCAATTTGCTCATGACAGCAAAGAAGAGTCAATAGTCCTGACATTCCTTCCAAAAACAGCAAAAGTGCTTTTACAAATTAGGCAATGCCCTTGTCTAAAATTGGCAGTGGCTTTACTAAATGTATCACTTAAATGTAACCAGAAACTTCTCAATGTGGCAAATTGAAAGAAGAGAGAATTAGATGCCCAAGGGCAAGTGGGTTTCACAACAGACCCATTACAAAATTGCCAATGGGACTCTAAATGTGGAAACAGAAAAGAACACAAAATAAGCCTACCGCCTGCCTCTCTCTCTCTCTCTCTCTCTCTCTCCTCTCTCCTCTCTCTCTCTAATTTTGGCCACTTGATTTACTATACCTAGCAGCAACATTAAACTACCATGTTTATAGCACATAGATAATCATAAAATAAAATAAAAAATAAAATAAAAAATAAAATAATAATAATAATAATTTTGAAATGTAAAAGTGGGACCCACAAAAGCCAGACTAACTAAAAGAAACTCAAATACAATTTAAAAAAGGAAGGAAAAGTGGGTCCCACAAAGAGACCCATTAACACCCAAAACACTCCAAATGTGGCAAAACAGAGTCATGCAACCACTCTAAATAGTAAACAGAGCCATGCAAACTTGCCGTTTCCGAGCTTTCGCCATTTGGGGCAAAAACGCTTTCTTTTCTCTCACACACGCCCCTTTATCTTCTCCCCAATCTAATTTTGGCAACCCGTCTCTTTCCCAAGGACCCTCAGAACGGCTAGAGAGGGAAAGAGCACTCTTTTAGAGAGAGAGAGAGAGAGAGAGAGAGAGAGAGAGAGACCGACACAGAGAAAACCCAGAAAGACTTTGAATTGGAATTTAAGTTTTTCGGCTGTGGTTGGTTGGTTCCTTTGTGGGTTTTGAGCATTTGGGTAGTTTGGGTTTGGCGTTCTGAGATATGGGTAGGGGAAGATTGAGATCAAGAGGATTGAGAATGCTAATAGCAGACAAGTCACATTCTCAAAGAGACGTGCTGGGTTGCTCAAAAAGGCTCAAGAATTGGCTATTCTTTGTGATGCTGAGGTTGCTGTTATCATCTTCTCTAATACTGGAAAGCTTTTTGAGTTTTCCAGTGCTGGGTATGTATCTGAATTTTTATACTTCTTTCTTTTGGAGACAAATTGCCAATTTTTTTTTTCTTCTGAAATTTTGAGGTTCATGCATGTGTTTCTTCTGATTTTCTGTGATGGTTTATTGATAAAGCTTTTGTCCTTAGTTGGTTCACCTAATTTCCTCATGACTGCATACTTTTTAGGAATTTATCTGGGGTTTTGGGTTTTCCCTTTTTTATTTGGCTTCAAAAATTTCAATGTCTATTACATTTTTTTCTTCATTTTTTTATTTATTGTTTTTATTTTATTTTACAAACTAGTGGATGCTCATGTTTCCGTTTCCTCTTATTCTTTTATAGGTATGTACTTCATTTCCTTTTTTTCTTTTTTATATAAAATGTTCTCCACGTTGTGTGCCAATTTGTTTATTGTTATAATTGTCAAGTTGGGGGCGATTTCACCTATGATGTGGTCTTCTCATGAGTAACTTTTGAAGTAATTATGCAAATAGTTGAGATTCTTCATAACATGTTTGGAAGTATTATTTTAAGTGGTTTTTGTTCCAACTTTTATGATGTTGGATCGATTTCTTTTTCGACTCTTTAAGTACTGCTGATGCTTAATTGACTCTGAAATGAACCTTGGTAAGCTACTAGTGCTGCTGGTGCTTAATTCAGAACCAGTTGGTCAGTCAGAACTATCAGAAGGCCAATTTCAGCTTCCATTACTGATAACTCTGGTCGCTCTAGTACTCACACCCTTAGCAGAATCATAAACACTCCACTGCATTTAAAAGGAAATGCCACTTCTTGGAACTCCCCTGTTTGGTTGTTGCTCCTTTGTCCATCGTGTTAAGCTGGACAGTGGTTGATTGTAGGGATTGGAATATTCAGATGCTCTTTTCTCTTGTCCAAGGCAAGGTCAGCTAGATGGTTCCATAATGGGATATTAGAATGACTTCTGAAGTCTTGGCGTGGTGGAAATACCTGAAAAGCCAGTGGGCATGGGGTTTTTAATCAAAAGGCTTGAATTTAGTTTTGTCTTTTGTCCTTCTTTATACCAATTGATGACTCCGTATTAAGCAGAAGGCAAATGCCAATGGTGTCATTCCTCTCTAGAATCCATAGTGCAAATTTTTCCTCCCCTAAATGTAGGAATTGACCAAAAAGAATACATGATCCTTTGTTTCAATTTGTCTGTATTCTCTAATGGCCTGCGAACTTTGCAGAAGCAAGTCTCCTCTCTTTCTCTCTCTGTTTGACAGTCCTTAATTGTATAGAAGGTGATCACTTGAATGAAAGTTAATAGTCCTCATGTGTAATTACATTTTGGAAATTTTCTATCTCTACTCTTGTAAGCCTTTGCTCTTCCGCTGGAGATGACCTACACTTTTTCTCCAAACATGAATTAAAGACTCAACTAACTTTTGTTAACTGATTGGATTACAATATGGATATTGTTTCTGGTTTCTATGGACCCATTTTTGTCTTTCTACAATATTTTAGTTTTTTTGGCTAAAGCATTTTGGATATTGCATCTAGCTTGAGAAGAAGCATTAACTCAGTGGTTTATCACCAGTTCCTTGGACAAAAAAACAACTTAGAAGTATTGCTGTAAATGAAGAGATAAAGCAAGTTGAAATTAAATTTTCTCTGTTCGTCTGAGTGGAACACTGCTGATGTTGATCTGTTCGTACTTTTGTAGTATGAAGCGAACTCTTTCAAGGTATAACAAGTGCTTAGATTCTTCAGAGGATGCAGCAGAAGAATCCAAGGCAGAGGTATTCTGCTCAACAAGTTTATATACTTGACACTTGTTGATCTTTTATGTTGTAACACAAATTTTAAGATGGACAAGTTTGTTAATTTGTTGGTTCTTCCTGCGGTAATTTGTTCTTCCTCCTGTTGCATGTCAGTCTTACCTGTATGGAACTTTGACAAAGCGAAATATATGTTAGTGAATATGTTTCATATGTTCAAAATTGTTCTTTTCCCTTGGTAAATTATGTTGACCTCACTTGGAGCAAGGACCTCCCATAATATTTCCAGAAGTTATTCTGACCTTCGTGAATTGTATTGGAGATATAACGCTATGAAAGGTTTTAAGAATTGTCCGGTTGCTGGAAATGACATTTAGTTTTGTATAGGTATTAGAAATAGTGATGCTGATCATATGAGTTTTAAATATAGTGACATATATAAAGAGTGAAGCGATATAGTTACTGTAATTTCATAAAACGACAGAAGGATGTAAATAGTGTATGAGTAATGCCCTGTTTTTGCATTAGTTGTGAAACAATGAAGTATATTGGAAAAAGATGATTGACACACAATGTTCATTTTATGAAGTTTTGGTCTGCATGAGATGATTTTAGTTGAGACTCAAGTCTGAGCAGTACCTAGGCAGTTTTAATTGCTTCCTTGAGAACCTTTTCCGTTTGTCGTACTTTGTCTTTTTTTTTTCTTTCCACGATCATAGTTTTGTGGACTCAGCATTCTATTGATAATTCTAACTCTATCTTTCTTTTCAGAAGCAAGACTTCAAGGAGCTGGATGTTCTGAAGGATGAATTTGCAAAGCTACAAAAGAAACAAGTGTATGTATTTACTCAATTCTTACATTTTTGGAATACTGTGAGATCCTGACACGTAATAATAATATTTTTTCTGATTGTGTAGAAGGCTATTGGGTAAGGACTTGACTGGTTTGAGCTTGAAAGAATTGCAGCAACTAGAACAGCAATTAAATGAAGGATTATTGTCAGTGAAGGAGAGGAAGGTTCTATTATATTTTCCTTTTTCATTTTTTTTTCGTTTCAGTTATTCAGTAGAGATGTCAGATTATGTTGCAGTTGTAACATGTACTAATTCCCGCAATCTGAAAGGCCTGAATATATATTCTACTATTTCAGGAGCAATTACTAGTGGAGCAACTAGAGCAATCAAGAGTACAGGTACATGGAAGCACAACCGAATTTTTTAGTCTTTTTTAAAGTTAAAGCTGTAGTAGTAGCACTGCGTAGTTTATGCTGAATTATCACTTTCTAAAGAACTAAAGAAGAAAATTCATTTCTGCAAACATATGAAAGCTGCAATTTTTCTTGAAGTTTACTAAAGATACTATTTTGTTTCGATTAAGCTACTTTTACTTTGAAGTATGGATAATCACAATGATTTAGAGCAAAAGGAAAGAAAAAGAAAAAGAGAAAGGGATATGACAATGAAAAGTGACAGGAAAAGGAAGAAAGTGACTAATCTATAATGCAAAGTTTTTCCTTATATACTTATGTTCTGGTTTTAAAAGCTTGGCTTTATGGTATAAGTTGCACAATGACCTTGCATCTACACTGGTATGTATAGAAAAGACTAAGTTGCACACTTTTACCCGGTATTTAATTTTCAGCTATTTGTTTCCTCCAGGAACAGCGTGCTATACTTGAGAATGAAACGTTGCGCAGACAGGTAAACAACATTCTTCCTGCTAATGAAAATTTGATCAGTTTCTGACATTTACTTCCCTGTGAGTGATTTGTATATTATGTAATGTATCTGTTACGGCCTATTCTTATATTGTAGGTTGAGGAGCTTCGATGTTTATTTCCACAAACTGACCGTGCAGTCCCATCTTATCTGGAATATTATCCTGTGGAAAAAGAGAAATCCCTTGTAAACTATGGTGTCACAAGCCCAGATTTGGTCAGCAATTTTGCATTTGAGAATGGAGATTCTGACATCACCTTGCATTTAGGGTACTATTCTTTCCTTATTAACAAAATAACCTTCAAATAAACTGCAAAACTGTTGTTGCTTATTGTTTCTTGTGCATCCTAAGCTACTTAATAGATTTAGATAATATTTCCTAGTTGCCTGGCCCATTGCTCAGCAATGGCGGAGCATGGAAAATTTTAGGGAGAGGTAGAGGGAAGCAAAGTAAAGTGTTAAAAGTTTATTACTGGTGAAATAAATATATAGTACTTATCCATACTGCGAGTAAAATTGATTACTACTAGAAAACTAATGTAAACAACTCAAATGTTAATTTCAATATGGTCAAACTATATAGTATCTTTTAGATGTGCTTGATGTTCTTTCAAAAAGTAGAACTCATCTATGATAAACAGTCATATTGTTTGGCTGATTACAGGGTGGACTAATCTGGCTCCCACAGGAGGGATTCTGTTCCTTCTTTTGCAACTACAGCCTTTTCACAGGACCTTACAGGGCTCCCTAGCTATAGGTTAACTTGATTTTGTAGCCTTTTATTTTGCTATGATCTTATTTAGCTTCTCTTAGATGGGTTTTTTCCTTTTTGTTCCTCTTTCTTCATGTATCCTTTATCTATTTCAACAAATTTCTTCGTATCATCAAGGTTTTATATAAATAAAAAATATGAGTAAATAAATATGCCCAACTGTACAATCGAGACTAAAAGGCCTCAAATAAATTTTGGGGATGGATTGTGGTTAGGATGGGCCAGCCAAAATATACCCCAGCCCTGTTAAGAAAACTTTAAATTTATTTGCCCCTATGATTTCTTGTTTTACAGTTGATGTAAAACAAGTTTCTCAAGTGAAAATTAACATTGTTATCTTATTCTGTTCGTTGTACATCTACTGTCTTTTTGCCAGGCTGCCAAGTGATGTTTATGGCAAGAGGAAGGCTCCAGAAAGAGAAGCTCACTCCAATGACTCAGGGAGCCAATTAGCCCTGTAATTGTTTCTGAGGTTCTCTTTGCCATAGAATCAACAGATGCTAGAGATGAATTTCATACAGTTGAGAGTGTAGCTTATTAGCTTTCGTCAAAAGGTCAGTAACTTGTAAAAGAGAAGGTAGAATCCGTAGGTGACCCGAAAATCATCAATGTGGAGACATAGAAGTTCCTTTCTTGGGAGGTTTGGCTTATGGAGAGGAAGCTGCTCTAGTTAGTTATACTTGTTTCCTTTGTAATTTGCTTTGAGGCCAGAAAATTTTAAAAAAGAAGATGAAAATGTAATCTGTTTTGGATATTTACAAATTGTAGCCCTCCTTGGTCGGATTTTAGAGTACCTAGAGTACTTTTGGAAGTTCGTTAAATCTCAGCCATTGTTTTGAAAGTGAAAGGTTCAAATTATGCAGCAAGGTTAAGTCTTTTAATTTATTTTTGCTATATACAAAACAAATTCTGGTTTTTCAAAGTGTTTTTATGTGGAAAAAGAACACATGATTACAATCATAAAATAAAAAAAGAGTAAAATCAATAAACATACAACAATATTCTGTACAGACTAAATTATACAATTGTTCTCTACTGCTTTTGCTGTCCAAGGCCATTGAGCAATTGATTTCTCCCAGCCAAAACCTTATTGAAGAGACAATCCACCTCTTTCCCAAAACCCTCCACCAACTTCTCAAACACCTCTAATCTTCTCCTTAATTCCTCAGCTGCTTCATCACTGCTTTTTCCAGTTCCAATAGCAGCAGCAAGGCCAGCCACTGCATCATCAAGCTCTTTCACCTCTTTCAACACACCATTTCTCTCCACAATTACTTCACTTGCTCTCAAATCCAATCCAGGAAGCCATGAATCAACAAACCTTCCACCTGAACTTCTCATCTCCAAGTATGGCTTGGCTTCCCCAACTAAGCCAGACATTAAAATCCCACATACCCAAAATACCATACCCTGCATAACCACCAAAGCTTGATCAATAACAGCTTGCTTGCTAATATTGGAACACCTTGGTTTCCCAATCTCTTCATTTCCTTGGAATCTGAGTTCCTTGTTCAAAACCTTTGGTTGGATTGGCTTCAGATGCTTTAAAGCCAAAGAAAGTGATGAATTCTCCACAAGGCTCAAAGCATGAGCTAGTGAAAGCCTAGCCTTCCCAAGATGAGACAAAGAGGAACTAATGGAATTGCAAAGCTCCAACAAATTCAAACTGTATTTGAGATACTCATCCACAGAAGCAGCTTCCCATTTGCTCACAGGATAGTCTATGGCCACAACTAGCTTGGCAAAAAGCATGGTTGATGATGGGTAGGAGGTCAAAACACTGTTGAATCCATGAAAAAGATGGGATTTCTAAGCCAGATTTTGAACTTGAAGACAATTTGTTCAAGCAATTTGAAACATGGGATTTGAAAGCCTCCAGAGATGCTGTTAAGGCTTGTGATTGGTGGTTGTGTTTGTGGTGATGGAAATTCTCCAGTTTAGAGTAAAATTTATCAAACTTTTGCACCAAAAGAACCATTGCAAATGCAATATGAGGAGCTTTGGAAGTTTGTTTTGTGTTCTGTTTTGGAGACTTTTGCTTTATATACAAGTTTGGTTTGGTTTGAAAAAGTCCACATGGCGTGTTAGCGTTGGCTTAATAGATAGACACAGAGAGTAGCAAAACCAGGTGCGTGTGCAAGACAAAGCAAAGCACCTTCCACCATGCCAAATTGAAAATTAAAAAACAGGGGGATTGTCGGCGGTCAAATGTGCTTATCTAATTGTGTACTTTCCTTGGTGCTGATATACACGTTTGTGGGCAATTGGGTCCACTTGGGCCTTGTTGCCTACAACTGTAAGCTGCGTAAACAAGGATGAACAAATGCAGTTCAGATTCTCTGCTTTTATTTTATGCTCTGTTGCATTATCTATGACTAAAATTAAATGTTTTTTTTCTTATATTTTGACAAATTATAGGATATTTACAAAATACTTGTATAACCCTCATTATCCAACTAATTGGAGTCGAACGATAGGTAAATACACTCATAATAAAGCTAGACTGCAACTAGGTATCGAAATCATCACAAATACTTATCTTCTTTACCATCTATGTGAGAGAACCTGATATTTGTTCCAACTAACTAGAAACAAATACCACTAGACTAGTTAGTGTGTGATTCTATGTTTTTCTCTTAACTTTTATTTAAGAGTTAATTCCCTAAACTTCACCAATTTGAAATGACCCTTAAATTTAGGGATTTTTTTTTATTTAATAATATACCCTTTATTTAAGTATTATCTTTTCCATATAAACTCTAAAGTAAACTCAAGAGACATAAATATCTGGAAATGACATCATTTTTGGACACAGATTCAGTATTAGCACAGGCAACATCAACAAGAATCCTATGCTTATTTTTCCACTTTTTCTTTTAAGATAGAAAGAGAATTTTGCCTTAGAAAAGTGCTTTGGGCATCCCTGTCTCAAATCATGATCAGCAAATTCACACCGTCGTTGTCTTTTTTATTTTCAAAACTACGTACGGTACGTGGTGTTGTTTGTAAAAACAAAAACATTGTACAGGTCGTTTCTGTCGTTTGTCGTCCATCTTTTGTTGCACATTAGCTGGTGAGCAAAACATCCTCGGCTTGGGGGCATCTTTTTCTTAATTTTTTTTTAAATTTTTTTAAAATTCAGCCATTATATATTTTAATAATATTTGCTTACAATTAATAGTTTATAGTCTTTATTTTAATAATACATGAAAATACTTGTATAATATGTGAATATTATATGTATTATTAAAATATATATGAAAATACATACAAACATACATATATAATACATGTATCTTATGCAACTAAGCAGGAGCGGAGCCACATATAGGCCCGTAGTGGCCTTGGCTCTCCCAAGCTCCATGAAAAAGTCAAGAACTCTTAAACATTTGCTGCTATATCAGTTGAAATATAAGGCTATAAAACCTTGAAACTACAGTATCGGCCCCCCTAAAGACAAGCTACGAGCTCCGCCATTGCAATTAAGATATATATTACATGAGTCAACGGAGTCCAATCAAGTGAAAAACAATAATGATTTACAGACTAATGATTTTAGGTTCGAACACCCATAACATCTTTGATAGTTTGTGTAAAAATACACTACATGATTTGTGGATGTAGTGTTGGTCAGATTGGTAGCAAATGTGGTCAACTATAGAAACATTATAGTGAACTACGTACACCTATAAAAACACGTGCGGGCTACAAACTCTCGAGGAGTTTCCAGAATCCAGCCAGGCCATATGTAATTCAAATTGTCAACAACACGGTTTTGTATTGTTTCTGGTCGCTGCAGTCGCTAGAGGAAGAGGAGCGTGTAGACGTGCACTCTTACGACATCCATACCATAACTAACGTAGCTTGCACTAGTGGTCTCCTCAAATTGCAATTTCTGACTAGTCAAAATGCATTTTATCTTCTATTTTGATATTTTTTGGAATTTTTTATTTTATTTTATTTTATAAAAAGATTAATTATTTTATTACTCATCTAAATGAACTGCCTGCCGCTATTTGTAGGGGCCAATCCCAAATTGTATTTTCTACTAGCACCAATTCCATGCCTTTTTACATTAATTGGGTCCAAGTTGAGTTCTAAAATTAAATGGCTTGAAAAAGAACATCCAAACAACAAACAAATATTATAACTAAACCTAATCCCTGTCATACCCCAAAAGATTTAGATTGCATTTCTAACCATATCCAAACAGTGTGTATTATCAGACCAAACAAGTCAACGAGTCGAGTGAAAAATGACATTGACTTACAGATCAATGATTTCAGGTTCAAATCCTCATGATATTTTGAAAGTGTGTGAGAGAAACCCCTCCCTCTTGTAGTTCAAACTATCACTTATATTAAATAATAATAATAAAAAGAATTATATATTATAACAGGAAAATGCTACTTGCAAAAATAGCGTGTCATAGTCTTAAAACTACATAAGAAGCATATGTTTCGTTAATTTTTTATATAAATTATTTGGGGAAGTGGAAGTGGAAGGATGCCCACTTTCTTTCTTTTTTTAACTTCATTATCCCACTTTATATAAAGCTAATGCTTTCAAATGAGTATAATGAACCAAATCAAAAGCCAATTTCCTTAATAACATGACGTGCATCATGAGAAGGGAGGATGGGAGAGATGAGTAATAAAAGTGAAAACGAAAATTAAAAACTGAAATCTATTTGAAATTTTTTTTACTTTCAAGTTTTTGTTTTCACTTTTGTTACTCCTCCCTCCCATCCTTCCCTCTTATCCTCTCTCTCAATCTTACACTCACTCTCATTCTCACTCTCATTCTCACTCTCATTATACCTCTATAAAAAAAAAAAAAAAAAAAAAAAAAAAAAAAAAAAAATGGTAAGGGAGGGGGTGTGGGGGAAACGTGAAAACAGAACAACTTAAACTCACTAATCGCATATAGTTTTGACAGGAATGTGAGCAATCTTTGGTCAGTCAGTCCTTCCCTTTCTCTCTTTCGCAACGTTATTGCAGTGAAGGACGTTTGCGAAGTTTTACATAGCCAAAGAGATGCGGGCAGCCCTGCTTCTGGCAAGCACTGGAGATTAGGGCATCTCACAATTCTGCAATGTTTTAAGAGAGTTGAGGCGTCGAAACTCCTCGCCATCCATAGTCTTAAGACTCGAAAGATTGCAGTGGCAAAGTGATTCTAAGTTTGGTGGCAGTCCTCCTTCAGGAAATGACTCCAGTTCTGGACAATCTTGTATGCGCATAGACTCAAGAGACGGAAGAAGGATGTGCATCTTTTGTGACAGTGATCTCAACATCTTGCGTTCAGAAATCCTTAAGGTTGTCAAGTTGAGCGCATGCAGCCCTCCCTCAGGGAAAACACTCGAAACACGGACATAGAGGTATCTCTAAGAAACTGAGCCAATGGAGTTTCGGGCATGTAGGTTTTTGTGAAATAGTAAGGGAGTCCATATTCCTAGAGTTACTCAGTTTGAGCTCTTGAAGATTTGGGAAGTAGGCTAATGGTAATGTCCTGATTAGTTTGGGACAATTTGCCAGACAGAGCCTAGAAAGATTAAGAAAAGCTCTACCTTATTTGTTACCGACATCCATATATGAACTTTTGCCACTCCTCCATTTTGTAGAAGCTCAAAACTTGAAGAGATCTGAATGGTTCAAATGTGCAGGTACCGTTACCAAAAAGCTCAGGACCTATTGACTCCACTACATTTAGCTCTTTGAGAAAGGGTAGCCACCCCAGTGATGGCAAGAAGCAACAATTTTTTTGCAGCGGAGAAGTTGAAGACACTAGATTAGAGGAAGATTGATGTCCTAACCAACCCGGAAATCTTGTACCCAAGTAAAGATTCAATGGTGAGTTCTTTTAGTTTATTGAGATGCTTCTTGTCCTTCATATTGCCCTCTAAAGCAACCCTCACGAGAATGACTTTATGAATCCCAGAAATCCGTAGTGTTCCTCCCAAATGTACAAGTCTATTTGGATATAGTACATGGAAGATTTAGAACAACAAATATTTTATAATTTCTTTGGTGTGATTTGGCTACAAAAATTAGGACAATTCAGAGCCTTATCGAACTTGAAAAGGAAATGAACAATGTGGCATTTTGCAAGACAAAACATTTGTTCTTTTCTACTTTGGATTGTTGGGGTAGGTTCTGTACCCTTTACACCTACAATTCAAAACATATTCCCTAACAAGACCATGTCATGTGGAAAGAGAAAAATAGTTCAAACGCTAACCTTAAGACCCATAAAGCACAGCGCAGGCATTCAAGTCCATGCAAGTCCTACACAACAAATAGTAAAGCTAAAATCCATTTTTCCCGTAAAATTTTATGAACAGAAATTCAAATATGCAAGCGACCAATTGACATTACAAACAAATGAAGGAATTTACTAGTGCCTGACCGCCCCAGCGCACCCCTATTCAATAATTGAGAAGTCGAAGTACCACCCAATTACCATCAACTTCTTAGTGGCTTTGCCTTTCGTATGTGGCCCATACTATTAACAAGATCTTTCCGGGTGCACACAGGGAACATGTTGATGTTCTTGAGCACTTTCAACCGCCATAATACATATGGGAAACTCAGCTGATCACGAGAAGTGAAACGAACCACCTCATTGAACCAGAGGCACATGAACATATTAGTCAATGGTGTATGCTCCCTCACAATAACAGATGCTTCGGCTAAAGCTGCACAGGTCATCAATATATGATTCAGCATAGGAACAAAATGCAGTACATTGAGATCATAGGCTTCTACATGCCATAGATATGGAGTTTTTCATATTTAAGAATGGTTATTTCTTAACTCCAAGTATCTAAATAAGAATGGCGGCAGCAGACTGCGGGCAAGGGCTCATAACCCACTTTCACAGATAGGGCAAATATGAATCAGAAGTGGACTGATGTCGAGGATAGAAGACTGGCATCAGTTTATGACTATGATGAAGGTCGAATACAAAATTTAAAAACAGAGCTGATAACAGAAATTAAATAATTACATTGATTTGAAAGTTCAATTTTTACTTCTCAAACATTTTAAGACATTCACACTCAATAAAACCCAACAGCAAGTAAACTTTTTATGCAGAATTAGGTAGGCAGTAGGCTAAACTACTCCTATTTCAAAATAAAACAGTCAACAAAGAAGCAAAAGAGCTTAATACAATTATGAAGCATCATAAATATCAATATTTCATTAGAGAGATGATGTCTGAGCAAGTCAAGGGAATGAGAAGCATACCCTTCTTTCCGTTGAACCTCTTGTCTTCTGGTAAGCCATCATGGCGGTACTGACTCAACTGCACCTCAACTTCTTCTGGTTTGGCCTTGTTTTTCTTGACAACAGCCTTCGCCTCATCATAAACACTACTGCGAGCTCCATGTTCTGAGATTGCGAGTACAGAATTTGAATGCCAAAGAAGGGCTTCGAGCACACCTAAGGGGTCCCTCCTAAATTGGGATTTTGAATCTACCCAAATGGAATACTTTGCATGAGGAAAAAGACGATGGGCCAACATCTAACACCAGAAAAAATACATGAAGTCTCAGATAGATATTCACACACACCTATATGTGATATTAGACTAGTACTTGCAATAAGAATTCAAGGATATTTGACATTCAGCTTAAACTGATTGTACTATGAAGAACAGATCAGCGTCTCTTTGATTAATCTTCTTCTGCTTAAATTAACGTAATTGACTCGACTTCACTAATGCACAGAACACAGAACAAAGCTAGCAATTACAGAAAATAGATCACACGTGAAAAGATAATGAATAATGAAAAACACAATTTTTTGGCCAAAAACAAAAAAGAAAATGACACATGAAAAGAGATAGTAGCATGATCAGGATATATTGTGTTAAATAGAACCAAAAGCACACTGAATGATAATAGAGCGAAAAGATAATAATATAGGCCAACTCTAAAAGTTGTTACCTTTGGGATTTTTCCATTTAACCTTTGGTCCGCAAAGGGAAGATCCCTAACGACCACAATGCGCCATTTTCCAATAAATCCATAGCCATCAATTCTATGTTCAGCTGATTCCTGTGAACTTAGAGTAACTTCATCCCAAAATGCGACATAGCAAACCTGCATTCATTCAGTACCTTATAAAAACAGAGAACTTCTATAGCAATCAGTAATATTTTACTGAAAAGGGCACAAAAAAACCTTTCGAAGTGATGCTTCTGACATTCCAATAGGCTGATAAAGATCATCTCCACCACCAAATGCACATGTGGACACTACAACCTTGCAACTTTGCATGTAGTCTTTATCTTCATTTGAGATCTTAAACCCTCCATTTTCACTGTAGAAACCACAGTTCATACTAACAGTTTCATTTACCTGTGAGCAACAAATTTCTAAAATATGAACACTGCTTGATGGTACAAAATATTATCTTGTTGTTTAAAATCAGGCCTTGACATGCTTCAAAATGAAAATAGCACTACATCAAAATCCAAAGAAAGAAGTTGCCTTGTTGTGAACCTTTATCCTTAAGATGACAATGACCAAATATACTACTAAACCAGTTCAAGGATTAGAAACAAAGATGCAGCTTATAACCTTAAACGTTTTCGATCTTTGATCTAGAGTTTGACTTCCAGTAAATAAATTAAATCTTGTGGCATCTGTGTGCTCTTGAGACAGAGTGCTGTTCCCTCCTAAGAATGGAGTATCGTTCTCTGATATGTATAACACTTTACTAACAGGACTATTGGCCTCTTCACGCACAGGAATTTCCAGATGCTCAAGTTCTTCAGGAGATAGGATCTTCAAGCAACCTAATATTATCCACAAATTTGCATCACATATCGAACTGCTTGAATATTCCAATTTTAGCTAAATTAAATTTCCGCCACAGTAAAATACACAACCCAATTATTAGTTCCACTAAAACACAGCCTCTCCCAATCCTAAACTGATGTGGGTATCAAGTAAGTGATGATAATTGACAATCATATTAATCTAAAAGGCACCATTCTAGCTTACACTAACTGAAACTTACAACTTCAGTAAGAAAACAGAGAAACTAACTTATAACAGTATGCAGATTGCAGAATCGTTCATCATATTCTAAAAGAACCCAAATTTTTTTTTTCAAATTCTTTACTTGTTCTTAGCACAATTTCGTTTAAGCATCTTACAATTGAAAAACGAATATAATTATAAGAAACAAAAGACTGAGGACTTACGTTGCCTAACGCCTCCGACAACCCGAGTCGTGGCATCAAGCCGATTCAAATTCCCGTCCGATTTCTTCTCCAAACTCGGGTTCGTGACGTTACTGAGTTCCGAGTCCACCAAGGCCGACTTTTCTGACGCACCGAGTTCTGTGTTGGCCACCGAACTCGGCTTCCTCCCGATCCTCGATGCCTCGTAGAGGAGCAACCCAAGGGCTGGGAGAAAGATTAGAAGAGCCCAGTATCTGACGAGCTTCCGAACGACTCGGTGCAAGAACTCGTTCTTGAGTCGGTGGCCGGTTTTCTTGCGCTTCCTTCGAACTCGGACTCGCATCCTGCCGAGTTCGTCCGGTTCGTCATCGGAGACTGAGATTGATATGCTGTTGTTGTTGAACATTTGACAATGGCGTTGATTGCGAGAATTGTGCAAGTAAAGATTGGAATTGGAAATGAAATTTGGGGAAATTAGGGATTTTCAGATTGAACTGATTCAAGTTTTGAGCTTCCCTTAATGTCTGATATTTTTGACATACAGTTTCAGCGTTAGAAAGTTGAGCCGACGGGATTGGGTCGGACATACAGTTTAATGTCTGATATTTTTGACATCTCCCTTGCCCAGCCAGATAGGAGAAGGGATCAATTAATTTTGGGTAAATTACATAAAAGTACCCAACCTTTAGGCCATCTCCAATCATACTAAACTAAAATTTCTACCCTCCAAAATACAACTATTTATGTATAATCTGGACTCTCGTGATTTAATTTTCTGAACATTTTAACCTAAAACTTCTAAAATCGAAATTTTTTTATAATTTCATAATCAATAAAATCATCTACATGCACCTACATCATACCAACACCGAGGAAAACAGTGTATATTTGAACACATAAATACTTTTGCATGGTTATATTTCATCACCTCCACGATAGGTCTCAAAACCAACCCACATTACCTATACACACGGTATCAAATCACAATAGGTATAAAAATTCTATCATCATGAATCTTTTAAGCAAGAAGAAGAAGGGAAAAAGTAGAGGTGGAAAAAAAATGTTTGCATAAGTAGACAAATACATCTAAAGCGGCTGATAGCTAGGCAACACGCTCTTCACAATCAACGACAATATAGATGGTAAGATCTAATACTTATAAATGTGACAATTATTTAAAAAGTCATATATAATAATTATTTACCTAAAATTAACATTAAATCAGATAATAATTGAGGAGTTCACAATATAAAAGTCATTGAGGGTAAAATAGGCATAACAAATATTTGAAAATTAGAAACAAGAAATATTGTGCGACTCTCATCAGCTTACTATGGTAAGTTTGCTGACGTGGAAATAGAGTTAATGGGTTTACATCGAAAAAAAATTTGAGTTTACATTAAAAATTGAAATCACGGGCGACTCTCATCAGCTTTTTTTAATTTATAAATTGAGTTTACATAAAAATAAAAAAATGAAAGTAGTACCTGATTTTACAATAATATAATTAAAAAAATATCAAAATTACACATTATGTCACACCTTCAAAGGCACGTACACTATGCTACATGTCCACCTTTGGCAATCTCCTTTCCGGCCAACCACCGTTGCCGGCCAACCACCGTTGCCGGCCAGCCGCCGCTGCCACCCACCACCGTAGGCCAACCGCCAGCTAACCCCCACCGCCGGCCAATTGCCGCTCGCCACCGTCGGCAGATGACCAACTTCGTTGCCCTTTATTCACCTTTAAAAAAAATAAAAGATTTTGTGTCATTAAAGAGACTTAAACCATGACCCTCAAAGGAGGAAGGCTCACTTACAAACCACTACACCAAACTTGTTTTTGTAATATTTATTCGGTTACACAATATTTATAAAAACAAAACTACAAAGAAAAACAAAAATTAATTTTATAGAAGCAAAAATTGCACTTCAGAGTATGGTGAAAAACAAATATATTAATAAGTGAGGAATCAAAATGGAAAACAAAGATGAAAGTACTAAAACATAAACTGCAGTGCAGAAAGGGAAACTGCAATGTAGAAGCTGAAACTGCAATGCAGAAACGGAAACTGAAATATCGAAAGGGAAACTGCAATGCTGAGTCTGGGCAAAAATGCTCAGCTCTAGAGTTAAACAAAACAAAACAATATTTTTGTTTATTCAAGACATGTTGGGAGAGGGGGAATCATACTAAAGACCACCTAGAATGTAAAATAGGTTATTCATGTTTCTATTTTATGCATTGCACGTTCTGTTCCTTGCATTGCAGGTTCCGTTTTCTACAATGCAGTTTCTGTTTTCTGCAATGCAGTTTTCGTTTTATGCGTTGCATTTTTCATTTTCTGCAATGCAGTTTCTATTGTCCACAATGCTGTTTTCGAGAAAAAGAAAAAGATTTCTTGTCATTGAAGATCACCCTTCATCGCCGAGAACTTGATTTTGTGCCAATGATCAATCTACAATCTAATAAATCCATCATGTTCAACTCTAGAGTCATATAAAACAGAACAATATTTTTTAAAAAATTCAAGCCATGTTGGGAGAGGGGGAATCGGACTGAAGACCACCTAGAATGTAAAATAAGTTATTCGTGTTTCTATTTTTTGCATTGTAGGTTTTGTTTTCTGCATTGCAGTTTCCGTTTTCTGCAATACAGTTTCTATTGTCTGCCAATGACATAAATACAAAAAACTAAAACTAAGACAAATTAAGAAATTTTGTCATCAAGGAATCTCCTGACATATGGTCCTCCATGACCATGACAACAACATCATCAGAAAAGAGTAGGCCCTCGACAAGGCCAACAAAATGATGCACAATATCCAATGCAGATATACTTGCTACTAGACCAACTGATGGTTATTGCACAATAAGCATATCTAGATGAGCTTAAAGGGAAATATTAAATAAATTAAAAAAAATAAGCAAGTTAGCGTGTATTTCGTGCATGATTTTCAGAATTTATGAAATTCTTATTCAACATCCAAACGAGCCAACATGACAACGAGGCAGACTCACTGCCCTGGCCTAACCCGCCTCTCCAGCAAGCAATGAGATATTACATATTCATATACAGAATTCTTATTCCATCCTCAATCAAATAAGATATGCACCCTTGGTTTAGGCACTGAATTGTTGATGACCAATTTGGTTGTGCTGACATCTTCATTGTTTGTTGTTTTCTTTATTTCTTTGACTTATTAGGAATTACTTATATTCTTTGGTGCTTGCATGTCATCTCAATTGTGTTAGGTCTTAGACTCTTAGCCGATTCTGAATTTTTGTTTTCTATAGGATTATATGTTGAGCTGAGTTGACATGTTTATGCATGTCTTTACCATTTTTATGAGTGACATTCACCAGTAAACAGTTCATCAATAAGGGATTCTATATATGATGGATGAATGGGGATAATGTGACATTCAAAGAGTTCAATTATCTGTCTAGACTATTATAATCTATATATGCCAATATTTAAACAAAAATGAAATAAAGAAAACAAATGGGTTAATTGGCAAAGACCATGCTTGGTCTGATTGTCCACCCCACCACGATGGAAGCATATATAGGCGATATCTCTTGGTTGCTAGTTTATTTTCTAACTACGATCTTAGGCAATAAATTTATTGGTGAATTCGTGGTTTGGACAAAAGCAAGTGTGAATGTGTAATAACCCGACCCTAAATTAATCATTAATTATTAATCTATTCTGAGAAAAGACAATTTCGCCCCTATAATAAATTATTAGAGAAAATGTTGACTTGTTGACCGGGGGAGACTTTGGTGGAATTGTTACATTCTGGTCCGAAAAAGTAGTTAAATAATTAAAATAAGAGAGAATAAATTCAAATGAGGGAATAAATTGAAATAAACAACAAAATAAAATGATTTGAATTAATTAAGGTTTTTGAGAAATTAAAATACTATTTAATATTAAAGAGGGGCAAAAAGGTCATTTTAAGTTCGGGAAGGAATTTGAGGATTTCAGTTATAACATTGCGTAGAGCTTGACGCTATGAGTCCGTAGATACGTAGCGGGCTCAAATCGGAGTTATAACGAAGAAGTTACGATCAAAGGAAGTCAGTGGCATAACCGTAAATATCTCGAACTTCAGTTTTTATAAACCCAGATTTTCTGGTTTTTCAGACCCCCGACCAGCCGACTTTGGGAGCTGTTTTCTCTGAGCTCCGACCTTCGATTCAGGCAAGATCAGTGCCAAATGAACCACGAAACTTCCCTCTTCCAGTCCCAGCCTTTCGCCGCCTCGATACGCCGCCATAGTCGCCGGAAACAGCCACGAAACAGGCGGTGCTGGTCAGTTTTTGACAGAACTTCCAAGCGTTCGTTCTCCGTCGTCCGGCCACCAAATCGGACGAGTGAGGTATGGTTTTCTAGCTATTTTTCATGTTCTAGCTGCTGGTTGGGTAGGATTTCAGAAATTTCTAGCATAGATAGCTCGATTTACGAGTTAGGTTTCAGCCGATTTTCGGGTCACTGTTTCGGCCACTTCCGGCCAGTTTTTGGGGCAGGTCCAAGAACAAAAGTGGCTCCAAATGGGGTGTTATACCTAGGATAGGAGTCTTGAGCCTAGATGTTGAGTTTTTCCGGTGAGGCATTATCGCTTTAGGCACCACGCGCTGCCAGCGGGTGTGGCGGCGAGTGGGAAGCAGGGTGGGGACCACAGTCAGTCCTAGAATGATCTCCTAGTCCTCACGAGCGCGTAGGATTTCGCTTAATTCTGATATCGTTTGAACCCCGAACGGATCTCGCCTACTGTGCGATTTCCGGGTTCAATACGTTTGAATCGTTGGATCGTAACCAAGTATGTTAATCTAGACTTTCCTAAGATCGTATAGTATTTGACGGATCGTAAAACGGAGTCCCGGATACTCCAGAATAGTCAGCCCTAGAGCAGTTTTACTGTAAACAGTTCAATTACAGGTCAGGAACAGAGGAAAGAACTACGTGTGGCTTGATCCCTCAGTAAGAGTACGTAGGCAGCCTACAGTTACCAGGCGCAGCCACGAGTTAGGGCCTTAGGGTTTGTGTTATTGTTTTTCAGGGCATTTTGGTCATTCACGACCCACTACCACCATGTGTCAGTTTAAACAGGATTCGACCCGGATTCCAAAGTGGAAATTGGGTCAGGACGTTTTAGAATGAGTTGAAAAAAGATCATTTCATTATCAAACAAAGTGGGAAAGAAGCAACTAGAGTAGGGCCATTAGACTATGATTGAAAACTCAGTCATACCTTCTTCTTTTTTCCTATATTTTTTTTAATGTAGGAAACTTCATATGGCTGTCTAGCGTGTTGGAAAAGGACAATCGGTGCTCGTAAAATCTCGTTCATATTTAAGCTAATAAAAACCTGCATTCCTCATGAAAATATTGCTCCTAAATTAGGAGTCCTAGTTTCCAAATGGGTCATAAATATCTAAACTAACCAAAATGTAAGGGAGTGATGAATTTATAGCCACATATTTGTAATAATGGTGGTATGTGACACATCACATCACATAAATAACTGTTGTTGGAGACTATGGTATATACTACGTACCCAGAAATTGTAATCAGTCATATTGACACCAACCGGATACTAATATTAACACCGGAGACACCATATATATATAACAAAGCATCTATCTACCTACCTGCTTTTACTTATTTGTGTTCTCCATACGTGCTTTGGAGGAGACTTGGTGGACTAAAATGATATTAATTATGAGGAAATTCATGCAATTGACTCTTGGGGGCCGTTTGAACTTCCATGAAATGAGACCAATATGCGACCAACCTCATCAAAATTTATTGGTGAAATTAATCATAATATGTGGCTAGACAAAAGCAAGTGTGATGTCAGTGAGTATAAAAAAAACCGTGTCAGGGTCAAACATAATCAGACAGAAGGACGCAGCATGCGCTGGAGCTGGGCCATTAGAATAGACTACTATTGATTTAAAACTCAATTATCACCTTCTACTTTCCATTAGAATAGACTACTATTGATTTAAAACTCAATTCTACTTTTTCTATGTAATTTCTGTAACTTTGGTGTAAAGACTGGGGAATTTGCATTGCGTTTTCCTTATCTACCAGTCTTTGTTTCAGAGTCTTTTCCGTTAACTCAAAATTCTCAAACCCATAATTAGTTTCATCCATCTTCCACACTCATCCATCTTTATATATATTATGTCTTGGTTCTGGCTCTCTTGATCTCTTTTGTTCTAAAAGTGTGTATCTGTGTATTGCCTTTAAATTTTCCTTCTTGTTCACTGCGACACCTTCGGTATTTGGTAATTCGTGAAGAAATCTGCTGCTGATACTTAAACTGCAGGTACTTTTGATTTATTCTGTTTGGTGCCTTTTGTTTTTTGTTTCTTTTAGTTTCTTGTATTTTATTTGTTTTGCGCAATGTAATTATTATTATTTTTTTATCAAAGAAAGAGCGAATGTATTTATCTGCTCAGACTTCCTGTTTTCTTCATCTATTTCGTAAGATACAACAATAGAAACTTTGAAGAATTTTTTATTCTTTTTTTCAAAACTGATTTATGATTTTTATTAAATAAAAAAAGGCTCGCTGTCATCGACGGTGGCAAGGCAATATAAAGGCCCCAAGCCACTGCCAAAGTTATGTAATTTTTTTTTATACAAGCGATATTCAAGAACCGCTCTTAGAATAGACTAGACACATGATTGATTCAAAACTCAATTATCAGCTTCTACTTTTCTATGTAACGTGCTGGTGACAGCAGTTAAAGGAATCTTTTGAGTGGTCTCTCAGTAGAAGCGAACTGATATATATACTATTTCTTTCTTCTTTTTTCACATTATTGTCTCATTTGGTATTGTTTCTTATAAGAATTATTTTTACTCATTTTATTCATATATAAGAATTATTTTTATGCATAATTTTTTTGTCAAAAGCAGTAAAAGCGATTTTAGCTTGTAGTCATTTAAGCTCTAATCGACCTTTAGTCGGTAATTCCAAGCTAATAAAAATCATTGATCGTCATGAAAATCTTGTTCTTAATCTTCAAATTAATCAAAATGATATAATAAAACAACGTTAATCTCAACGTTAATGATATAATAAATCTAATTATGCTTGTGAGCAACAAATGAAAGCAGAAAAGAAGTGGAGCTGGAGTCTTGGATAGTTTTTTTTTTTTTTTTCTATAGTTTTGTTCCACTTTACTTGTGTTTTTTTTTTTTTTTTTTTTTTTTTTTTTTTTTTTTTTTTTGGTTTTGTTTTGTTCTATTTCGATCAAAGTGACTTTTCCGCTTGATACGATACAAGCAGAAAAGAAAAATGAAAAATAGAACAGAACAAACAAAAACAAAAACGACCCAACCAAAAGTAGAGTGGAACAAACTATAGGAAGACTCAAGCTCTGTTGTTATGCTTCTTCAGTCCAGATTTGTTGCTCACAAGCAGAATCAGATTTGAACTTCCATGTAAGTGCTTCTTGCAAGCATAATAATTATTTCAATCTTTTATATTTATGTTTTTATATGCCATACATACATTCATCAATGAGACTTACACATCCTAAGTAAAACTAATTTTTCACTTAATTTCTGCAGTTGTGCATCTTAATTTGTTCAGTCCGGATTTGAGGATCTCAAGCCAAATTAGATCTCAAATTTTCCATGTAAGTGTTTATTCTGAACTAGTATTTTTTTTTAAACGTAATTTATGCATTTTGATATTGTTGAAGAAAACTTCCTTACTTCTTCGGCTGCTTGTGTGTGTCTCTTCAGTCTTAATTATCAACGACTATGGCAGTGGGAGAGATTTTTCTTGGGGCGTTCCTTCAGTTGCTGCTCGACAGGTTAACACCTCGCGAGATCCTCAACTACTTTGGTCTCCTAAAGGGCGTGGACAAAAAGCTGAAGAAATGGAGTGACAATTTGTCTGCAATCGTAGCGGTGCTGAATGATGCGGAGGAGAAGCAACTGACGGATCCTGGTGTGAAATTGTGGCTGGATGACCTCAGAGACTTGGCTTATGATGTAGAAGACGTGCTGGACAAATTTGCTACTAAAATATTGAAGCGCCAGATAGAGGGACGTGATCAAGTAAAAAGGTGCTGGACAAGTAAAAAGGTGCGGAGTTCATTCTCTAAACTGACACGCAATATCGATATGAACTCTGAAATAAAGAAGATTACAGAGCGGTTGCAAGAGATCTCTGAACGGAAAGATAAGTTTGGTTTAAAGGACACTGGGACGTCTAGTCAAGCATGGTCAAGGCCACCAACTTCGGGCGTGTTGGGTGGACTAACCGTTGTTGGAAGAGATGGAGATAAAGCAAAAATATTAGAAATGTTGTCAAGCGATGAGCATAGTAATGTCAGCTTTGATGTTGTTGCCATTGTTGGCATGCCTGGCCTTGGGAAGACAACACTTGCTCAATTTGCAATCAACCACAACAGTGATGTCATGAAGGAGTTCGGGCCGAAGGTGTGGGTGTCTGTGTCCGATGACTTCGACGTTGTAAGAGTGACGAAGGCAATTCTTGAATCAGTCACATCTCAACCCGTTAAAGTAGAGGAGTTCAGTAAAATGCAGCATGATTTGAATGAGCAGTTAAGAGGTAAAAAGTTTTTAATTGTTTTAGATGATATTTGGGACAAAAGTGACCGTGATTTATATGATCTGTGGACAAGACTTCAATCCCCTTTCAGTGTTGGAGCACAAGGAAGTAAGATAATTGTGACGACACGTGACCTAAATGTTGCAAAGATTATGGGAGCCACTGAAGTTCATAACTTGGAGTATATGTCAGATGATAATTGTTTGGAAATATTTGAGCAGCATGCATTTGTGAACATTAACAATGATAGACCACCAAATTTTGAGTTGCTTCAGAAAAAAATTGCTGAAAAATGCAGTGGATTGCCCTTAGCTGCAAGAACTCTTGGTGGGCTTTTACGTCAGAAAGAAATGAACGAATGGGAAGAAATATTGAACAACAAATTGTGGAATTTATCAGGTAAGAGTGACATTCTTCCGGTATTAAAGTTGAGCTATCACTATCTTCCTTCCAACTTGAAGAGGTGTTTTGCCTATTGCTCAATATTTCCAAATGACTATGAATTTGGGGAGAAGCAATTGATCCTTTTATGGATGGCAGAGGGTTTGATTCAACAACCACCAGAAGCCAATAGACAAGTGGAGGATTTAGGCCACGACTATTTTCAAGAGCTATTATGTAGGTCATTATTTCAAAAGGCAAGTGAAAACAATTCACGATATGTAATGCATGACCTTGTTACTGATTTGGCACAATGGGCAGCAGGAAATACTTGTTTTAGATTGGAGGACAAGAAAGGTGATAACTTGCAGTCTGTATGCTTTCGTCATTCGTCTTTCATAATTGGTGAGTTTGATGGAGTTCAAAAGTTTGAGGCCTATCGGGAAGTTAAACGTTTGCGAACATTCCTGCCACTTTCAAATACTTACGGGTATCTGGCTCGTAAGGTAATTTTTGATTTATTGCCTCAGATGCAATACTTACGGGTGCTTTCTTTGAAGGGCTATCAAATAACTGAGCTGCCAGATTCAATTGGTAATTTGAAGTATCTGCGGTATCTTGATCTTTCTCACACATGGATAAAAAGTTTGCCTGAATCAACAACCACTCTTTTCAACTTACAGACACTGATATTGGAAGGTTGTCATTATTTGGGGGCACTACCCATCAACCTGAGGAATCTAGTGAATCTGCGTCATCTCAACAATTCAGATGTAGGTTTATGTGTAGGTTTAAAAGCAATGCCTCCGCAACTAGGTCGGTTGACGAATCTACAATCTTTGCCTAACTTTGTGGTGGGTAAAGGTAGTGATGAATCAGGGATAAGAGAGATAGGATCCCTATCCCATCTCCGAGGGACATTATCGCTCTCAAGGTTGGAGAATGTGGTCGACGCTGAGGACGCACGGAAGGCCGACTTAAAATCCAAGGAGAGAGTAGATGAATTGGTGCTAGAATGGTCGGATGACACACAAGAAACGCAATTAGGCGTGCTTGACAGATTAGAACCTCATAGAATGCTTGAAAAACTCATCATCAGGGGTTATGCTGGATTAGAATTTTCAACATGGATTGGAGATCGTTTATTCTCCACTATGGTGCATGTACGCTTAGACAAATGTAAAAATTGTCAAATCTTGCCACCACTTGGGCAACTGCCTTTGCTCAAAGAACTTTATATTACAGGAATGGCTGCAGTGAAAAGTGTTGGTCCTGAGTTTTATGGGGAGGGTAGCTTGCCTTTTCCAGTACTAGAGACTCTTACGTTTTCAGATATGCAACACTGGAAGAAATGGGTTCCTTTCGTACAAGATCAGGTTTTCCCTTGCTTGAAATTGCTTTCAATCATAAATTGTCCTCAATTGGAGGGTAAGGTGCCAGAGAACCTTGATTCATTAGCAACACTTGAAATTTTTAAATGCGAGGAATTGGTGATTTCAATTTCCAACTATAAACAAATTGGTGCATTAAACATCAACGGTTGCAAAGCGGTGGTGAAGACAAGTGGCGTTGAGTTTGAGTTATTAGAGTCCTTGAAACTTTCAAATATTTCAGAGGTGAGGTTCCAAACAGGGGAGTTCTCCAAAGGATTAAGGAAGGTTGCAAATTTGACGATTGGCGGATGTGAGTTGCTGACATCTTCACTGAAGAATGAGGATAGAGTATTGCAACACTTGATTTCTCTTGTTCGTTTGGTTATTCAAGGCAACTCTTCCCTCCTTGAAAAGCTGGGAAAAGAAGCAGAGGAGTTGCTGCAATTGCAAATATTGACTTGCAAGCTTAAATATCTAAGATTATACACGTGTGCAAGTCTTTCGAAGGTACCAGAAGGGTTGCATCACCTAACGGCTCTTCAAGGCCTTAAAATAGTTGGATGCTCAAGTCTGGTTTCTTTTCCAGATGTTGGTCTGCCTCCTTCCCTTGAAGTCATAAGCATTGAGGAGTGCGATTCGTTGCTGTATTTTGCAAAATACCAGATTCCCCCAAATCTAAGAAGAATAAAGATACGGCAGTGTAAAACTTTGAAATCATTAGTAGAGAAAGAGGAGGATAGTTCTTCGTCTTCCTCTTCTTCTCATATTTCTCTTGAGCACTTGGAAATATGGGGATGTGAATCTCTAACGTCGGTATCATTGAGAGCCCAGTTGTTTCCCAAGGCGCTTAAACGCCTACACATATCCGGTTGTAAAGAGCTGCAGTTACTAACGTCCGATGGGTTACCCCACTACAACACTAATTATTGTCTTGAATATATTCACATCCGGTCTTGCTCAAATCTTAACTCGTTAACGGAGGGCCTATGCCACCTCACCAATCTTCAAACTTTAGATATTTCTGATTGTGGGAGTCTCGTTTCCATCCCGAGCCTGAGTGGTGAGGGTTTGTCTTCGCCAACAACAACAGCCGCCTCCAGCCTGAGACAAATCTGCATCAGAAATTGCAACAAATTGGAGATGTTACCGGACATGCGCAATCTCAACTGTCTTCAGGAATTGAATATTGATTACGGTGAAGGTTTAAATTTCACTTCCTTTCCCCCCAACCTAACATCACTTACAATCTGCGGAATCAAGAATTGTAAGCCGATGTGGGAGTTGTCGCACAGGCTCGCCTCTCTTACAAGCTTGTCCATCAGTGGTGAAGACCCAAGTGTGGTGTCATTTCCACCCGACAGTTACAGGGAGATGGAGATGGAAATGCTGCTCCCCAAATCTCTCACTGATCTCTCAATTTGGGGCTTCCCAAATCTGAAGAAACTGAGCAGCAAGGGCTTTCAATCCCTCACCTCTCTTCAATCCCTTGAACTCTGCAATTGTCCAAAGCTGGCATATATTCCAGAGAAGGGGTTGCCTATTTCTCTGAGGGAACTTCGTATCATTCAGTGTCCTCTGCTAAAAGATAAATGCCAGCCTGGTAGTAAAGGACGATACCTGCCCAAAATATCCCACATCCCTTGCATAGATATAGAGGATTAGAAGACGGTTTGAAGATGACGAGAACCCACACCCACACATGGACACGGTCAACTCCGACTCTCACTCTCCCCAGGTACTTCAAATTTCAAACATTATCAACACTTTCCCTGTACTCTTTATGGTGAGACTCCTTTTCTGGCATATTATTGCGACTAGTTTATAATTTTTTAAGGCTTAATTATGTACATGCCCCCTGTGCTTTCCAACTTATCTCAGATTATCACCTGTGGTGGAAAACGTCTCAAAGTACCCCCCAACGTGCAAAAAACTGTCTCACGTTACCCTTTCCGTCAGTTTTTTTGAAGTTCCGTTACAAATGTTACTGTTCATCTCTCCCAAAATTCCAGAACAGTAGCCCCTCCCCTTTGTTACTGTTCATCGCTTATTTACCCTCCAAAACTCAGAAATTTCTCCTAACCAACACAACTAGCAGCAAGAACAACTCGAGAGGTTGAAAAATCATACCTGGATCGAAGAAAATGGTGCTCGGAATCGCCCGAACGAGCAATGGAGATTTTGGGTAAAAACCGGCCAATTTCTTGCTTTTTTCGGTGATCCAGACGACGGTTGGCAGCGGCTGAGATGTGAGGGTGGTAGAGGACAACGTGCTGGTTCTTTTGATATCCATGTCGTCGCTTGGGGTGGCCGGAGGAGGCGATGGCAGCCCAAAAACTGGTGCGATGAACAGTAACAAATGGGAGGAGCTGCTGTTCTGGAATTTTGGGGGAGATGAACAGTAACGTTCGTAACGGAACTTCAAAAAAACTGACGGAAAGGGTAACGTGAGACAGTTTTTTGCACGTTGGGGGGTACTTTGAGACGTTTTCCACCACAGGTGGTAATTTGAGATAAGTTGGAAAGCACAGGGGGCATGTACATAATTAAGCCATTTTTTAATGTCGAGAGATCCCTGAAAAGAAAAGCAAATTGTTGACCAATATAGTTTTGTCAAAATTACAGCACTTGCCAAATAAGGAGACCAATCATATTGAATTAAAAAATAACTACAGTATTTATGATTCTCTAAATTAGGGAGTATGATTGGAGTTCAAATTTTATAGATGCTCCTAAAATAACTTTTGTGTGTTTTTAGCTAAATTTTAACTGAAAAAATAAGAAGCATGATTATAGATGCTCTTATATTATAGTTAATATATAGCATATGGATAATATAATTGTACAAAAAAAAAAGAAACAACATTGTTATAGCTCAGATTAAAATATATATATATATATATATATATCTGAGAGTTAAATAATCATAATGTTAATTATAGGGTTCATTTGGACAGGAATTTGGAAAGACAGAAGTGTTGAGGCTGGAATTAATATATAACATGAAGAAGAGGAAGGTCACCCCATCAAGCATAATTTATATAAAATATCTAAATCACCAGCGCCAATTAGTGGTTTCATTTATAAAATAAACAAAAGAGAGTAATTTTTGGTTGCTTTATGCTATTGTACACTCTTGACTTCTTCAATCACTATATTCTTCATTTTCACTAATAGAATAAATACAGGGAGTGCATTTAAGCCAGTCCACACATGATGTCTGGTCCAGTGTGAGAGGGTTGAAACAAGGGACTGCCTCTCTTACTTCCGGAGAGCTGCAGGGTGAAGAGCTGTGAAAGGACTGGATAGCAACAAGGTCATTTCATATCGTGCTAACATCAACTGAAGATGGTAAATCACTATCTTTCTGTTGCAAGTTTCAGATGTTTAATATTTTGCCATTTGGTTTGCCTTGTAATATTTTGCCATTTCTCTACTGAGAAAACTTTTACCCATATTTTTCTTTCTTTTTTTTGCTTGGCTACAATGTTTATGTTTTTCATAGTTCTCTGCCTTTTATTCAAATTAGTAGGTTTACTTAATCTTAACTGAAGATTTGAACCCTGACCCCTTTACAATTTTTGGTTGGGACGACTTCAGTTTTTGAAGGACATCCAGTAACCAATTGTTCTTTGTTCTTTTAAACAGAAATATCGACTGAACCTGCCAGACACTAGTGACAAATTCTTGATATTTGCACTGACATATTATATGTGCAACTCAGCCTCATCTTTATTTTGATCATTTACCAAATTATCTTTTGAATCATGCTGAAATATACAAGTGAGGTTGCCGTGTTTTGTTTAAAGAATGCGCTTCTGCATTGGCAGGAACGCTTTCAATATTTGGATGCTATATACAGATTACAGAAGCGGATGTTGTGTTGTGCCAGAATAGTCTTCAAACTCCCATCCTTTCAAGCTTCTCAAGAAACCACTGCAGGGAAATAGTAAACTCGTATGGCTCATGCTCTTTTTCTCTCTAGATGTTTTGCTTGCTCCTTGATTCGAGTGTGACGCCTACAATGATATTGTCCTCTTTGCAGAAAGAGTTGAAACCATCCTTTGCTACTTTCAGCAGCAATGGGAGTTAAATAGGCCCAAACTCAAAATTTCAACAGCAGAATCCTCTTCCTTTGCAGCAGTAGGTGACAGTGCTGCAAAAAGGACTCAAAGAAAGATATTTATGAGAGTTTCGTCAGTTCTTTGGACAACCATTTGCTTTAAATATTCTGCCTATCAAAGCAAGAAGGATTGTTTTATTGGGTCATGTCAATTCACTAAGCATTTGTAAACATGAGAAGGAATAGCAAACAATGGGACAGGTTTTTTTTTAATACAAATTTTACAGACGATAGTCTGCGGGGAGGAGAATTTGAACTTTGGTGCAATGAGGCAGGCTCACTGCCCTGGCCTAACCCGCCTCGCCAGCAAGCAATGAGATATTACATAATCATATACAGAATTCTTTTTCCGTCCTCAATCAAATAAGATATGCACCCTTGGTTAGGCACTGAATTGTTGTTGACCAATTTGGTTGTGCTGACATCTTCATTGTTTGTTGTTTTCTTTGTTTCTTTTGGCTCATTAGGAATATGTTGAGCTGAGTTGACATGTTTATGCTTGTCCTTACCATTTTTATGAGTGACATTCACCAGTAAACAGTTAATCAATAAGAGATTCTATATATGATGGATGAATCTACGGCCATTTGGATTACAAATGGGATAATATGACATTCTAAGAGTTCAATTATCTGTCTAGAAAACAAATGAAATAAAGAAAATGAAATAAAGAAAACAAATGGGTTAATTGGCAAAGACCATGCTTGGTCTGATTGTCCACCCCACCACGATGGAAGCATATATAGGTGATATCTCTTGGTTGCTAGTTTATTTTCTAAATGCCCATCTCTTGCATTTTTATCGAAAGGTTACTACACTGTAATTCCATAAACAAAATCAATATCCACACAAAAATAAAATTACTTACAACAATCTTGTAATCTACCCTATGCTCTAATCTCGTATCTTTTGAATTCCAACCCACCGTGCATAATCAACTCACCAGTTCCACAATATAAAGAATCATGAGAATTGAAGAGGAAAACACAACCAACTTACATAATGAGATTCAAGGAGAACTCAGATCTTACATCAGGGACCCCAAGAATGTGTTGCCTGTTCGAACAGCAAAGCAAATTGCACTCAGTATAATCTTGTGTTGGTGTAGCAAGGGTTCTAGAATTCGTTGTTCGATTCCTCCAGCGAGAACTTGGTACCTTTAAAACAAAAGGTATATCATTATACATGTTTCCAATAGTAACAAAAATAAATTATTATCATTTCTGACTAGCCTCAACTATTTATGAGCAATGATTAAATAGTAGTGTCATTGCCAAATGAAATAATAAGTCAATGAAATAATCAGGATATCTCTTAGCCCTTCTCTTAAAGATGGGATGCATGTTTCTTTAATCCCCACTATCCAACCAACATCAATTATCTTGCCTAAAAAGGAATTTCCGTATGGTAGTGACGCAGCACAAGCAAATAAGGTTTCAAACAAAAACCTTGAGTAACAAGGAAACTGGAATCCACCAGAAATTAAGAGAAACTCTCTTTGATTAATTTGTTTAAAATCTGAACTGCCGAAAAACGTTAGACGAACCCGTCTAAATACACAACTCTCAACCCTTGTAACTGCTAGGGGAGTTATTACAATAAAACTGAAAAACAGAATTAATTCGGAGACTTAACTACGTAACTCCGAAACTGAAAAAAAAACAGAATTTATTTTGGGAATTAACTATGTAACTCCGAAACGGAAAAACAGAATTTATTTGGAATTAACTTTGAACTTTGAATGCAGTTTTGAAAGGCCAAACGACTCCAGAATGCCAAAATCCATCGTACATCATAGCAAAGCAGTGAGTTTGACTCGTGGCATCGTTCCCTTTCCGAAATGGTATTTTGCTACCTAATCGGAGCTCGGACGACAATTCTGCAAATTCCCACCACGTCCCTTTTCTTGCTCAACCGCGATAAAATCTGCCATATGTTCTACATCAGTCCTCTCCACCTCCAAAGAACTCGACCCCGAGTTATGATCTGGATAAAGAACCTCATCTTCACGGAACTCATATAAATATGCAACATTAAAAATATTGGAAATTCCCATGGAATCCGGTAACTCAATAACATAGGCATTATCATTGATCCGTTTGAGCACTTTGTAAGGACCATATTTCTTCGGTTTAAGCTTGCTGTAAGTGCCAACTGGAAACCTCTCCTTCCTCAGAAATATCATCACAGAATCGCCTTCTTGAAACACTTTAACACGTCGATGCTTATCCGCAGCAGCTTTGTACTTAGCATTTGTTTGCTCAAGTTTCTGCTTGACCTCATCTCGAACGGCTACCACTTCTTCAGCCAAATTTTCGCTGCCATACTGGTTTGCTGGCCTCTAGGCAATTTCACCAAATCTACAACATGGTTAGGTATAGCAGTATAAACAATGGAAAATGGAGACTTCCCAGTAGCGCTATGGACTGCACTGTTGTATGCAAACTCCACTTGCGGTAATGCATAATCCCATTGTTTCGGCTTCTCTCCACAGACGCTTCGCACCATATTGCCCAATGTCCGGTTTGTAACCTCAGTCTGGCCATCAGTTTGGGGATGGGCAGTGCTGCTACGATTCAAAGTAGTCCCAAACAGTCTCCACAAAGTGATCCAAAAATGACTCAAGAACTTGGTGTCACGATCAGATGTAATGGATGTAGGAACCCCATGCAAGCGAACAACCTCCCTGAAAAACAGTTTGGCTATATTTGATGCATCGGCAGTCTTTTTGCAGGCTATGAAATGCGCCATTTTTGAGAACCGATCAACCACCACAAATACAGAGTCCACTCCCCTTTGTGTTCGGGGCAATCCGAGGACAAAATCCATAACAAGATCCTGCCAAATATCGTTAGGAACTGGTAATGGCATATATAATTTAGTGTTTTGTACCTGCCCTTTCGAAGTTTGACAAATGTAGCACTTGTGCACAATAGTTCCAACATCACGTTTGAGCTGTGGCCAGTAAAATCTCTCCTCCATCAATGCAATTGTTTTGTCACGGCCTAGGTGGCCACTCAACCCTCCACCATGCAAGTCCCGAATGAGCTTCTCCCTTAAAGAAGAAACTGGAATACACAGCTGGTTGCCTTTGAACAAATAACCTTCATTGAGAAAGTAATTTGTCATTGGCTCTTGATTAGTGCACTTAATCCAAATTTCCCGGAAATCATCGTCACCTGCATATAATTCCTTCAGACATTCAAACCCCACAACTTCTTGAGTCAGCGTGACTAATAATGAAGCTCTCCTACTCAGCGCATCTGCCACACGATTGGTCTTGCCGGAAGTATGCTTGATAACGAACGAAAATTTCTGCAAAAAAGTCATCCATCTAGCATGCATTTTATCAATATTTTTCTGGCTGTTAATATACTTCAACGCTTGATGATCTGTAAACAAAACAAATTCCTTCTGGATAAGATAGTGCTCCCATTGCTTCAAAGCTCGAACAACCGCATAGAATTCTTGGTCATAAGTACTCCACTTTTGACGTGCATCGCTCAACTTTTCAGAAAAGAACGCAATTGGCCGCTTGTCTTGTTAGAGCACAGCTCCGACTCCCACACCGCTGGCATCACATTCAACTTCGAAAACTTTCTCAAAGTTTGGAAGAGCTAGAACCGGTGCGGTGCAAAGCTTTTCTTTTATTTCTGCAAAGCTTCTCTCTTGCTCCTCTCCCCAGCTGAACCGGCCCTTTTTCAAACATTCTGTGATAGGTGCAGCAACGGTGCTAAAATGCTTCACAAATCTTCTGTAAAAGGTGGCCAAGCCATGGAAGCTTCGAACTTCAGAAACTGTCTTTGGAGCTGGCCAGTCAAGGATTGCCTTGATCTTCTCGTCATCTACCTGGATACCATTCTCACCAACAACAAAACCCAAGAACAGTAGCTTATTTGTGCAGAAAGTACATTTTTTAAGGTTAACATACAGCTTATTTTCTCTCAACACATCTAAAACTTGTCTCAAATGCACAAGATGTTCTTCTTTTGTGGTACTGTAAATTAAAATGTCATCGAACTAAACAACGACAAAAGAACCAATAAATGGTCGAAGAACCTGATTCATGAGTCGCATGAAAGTGCTAGGTGCATTTGACAATCCGAATGGCATCACCAACCATTCAAATAATCCGTCCTTGCTCTTGAACGCTGTTTTCCATTCGTCTCCAGGTCGTATGCGAATCTGGTGGTATCCGCTTCTCAAATCTATCTTGGAAAACACCCTTGAGCCGCCAAGAACGTCCAGCATATCTTCTAACCGTGGAATGGGAAACCTGTACTTGATTGTTATCTTGTTGATTGCCCGGCTATAAACACACATTCGCCAAGTTTTGTCTTTCTTTGGAACCAGCAAAACAGGAATGGCGCAAGGACTCAAACTCTCCCGGATAAATCCTTTCCGCAGTAATTCTTCAATCTGTTCTCTCAGGATGTCATTCTCCTTGGGGCTCATCCGATAATGGGGCAGATTCGGAAGGCTAGCTCCAGGCACCAAGTCAATTCGGTGCTGTATGTCCCGCATAGGAGGCAGCTCGTTTGGCAGATTTTCAGAAAGTAGTTCCTGAAATTGATTCAAAATCTTCTGCACATCTTGTGGAATGTCACCTTCTCCTCCGCCAATTTTCAACAACCCCTTCAACACCAAGGGACAAAAACACTCCGCTTCTTTGACAGCCTCGTTCAACTCCTGCTCGCTGCGAATTAGGGTTAGGAAACTAGAACTCCTCGTCTTGGGCTCAACAGATTGCTTTGCGGGCTGTGTGGTTGCCATTGCAATTTTCCGGTTGTTCCAAGAGAACAGAATTACATTATCTCGTCCCTTGAAAGTTGCATCCACATCAAATTGCCAAGGTCGCCCTAACAAAATATGGCATGCATCCATGTCAATAACATCACATAATATTTCATCTCTGTAATGCTTACCAATTGACAGTGGCACTCGGCAAGTCTCAGCTACACGAACCGAATGGCCTTTTTTAACCCAACCTAGTGAGTAAGGGCTGACATGAGGCTCCGTAGATAGCTGCAAATACTCCACCAATTTCTTTGACACGAAATTCTCGCAACTTCCATTATCGACGATCACATCACACACCTTGTTTTTGATTGAGCAGAGGGAACGAAAAATACTATGACGCTGCCCTTCCTCCTTTGGTGCCAAAAGAACTCTCTGCAAAACCAAGGTAATCTTCTCCATTCCTTCCTCAACTGCAAATTCAGCCCCTGCATAATCATCTTCCCCGACTTCATCGTTTTCCTCATCTTCATTGGCTTCTTCGATAAAGTTGGCCTGCTTCCGCTCTGGACAAACATTAGAACGATGCCCTGGTTTTTGGCAACGGTAACATATGTCCGTCATGGGCTTAGCATACGGATTCTGGGGCTGGTTTCGGGGCTGCCCTCTGTTGTAATTCCGGCTGCTACCTTCGTTGAAATTTTTGTTTTGGCCAACTGTTGCTGGTTTTGTCGATCATCCAAGATTCTGCTGCTGTGCTTTCCCCTTATCTCCTGAGCCACTAGAAGCACCAGCAGTATATTTAGAGGCTTCCGTCGTGTTCCTGCGGAAGTTGGGTTGGCGTTTCTCCTTCGCCAACAATTCAGCCTTCAATGCCATGTTAATCGCCTCCTGCAAAGTCCATATATTCTGCATACCAATTTTTTCCTGGATGGAAATCTTCAGCCCATTGTTGTACCTCGCGACCTTTTGGTTGTCAGTCTCGGTCAAATGGTTTCGCTCTGCCAAACGCATGAATTCTTCGGTATATTCAGAAACTGAACGGGTGCCTTGCGCACAGCCTAGGTACATACGGTAGAGAATCTGCTCATAATCTGTGGGCAAGAATCGTTCCATCATAAGCGACTTCATCTTCCGCCATGTTCGAACCCGCTGCTTTCCTTGCCTCTGCCGTAAATTTTGCAATTGATCCCACCAAACAGCCGCTGTAGCTTTAAGACGGAAAGCTACCATCTTCACCATCTTATGCTCAGGAACCTCCATAATATCGAAAAACCTCTCCACTTCTACAAGCCAATCCAAGAAGTCTTCAATCTTCAGATTTCCCCAAAAGTTAGGAATTTCTGCTTTAATCCGATAGTCGCCAAAATTCTCGTAATTACGATTACGATTACGAGGATTATTAGCCGGTGGTGGTGGTTCTTCAAGTTCTTCTTCTGACTCTGACTCACTATCCGGAATAAGTTGCCTCCTATTATCTCTTCTCTCGCCATCTCTACCTTCTCTTCGATTATCATCCCTGCCTTCTCTTCTTTCGTCATCCCTGCCTCCTCGCCTATGGTTGCCACCAAGAGCTTGCAACAACAATTCTCGCATCTCCCCAAATTGGGTGGTTAGGTTGTCGATCCGTTGGTTTTGAGCGTCCAGATCCGCTCGAGTAATTGGGGCTGGGACATCAGCTTCACGATCACCCATGATAAGACAAGAATACCAAGACGGGAGAGACCCGCTCTGATACCACTTGACGCAGCACAAGCAAATAAGGTTTCAAACGAAAACCTTGAGTAACAAGGAAACTGGAATCCACCAGAAATTAAGAGAAACTCTCTTTGATTAATTTGATTAAAATCTGAACTGCCGAAAAACGTTAGACGAACCCGTCTAAATACACAACTCTCAACCCTTGTAACTGCTAGGGGAGTTATTACAATAAAACTCAAAAACAGAATTAATTCGGAGACTTAACTACGTAACTCCGAAACTGAAAAAAAAACAGAATTTATTTTGGGAATTAACTATGTAACTCCGAAACGGAAAAACAGAATTTATTTGGAATTAACTTTGAACTTTGAATGCAGTTTTGAAAGGCCAAACGACTCCAGAATGCCAAAATCCATCGTACATCACAGCAAAGCAGTGAGTTTGACTCGTGGCATCGTTCCCTTTCCGAAATGGTATTTTGCTCCCTAATCGGAGCTCGGACGACAATTCTGCAAATTCCCACCACGTCCCTTTTCTTGCTCAACCGCGATAAAATCTGTCATCTGTTCTACATCAGGTAGACAATTGATATATAGAATTTTCTAAAGGCCAACATATCATAGCATGGCTTTTTTTTTTTTTTTTTTTTTTTTTTTTCTCAATCAAAAAACACAGAATTATGTACATAAAGCTAAATAATGGTAAACAAAAGATTTCCTTCTTCAAGGTGTCTTCTGCAGATCCTTACTCTGCTGCAGCACATCTTGTATCCATTGTTGGAATAATGGTAAGCATGTGTCCTTTCACATAAATAACTGTTCTATTTTGAGAGGTTAAAGAGTTTCCTTTTAAGACATGTTTATGGTGGCACTTGTCTTTCCACAGGAATAACTGGTGTATGAATTTTATAAAGGGTTTCTTCTGTCAACATGTTCTTGGAGACTATATATGGATTCATATAGTTAGAAGAGCTTGTTTCTCTTTTCCCCATGTGCTCTTAGGATAAAAAGCTTCTCGATAACTAGAAAGGCCCGGTACCATCCAGAAATTCCACAAATGGTTTTTTTGGATAGATACTGTTCTCCATGGATATGATAGTTACTCTTTAAAATACCAAGTTTCTTCAGTCAGTCTTCAAAAGTTTGTTAATGGTCTATGCTGACAGTTCATGAAGGTTAGAGTAAATAATAAATAGATTACTTAAATCTGCAGAAAACCTGTGTACCTTAGATTGCTAGAAACTGCCATATAAACTCCATAGGCTACACTAGTTGATAATATGGGAACATCCTCTGCTTCACCAGCAAAAGATTTATCGATAGCTTTTCGTGCATTAATCAATGCATTTGTTACACCCGTACCAACCTAAAAGAAATTGAAAAGTTGTAAACAGTCATATGACACCAAACGGCTACTAGCCTACTGAAACTGTCAACCATATAACAAACTGGGAACCACATAACATCATGACACCTGTATAGCCATTACATGAGTGGGAAGCAGATTTCATATGTGCATTCTGCAATGAAAAACTTATAACACAAGACAAAAACAATCTAGTAATGTACCAATACTCCCATTTCTTTCACTAAATACATATAATATTTTAGACAGTAATTGAAAATGAAATATACTTTCAATGGCAATAAAGCGCACTAGAGCCTCATAATTCATTTATAAGACTGGTTGGAGAAGCTTGTGCCTTTGTATATTATTTGGAGAAAAAAATCTACATCTCTGTTATTGTTGAACGTTGATACAAAATTCAAATCAATGGTACACTATCATTAAATTAGAAACAGTCGAGGATTATAACGCTCAGTAAAGAATCATTTTGATAGACATATACTACATAAGTATCCTATATTTCAATACAATTTGCTAGTAGAGTTAGTTTATGTGGCTGAGCAAAAGTTGATATAGTCTTTCCTGCATAGCATGATGCTTCAGGGCTTTAAATACAATATTCTCATCAATTAATTTTTTTATTTTTTATGGCTAAGTAAAAGGAAAATCTAGCCTTGCTTATGATGCATGTTGTATAAGTGTTCCAATACAACATGCAGAAGATACTTTAGGGTTAGTATTGGAGACCCAATACTATGACCAGAATATAACAAACCCAGGCCTGTACAGAATTGTTCATCAATGTTGTAATGATTGATGCAACGTTAAATTAATGCGTACATGCTCTATAATATAATGAGTTAGTTAAAGAGGGTTAAATAGGTATGGAAAGTATTTGGTTATTGCTGAAAATTTCACTCACCAGAGATGCACCAGTCCCGACTGCAAATAGTTTAGCTCCATTTCTCTGAATAAAAGATCAAAATACTTTAAACTCAATGCACGTACCACTATGAGACATGAACATGACTGCTAAACTGTTAGATAGCACATACCACTATTGCACAGCACATACCAATACTTCTCTGTAAGAGTGAGTAAGATGTTCCAGCCAAAGCTACCTGCAGACAGGAGTGATGACTCGCTTGTTATAGTCATATGACAAAGTGGCAACTTAAAAGGCCAAAAATAATGAAGCAAGCACTAACCTGAAAAGCATTATCAGGACACCCATAGAAGAACTTAGCAAGACGCCCTGCACTGACAGTAAGAGGAGGTCGAAGTGAAACAGTAGGAGCAGGAAGCCAAACAAGCATAAAATCGGCTATAATGGCCATCACCTGAGATTTGAAAAAAATATATTAACAGTAAGGCTGCGAAAAGGTGCAACAAATAGAAACCAGAAACCCAACAGATAAAAAAGGCAGAAATAGATAGCATGAAATGGTAAACGAAACACATCAGCTATCATCAAAATTGAGGAAAACTTCCAGTTGTTACAAAGTTGAAGTAGTGCTGCAGATCTTTTGCACTCCAAGTTTAACACAAAGTTTAACATATATGAAAGCTTATGACTAGAAAAGGAACTTTCCTTTGAGATTAATAAGCCTTCTGAAAGTATGGGGAAGTAATCAAATGAGTAAACAAATTTAAATGATGTACATTGCACCAGGTCCTACTAGTAAAATGCAATTAAATGATAAGTAATCCCCGCAATTTATAACTCTACTTCAGAAACACAGTTGATATTGTCATTGCAACCCCATTAACAAATTCTAAGTAAGTCCAATTTCCAATTGAAGCAAACAATTCAAACCAGTCAATTAACTTAAGTTCCCACAAAGCAGGCTCAGTTTTAGAGCACAGATAGCAGAAATGCCAACCAAAAATAAATAAAAGGATCATACGAATATAAAAAGACACCTAGAATCAAGTTGCAAGGATGCAAGGAAAGAAAAACACAAGAGTGGAAACTGAGGATCCTACAATTAAGCAACTCCTATTCAAAGGAAAATGACCGAAGACACGAATACCATTTAGTGATTCTGTAATTGGAAGCGCACAAATTGCACAAAGGTTGCTACCAAGAGTTGGTATTGAGCTCAATGTTCCCAAAGATAGTTTTCTGCATCCATTCCAATTCACAACCCAAAACTCAACTGAAAGGCAGATTTTCCGAGTTGAACTTATTTATTTTTAATATTTACATCATATGACATATCCCAGATTCCGACAGTGTTTCTTACTGTTACACTGTCGCTCAGCCCAATTATACAAACATCACTTGTAAAAGCTATTCATCTATGAAGCTAATGAAAATTACTTAGTTTGGAGGCAATAGTTTTCCATTCTGCAGCACAACAAAATCAAAGATCTTATTTATATGAGAGGCGTACCACATCCGCAAAAACAAAATCCAGCTCTTTGGTAAAATTTCAAACATTATCAACACTTTCCCTGTACTCTTTATGGTGAGACTCCTTTTCTGGCATATTATTGCGAGTAGTTTCATTTCAAAAAAATGAGTAATTTACTTGCTGTTTCTGGTTCTTTCTTTATGCTATTGTACACTCTTAACTTCTTCAATCACTACAATCTTGATTTTCACTAAGGCATGACCATGACACATTGAAATATGATTTTGGTATTTCAGAACTTAAGTTTCTCGTCCATAAGAATAAACACAAGGAGTGCATTTAAGCCAGATTAGAAATCTGAAATCCTTACCGGAGGGCCTATGCCACCTCACCAATATTCAAACTTTAAATATTATGAATCTATGGCTTTCAATTCCTCACTTCTCTTCAATCTCTTCGACTCCGGAATTGTCCAAAGCTGGCATCTATTCGAGTGGAGGGCCTGGCTCTTTCACTTTCACAATTTTTATATCTCTGGGTGTCCAAAGATATTTTGGGTCACATCTTCAGGTCTTATCTTTGGACGATACTGGCCCAAAATATCCCACATTCCTTCAAATTTCAAACATTATCGACCTTTAATGTCTTATTATTTTTCAGATATTCTTGTTTTCTTCAATTTAGTTGGATTTTACAACAATGTATGTTTCCCAGCTGGGTCTTTTTCATTTACAGTTGTTTCAAGAGAGAATCCCCCATGCTAAACGACAATGATTTATCGTGTACATGGTAAATCCATCTTTATTTCCCTTATGATATATTTTAAATTCAGGAAATGGGAAGACTTAAAAAGGCTCTTCCTTAATAGGCACTTGCAAACATGCGATCAAAATTTGAATGGAGAACATTTGAAATATATATATAGTAAAAGAAAGTACTTCATTTCTCACTTGGTTTGCCTTGTAATATTTTGTCATCTCTCTGCTCAGAAAACTTTTAGCCATATTTTTCTTTCTTTTGTTCGCTTAACTTCAATGTCTTTCCAAATTCTCTGTGATGTAGGACGAGATTTAGGTCAATTATGGTGGGAAGAATGAGGATTTTGATGTGAATCACTGAATCACAATAGGAATTATAAACAATTACTTTTATTATAATTGATTTGTAATTATAGGAATACCGGTTTGACCGGGATTGTATTTATTTTCTTTTTACTTATTGTAATTACTTCCTAGATAGGCTTGTATTTGTATCACTATAAATACTTATGAGAAGAATAGAAATATATTGAATTATTCATAACCCTAAATTCTATTTGAGTGACCAACACTCGTTAGACAAGTGAGTGATTGAATTAGTCAAGTCACTAACCAAATGTGAATTTATAGCGATTGTAAGGGAGTTTATAGCCATTGTTGACAAAGTTGTTATTTGGGTCTGCTAAAGTTAGTTTAGCCTTGCACCCAAGTTCGATGATTATTCCCTTGCACTCAAATATTTACATTTGGTTAGTTTAGAATATTACTTTCTCATAAATATCTAAACTAACCAAATGTGACTTTATAGCCATTGATGTATTTATCTTAGTTCTACTTCTACTACAACCGTTGTGCTTTAAACCGTAAAACAGGGCACGTTTTATCTGCTCAAAGTTCCTGTTTTTTGTTTTGTTTTGTTTTGTTTTTTTTTAAAGCAAAGCTCAGGTTATCTGCTATGTGGCAATTTAAGAACAGATTATGTATTTTGAGAAAGAACAACGTAAAATATAAAGCCACATCTAAGGGTGCACGGTTACCAACAAATAGATCCCTCCAGGTTTAAGAAGCCTACAAGCAAAATAACAATTGTGATTAGTGACGGTAATTTTACTAAAGTCTGCAATATTTACTAAAGATAATGCAGTACAAAATTGTACTGGTAATTTTAATGAAGTAAGTTTTCAAAAGGATACATTTCAGCTGAAATGTCAATGTTCAGCTGAAAGTATGTGCTCATATTTTCTTTTCATCATGTCAATGGCCACTGATGAAATGTCAACGTTCATTATGTCTTCATATCCATCCGCAATCATGTCCTCAGAATTTCACTCGACAGGTAGATAGTAAAGATCTAAATCCAATGAAATTATAGATGTTATGACCTTCCTGTTAGAAAATGAATCATTTTTACATCAACAGTTCTTCGTCTATAGATGGCAAGCGCAATGCCATGTTTGGGAATGCCAGAGCACCCTAATTGCATCAGGTACATTATTATTCTGGTGATTCATGCTCAAGCACAACTGGCCAGAAATATCAGAACAGATGGAACTATCAGAGAACCTTAATTTGGGGAATTCAAGCTCAAGCACAACTGCCCAGAAATAACCCTAAAACCCAATTTCTTTGATTTTGTCACAACTTCCCCATAATTCAAACACAGGTCAAAATTACCAAAAAGTAGCTAAAATTAAATGATGAATGTTCAAAACCACTGAAGTTTTGGGAACCAATTATACTCTAACAGAACAAACCTATAAGGGCCCGGTTGTCAATGAAAAATATAAGAACGATTATCCAAAAAAAAACCCAACATCCCAAATCAAAAAAATTATTTTCTATCTTTTTTCTAAGAATTTCTCTCAAACCAAACAGAGCAAACAAAGTACTAATGCAGAGAAAGAAAGAAGCTCTAGAACCTGCGGATTAAAACTCTTAAAAGGGAATAGCTTTACAAACAAACAATGAAGAAAAGAGCAACGGAGAAAGAGGGGAAATTAACAGCATTGCCACAGCCGACCGTGAGAACCCGAGAGGAGGTTGGTATGTAGTTTCGGACAAAAGGACGGAGAGAAGAGTAGCGCTGGTACCAGTCGAAGGAGCCTCCTTCTTCGACGTAGCGGGCGTCCCAATAGACGGCGTCGCCATAGTTGTAGGTGTTGCAGCTCGACACGTCCCTGAACATCTTCTCTTCACTTTCTGCTGCTGGTGATGATTGTGGTGATTTGCGTTCAGCCGGGTACAGTCGGCGATATGAAATTACAAAAGAGAAAGAGAGAAACGAAAGCGCAGGCAAGTAAGTGCGCTCAGTTTCGTGTTGGTTTTCAGGGCCGAGGGCTTTTGAGCCCTTTTCTGTCCGTACAGAGTAAGTGGTATCCGAATGAGAAATTCTCTAGGGAAATATGCTGGTATAATCACAACTCAGAAACAGTGTGCTGAAATAATCAGCCTACAAATTGTATTCTAATATAATCACTTGGGGACGTGAAATGACCGAAGTGCCCTCCATATAAAAACATATCTATTGGGGAGTTATTGGGCATGGATTGGCGACCTAACACTTCCGTCTTCTCAGCTCGTCTCTTCCTCTCTGGCGGCGCTTTCTCTGTCCAGCGGCCACCACCACTCTCTGTCTCCCTCTGTCCCCAAACCTAAGCAGCACTCTCTCGTTCTCTCTCTGCCGTCAATGTTAGGGTTTGGGGAGGCGGTTATTGACGTTTAGGGTTTCACGATAAATGGTATCTCCCTTAAACGATTTCTCAGTTCCCTCTCTTTTCATGTCTTGAATCGAAGTCTTTCTCTTCTCCTCTGCTCCTTGAGGGCCTAAAAAAACCCCAAAACCTGGTTTCGGTTCAGACTTAGTTCACTTACTTCCTCCTCCTGCTCAATCCTGTGAGGGACAAAAATCGCGATTTTCTGTAGGTGTTGCTCGGATTTCCAATTCGGTTCTGTGCACAAAACGAGTGATTCTAAGGTTGGTTATGTATTTGTTATTGACTAGTTTGTGCATTTGTATGGTTTTCATTTGAGAAGGATAATTTCAGTAACCTGTGACTGATGTTGTGAAGTTTAGTAATTACAGAGATTGCAATAATAATGTATTTTAACTGTGAATTATTTCATGCTTGGATGAAACTTGTATTGGTGTATTGATTTTGCTCTGTGGACGATGAAGTGCCTTAAGTTGGTATTTGTCATCTGGGATTGGTTCGTTTGTGATGCGTGTTTTCACTTCCATTTGATGATGCATAATTAGTGTGGGAATTTATTCTGGTGGCAATGGCTATTCCATTATAACACAGGTTTACCTCACTAGGCCCTAAATTAGCTGTTGAGTAATAATGCATAAGTAAATTTGTTGGTATCATTGCTGTTTCAGCACCTAGTAGCATAGTTTTGCACCCTTCCAGTCTTAATGGTTAATTATGTGAATTTGAAATACTAATGTAAGTTGGCGTGGGATGTTTCTTTTCCCTGTGCTATAAAACCTGCTAAATTTTGTTGTTAGTCCTTGCTTGCAGCTTGTCATATATGTCTGAAAATGGTATTTTCTTGGGCTTTAGTATCTGTTTAGAAATTTCATGTTCATCCAGCTATGTTTAGCAGTTGCAGCTGCAGTAACATTTTGACGTGTCTAGTTTGTACACAGAGTCCATAACTGCCAATACTGATGTTCCATGAGTAGACATGTATATGACTATGGTAATGAGTAGATTTTAGTACGCATTGATGCATTTGGAGTAATTGTTGTAGCCATTTCGCCAAAACCCTGTATGAAGTGGATCCGTGGTTCATGAACTTGTTTTCACACTTGGGTGGTATTTGGTTTTTGGATGGAATCGAATATAGATTTTGTAGAAGGGAATGTAGATAACAGCAGAGTGTGGAGAGAGTTGGAGAGTAGAAAAGAGGCTTCAAAACAATTCTGGTTTTGTCATATGTATATACATATATTAAATGACTTGAAAGTATTAGTTTGAGTAATGTACGTATGAAATATGGGTAACCAATGATCCATATGTATGATGTTGTTGTGCAGGGAACTCTAGAATGGCTTGTAAAGCAAAGCTTATGATTCCTGAGGATGAGAAGTACGAAGGAAAGCCATTTGCCCTTTCACACGCAAGGACCGCCATTACAACAATAAAGGCGAAGTTCAATACGCAGCAGTTACAGAGGTTCGAGGGGAGTTGTTTTGGTCATCTATTACTGATAGAGGACCTGAAGTGGAATTCACAAGTTGTCCACGGGCTGTTGATGAGGAAGGCTGATCCTAAGACAGTTACACAGGTGAACGGGATAAAATTCATTGTGGGTAACAAGTTGATACAATTCACAGCCCAACACTTTTGCCTCATCACGGGCCTAAGGTTCGGAAAGCTCCCTTTCATTCCGAAGGCGACAAATGAAAACTGCTCCTTGAAGCGAAAATACTTCAGTAGCAATAAACCTCCCACCCTTTTGGACCTACACACTGCCTTCATCGAGTGCACAGATGATGACGATGCGTTAAAGCTTGGAATGGTCTATTTTGCCATTTTTGTGCTATTGGGTACTGAAAAGCATGTGCTTTTTGACATGCGCTATTTGAAGTTGGCCGAAGACTTAGAAGAGTTTGACAAGTATCCATGGGGTGCCGTGTCATATGCGATGACAAATGCTTCACTTTTGAGGGCAGTTTCTCCTGATTACCAACGAGTGAAGGTGCCCCAAAACAGAAAAAAGCCCAACAAACGTGGGAAGAAGAGAGCGCAGACAAGAATGGAATGCAGTAGAGCCAGAGAGTACATCATAAGGGGGTTTGGCTTCGCTCTTCAGGTGAACACATATCCAACAATGTTTTAGTTCATTTAAATACATGTACAGATTTTGATGTTTGATTGTTGTCAACAGATTTGGGCTTTTGAAGTCTTCCCAGCATTGGAAGCATTGCATTTCACGGTCCATGAAGACAATAGGCACATCCCTCGAATATTACATTGGAGGAGCAACACGGTGGCCCGTTTTCGGGAGGTTATGAGTCAGGTTTATGAAAACTTTGAGGTTAGTTCAGTTTGTATTACTCAGGTTATGATTAGGAACAAGTAAAAAGTTCACTGATTTATTAGATGTGTTTCAAATGGAGGTTGATGTGCAACTTCTCCGGCCGACTGATATTGAGAAGCAACAACCTTACTGGAGTTGGGGCGATGATGAGAACAATGAAGAAATTGTTCAATTGTTTGGGGATGAGGGCGAAGACAAAACCAGCACTTCTAGTGAAGAAAAAGAGGCGGATGTTGAGGAAACAACTACCCTTCCCTCCTCTTCTAAGGTGAGCATGACCTTTTTCCAATGTTGTGAACATGTAGAGAATACGATACGAAAGAAGTGGAAATAGTTTTCTTAGCTTTTGTAAGATTTCTAACTGTTGCATTATAACTTTATGCAGGGCAAAGGGTCTTTTAATGACTTTGGCAGGTTGAAGCATCAATTAGAAAGCACTAAGGATGAGTTAGCAAAGCTACGTAGTTCAAATCGGGGCCTTAGGAACAGAGTTCGTGACTTGGAAGCTATTGTAGACAAGAACTGTTTGAAGCATGAGAAGGAGTGTGACAGAAATAAAAAGGCTATTGGGGATTTGACCCTAACAATTGCTTCAGTGGAACATTATTTTAAATTGGAGATGGAGGAGTTAAAAAAATTATATGGTGGACAAGGGCATGAGGAAGTGTGGACTGCTCAGATGAATGAAGGAGGGCAGAATGAAATGTCACCCTTGAATGAACTTACTACTCCGACTACAGCAGGGCCTAAAATGGACGCACAAGTTGCAGGTGATGGAGTGGAAGCCTTCCCAGGCATGCATACAGAACGGGCTGAAATGGAAGCAACAGTCTATGGTGGAGTGGAAGGGGCTGAAAGGGAAGCGGAAGTCCCTGCTGATGGAGTGGAAGCTTTTCTAGCCATGCATATACAAGGGGCTAAAAGGGAAGCCGAAGTCCCTGCTGATATTGTGGAAGGCTTCCCAGCCATGGAAGTCGAAGCCGCTGAAATTGACACTTCAGTTTGTAACAAACAAGTGCACCAACAACCTCACAAGGTTCCTACTTCGGAAGATGTGAAGGTTCCTAGTCTTGAAGATCCCCTCATTCCTAGTCCGGAAGATAGGGAAGGGTACAGAGTTATTTGTAAAACAATGTTAAATTTGTTAGAGGATTGGAATAAGAAAGAAATTCAGGGGGGTGGGACGGAAGGCGAGGCCTCCCATGGAAACTAGTATAAATCTGGTTGGTGATGAAGGGGACAAGGAGGCTAATGCCACGGTTCAGAAACCAGATGCGGAAGGCAAAGGATGCAGACTGAAGCGGCCCGCGAAAACATTGTTGAGTCCATTCACTGATCCCTCCAGGAAAAAGAGGCCGACTACTGGTTTTCATGCACAGACACCTGAGGCCCGTTTTGATCCAACACAACCCGTGGCCATGGACGATGTGAAGGCTATGATACAAGTTTGCAAGGCTTGGAAAAGTGACATCAGGTTAGGAATTGTAACTTGGCAAAACCAATATACATGTTTTTTGATGTATGCAGTCATGTACAATAACAATATCTACGTAGCTAATTGTTCGTGTGTGTGTCATTGTCATATTATGCAAGGTGTCCATTAGTTTTTTTTTATGGTTGAATTTACCTTTGCAAGTTTATTTTTTTGTAGTGCGGAGCTGGAGCTCGAACCATTTGTAGTTGGGGCAGATTTTTTTTACAAACTTGTAGATGAAACTGCATGGATGAGCTCGAGGGTAATACTTTTGAACCGTGCTTTATTTCGAAAAATTTCTGAATTGATCACTTTGAGTATGTGGCCATTTTTTTTTAATATTGAGGTCGTTGTTGTGTTGTGAAATGTCAGCACCTTGACATGGCCATGTTTCTAATACGCAAAAGACAACTCTCTCATCCTCAAGTATTTGGAACGGAGTGGACAACTGCCGAGTTTTGTCTGCAGGTATTATTGTATTCATATTATGTCTCATTCAATTTGTTGCATTGGTAGGAGTAATGTTGTTGGCTGTGTTTGGTGCATTGGATCCTGTTCATGTAACGTGTCTTTCACACTTGTTTGCAGCAATTTTTACAGCCATTTACACCGCCAAGTGCGAAACGAGTTACGAGGAAACAAATTGCTTCAATGACTGTTGACCCTCCCCCTAACTACCTCAGAAATATACACCACTTTGTCTGGGGTTCATGGCAACATGGTTATGCACAAGCATGGACGAAAGTCCGCAAGGTCTATCTCCCGTATAATGTTCGACAGTCCCATTGGGTGGCTGTAGAAATTGACTTTGTCAGACATACTGCCACTGTGTACGACTCGTATACTGTTTTTACCTCCAACACAATGCTTGTCCGACAGATGGAGCCTATTACCCAGACGCTTGCAAAGGTGTTGTATGACATGAGGTTTTATGAGAAATCGGAGGTTGAAGCGGTGAAGAAAAAGGGGATTGACATGCCAACGTTTAACCCATTCACAATTTGCAGAATTTCCGATGTTCCTCAGCAAAGTGATGGGTAAGCTGTGTTCATTTAAAGCACTTTGTGCATGTTGTCAGTATGTGCACTTCTAACTTCTGTACTGCTCGGGTGGACAGTACCTCATGTGGCATTATGACCGTCAAATTTATTGAGTATCTCAGTGCTGGCATTCCTTTTAATACCATTGACCCAGCCAAGTTTGGCTACTACCGATTGAAGCTTGCAATCGAGGCTCTCAGGGGAGAGGCCTATGTATGAGGTAAAAGTCCATATCTGACCTCATATGAATTCACTGTTAAGGACTGCCTTCAGAATTGCCTAGTTATTTACCTACTTTTAATTATGTCGTACGTACAGAGTTGTGCTTTCAGTCTTCATTTCAGACAACTTACAGTATGTTGGCATCTTTTCCAAGTTTTATGAATGCGAATGGCGACTATTGTTAATCAAAGTTTAGGGTATTGGGGATTTCAACACCGTAGATGGTAATGTACATGTTTTGCAACTGGCATCTGATTTAAGTATGGCATATGTTCTGAACTCTGACTGTGTATCATCCAAAACTTGTATCATGTTGTTTATGACATCTCAATAGAATTACTTCTTAAAATTGCTCCAATTATTAAGACGTTCAAGTTTCCCTTTCTATGAATGCTAACTCTCGGCACATTTGGCCTTCTTATGCAGGTGGTCCTTTCAGGTTCATACCCATATTGACATCACAGATTCTGTACATGTATGTCACAGAAGTTGCAGGCTGTTTCGTCGTTTTGTCATCCTGAAAATGAATGCGATGTTTTGCCTTACATGGCACCATTTTTGACTTTGTGTACAGATGGCAATAAAGGGTGCTGATTTTGTACTATGTTGCAGGGTGTTAATTTGTGTAACGTAATTCGCCAGTACTTGTATTCCATAGTAGAAGGGCTGTACTCACGTTTCCTTTCTGACAATGCGGTTATTGACCTTCTGTACTTGACATGTTTTGTACAGGCATATAACAAAATATCCTTCATTTGGCCGAAGTTGCAGCCATATCAATTTTTTTTGCCCCACCCACATTGTAGCCGTTTTGTTTTGTGTGGTTCGGTGTAATACTTACTTTCGTATATTAATTATTTTCATCCAATCTGGACAGAAATGTTTGGGGTTGTTAGCCGAAACAATATCCCTAACCCTCTGCTGGGGCCATTTACAAAGCATTATACGATTTGATCAGGGAATTTGTTAGCAAATTGGATGACTCTGTCAATTTGATGAATTTGGGAGTGGCTTATGTTAAAACCAAGAAATCTGACATTGGTTTCAAACAACTTCATTTTCTTGGCAGAGACAACTACACCATTTTGGCTAACTTTCGAAAGCAACTTATGCATATGTTTCCATTCATGTTCTATGGACTCAGAGAAGATAACAACAGCATCAATGTAGACTATAGAGAAATGACTATGCCAAAAAGCATTAGAAAGGCCATGTTTCAAATATCAAACTTCATTTGTTCTTCAAATGTTCGAATTTATTTTATTTTAAACTTAACTTATTCTTGAAGAGATTTCAACTATCGAGCTTTGTTTTGAATTATACTAACTGTTTTTGCAACAATATTATTTCCAAGGATTCTGCAGTTAGGTAACTCAAGCTTAGTTTAAAAAATCAAATTTGAGTCTTTCTCCTACATAAATAGAACTAACACCATCATGTTCAACCTAGAGCGGATATACTAAACCTATAAAGGGTAATCCTAATATTACTTCATCGGTGATGTTTTTTACTAAACAAAGGCAGTATTAAAACAGATTTTATTTTCAATTTTAGCTTTTGGAATCTCCTAATTCAACTGTAAGGCTTTTCCCGACGCAGTCCTTAAAGACTGTGGATTTCTTATAATACTTTGTCGGGAAAAGGCCTTCTTCAATACAGTTAAGGTCGCCTCCTGAATCAAAAAGTCCGACTCTATGACACGTATAAATGTGGACAACTCTTTTCACTGTACAATACCACTTTCTAAACTTCACTTGTTTTACTAATTTGAAGGGCTTGCTCTCATTAATTACATGGCTCATCTTCAAAATTGGTTGGACTTTCATATTGACTATTAGACGCAGAATCATCCTTTGCTAGACGAGTTATGAAATTCTGTTTTATTTCATAATTCTTAGTTTCAACTTTATGACTCATTTGCTTTAACTCAATGATTTCCCTGTTGACTAATTTTATCTCAGATTGTAGGTGTTGAAGGGTGACTTCTTTTCTCTTCCTAACCTTTTCTACTGTTGTATTTAGACTTATTTCATTAGGGATAGTTGATGGACTAGGACTTTCTTGGCTAATGAGTTTTCTTGGTTTCTTTAGGTACTCCGATTTGAGCTCAGGATTTGATACGTTCCTTATTAATTCTATGAATAACTCTTATTGCTCTTCTTGCTTAGTAAGGACTCTAAGTGATTTTGAATTACAACAGTTTATCGTGCCAACAAAATTTGACTCCAGCTGAACTAGACTGGGAATCAGAGGACTGGTAGGGTTCTGACTCAGAATTGTTTACTACTGTTTCTATCTCACTTGTTTCAGAGTCTCACATCTCTAAACCCATAATTAAATTGTCTTTTTCCTCATTCGTGATTTTCAACTGTTGCATAGTTTCTTTGGCTTATGCACTCTGAGCCATAATGTCCGAACTTTTTACATTTTTAACATTTAACTTTGCTATTGTCTTCACTTGTCATAAAGCGACTATGTTTCGGTGGTGTGGACCTATTTTTCTTACGGTAAACTTTGTTTTTCCTATACAACTCATGATTATCTTTATTCCGTTCAAAGGCTTGTTTTCTTCGTGAGTAATGACGACTTTTCCTAATGTCACTCGGGTAATTGGACTTATTTTCCTAGACAGAGGTACTGACGTAAGACCATATTGTTGACAGAAGAGTCCTAACGCATATTTAGCACTTTCTCAGATTGTATTTGTCGACCAATTTTCATAGGTACCCACATTTTCATACCAACTTCGTTAATTGTACTAATTGTATTTCCATAGGTTAAATTATTCCAATCAATTTGACCTTGCTCATTGCTGAACTCAGTTCTTCTTTTATGGCCGAATAAGTTTGGAAGAGCGGTGATGAAGTTTTCTTTCCAAAACGGTTGATTACTAGCTTCACGAATCATGACTCTACAACTTAAAATATGTGTATACCATCTAAAATAAGACAGATTAGAACATCTCAGATTACTCAGTTGATCAAGTATTCTAGCATTAGTATGAGTATGGGTTCCAATAAAATGCTGACTTATAGTATATAACAAAGTCTTAACACCATATTCATCAAACCTCTTCCATTACATCCATAACCTAACCACCTTTAACCTGCCAAATGTAGATGAACAAACCTCCTATTACATTTGGAACACAACAAATAAATGACCATTCCAAACATGAAAACAGAGACCCAAAACCAGGGGTTTTTCATCTTCCCTTTTCCAGCGTTTCTTTCTTCTTCCAAGCGGTTTATTTTCCTAAGTAAGCCTGGAATTATGTGCTTCGATCTGTCACACATCTCTGGGTCAGCCCATTCCCAAAATGTACATCCATTCCTCTGCATAAACGGAAACAATATTTCCGTTACAAAGAGGCGCAGCATCACAAATGGAATCCACGAAAATGCCAAATTTCGGGTCAAACTTACAGAGAAATAAACTTACCCTTGCACATACTTGAAACCTCCTTCCCGGATGAGAAACCGTCCAGGATGTATGCGTTTTGACAACGTTCCCACAGTAGCACAGCCGTGAACATACCGAACTCGCGTCTTCCATTTCCCACCGAGACCTTGAAGGCCACTCTTGAGAGTGGCATGGAGACCTCACTGACTCAGCCGCACCGCTACGGAGGCTCCTCCTACTCATCTCCTTGTTTTCTCTGTATAAATTGTTGTTCAACTTGTGCGCTATTTGGAGAGGTCAAGAGGCTCATCTTGTAGTCAATGGGTTTCACTTGCCTGTGCGAAATTTGGATAATAAAACCGTGTGAGCGCACCAACATGAAACTTGGAGTTTATGGGGTGGTTTTTATACAACATATCAAACTTTACCATAGGCAACACTGAGGGCAGGGGCGGCCTGGGGTGGTGCAAGTGGCGCCACCGCAAAGGGCCCCGGAAAAAAATTTTCTTTAATTTATATATTAATATTATAGGAAGTGTATATATACTATAGCGTGCTAAATATTTGCACAGAAGTGTTCGTGGTGGAGTTGGCTTCCCAGCGAAACTCCACTTAACAGGGGCGCACGAGTTCGAATTTAATTAATGCCAATCTATTCGCCCTTTTTTTATATTATTTTTTATTATAACAAGTTAACAACAAATTTTACATAATTATAAAATTTCAACAAAAAAAAACGAAAACAAAAGCACACCTTTAAAATATATATATATATATATATATATTCTCCTCCAAGAAAAGTACTTTCTCTATTCAAAACAAAAAAAAATTTCATGGCTTCTTCTTTCTCTCAAACTCTGATTTTCTAATAAGTAATCATCATCATTCATCAATGTCTCTTTGGTTCTGTTTTCAATCCTTTGACAATTTTTGTAATTCTTTCAATTTCAAGAATTTGAACCCCAAAAAGAGAAAATCATAATTCCTAAATTCATAAAGACCACTCAAAATCAAATAGTCAGATTCAAAGCTCATTTCAAATTCATGTATATATTTAAATTTCAATCTATATATTACATGACTTATTTTATTAAATTATTATCATGATGATGATTGGTTATATGAGAATATGGTTTTTAGAAATATTTATCTATTTCTTGCTGGGGTTTTCTTCCAGGTTACAAGGTTTTGGAATTTTTCTTTGTAATCTAAACATGCCACCTACTAGAAAATACATTTTTGGATATACAAAAAGACATAAAAAAAATTATAATAATCGAGGAATTGATTCAATCTCAAAGAGGAGCTTTTGAATCTTGATAGATTCATTGTTAAAGAATCACATGCTACATAGATTGCCAATTTGTTTTTACTATTAAGCACAGATTGCTTAGAGGAGGTAGAAAGGGATCTTATAGGGGCACAAGGAGCTTATTTTTGTATCAAACATACCAATATTTAACTTTATCAAATGGAAACATTTAAATTTTTATGAATTTGATTTTTGATTGTCATTACATGTTTATTGATGGTGACTTTTAGTTATAAAAAAATTGTTTATGACATTAAGTTATGGCAAATTGTATTTATAGTATTTTCGTATTAAATTATGTGAGGCCCCAATTTAAGTTTCACACAGGGCCCTCACAAACTCAGGGACGGCCCTGACTGAGGGCCTAATCCAATTGGAATGTTATTCGGACCCTTATTTTGGAATCCACATACGGCATGGTATACACTTGGAAATACAGTACATGTTAATTCTTCGTTGCGTGTATATTGGTTTTTTACTGACGTATTGGTGTTATTGTGCAACTTATTGGTTTGCTATTGCCTCTTTATTGAGCTTGTAATGCTCTTTATTGGTTTTCTAATGCATGATATTGCACGTATATTGGCATTGCAATGTAACCTGTGCATTATTTTCGGTTGGTACTGCTATTCAAAAATGTTTGTTTTATACTGTCTTCAGTATTGGTTTTGCAATGTCATTTGACAAGTGTACAAAGTTGAACTATGTGGAAGGTAATTACGTTATAATTTGGATCTGAAATGAATGCATCCACATTACATCAACTGCTGTTTTAAAACTTCCAGCATACTTAATATAAAGAAGGCAACAGGAACAATCACAATACGAAGGCCTCCTCAAACTGGCAGAATACAAAATAAAATAACATCCCAGCGTGAACTTACATAAAACAACATATTAAACAAACAAAACAACACAAAAGATGACCACAAACTTACTAAATACAATGTTAACAAAGATGGCACCTGAAGATTACATTATACATATGAAAAAAAGAGGCCCCCTCAAACTTACCTAATACAAAATAAATACATAAACAGGGCACCTCATCCGCACATAATTAAAAAAGAGGCCAAGTCATACTTCCATTCCACTGTACAAAGTTTGTCCTAAACCGTTGACATGGTCATATTACAAGTCATACCTTCCGTCTGTGGATACATTTCGAGTTGCATACCCTTCACATGCGGCGACCGCGACCCATTAAATTCATGACCCCTCCCACAGTGATGTCCCACTTTCCTTCTGCATCCACAATTTTTGCAAACTTCCTAAATAGTTCGAAACCAGATTGCAGTTGTTTTTGCTTCAGCTCAGCCATTTCGTCAGATTCCTTGAATACAAGAACTGCAGTGGCAGGGGCATTTTCAATTTTAGCTCTGACAGCCTTTATATGTAGGAGATGCATCCGGGCTTCATAACGCGCCCGAATTGTGCAGTTTTTTATGATACCCCACCTAGCTTGGCCCTCTTTAATTTTTAACACTATGTCTGCATGGAGATTTTTCCAGAACATGGTATTGGCTCGACATTGCTGCAGTCCTTGGACCCAGTCTTCAGTGTCTTCTGTTGCTGATTTGGCAGGTGTGTCATTGTCCCCTCCTTCATTAATGGCAAGGGTTGGGTTTGGTGTGGGGTTTCGGTCCATGGGTGTTGGGTATTTACTGCGGGTTGGTGTGGGCATTAGTTTGCCCAAACTGGAAGTAATTGTGATATGGTTGAAATTGTTGCGCAAGCAGGGGGGTTTTGACGGAGTAAATGTGATGGAAATGTTGGGTGGATGCAGCTGGGTTACAATTAAATAGTGGGAGGTAATAATGAGCAGGAGAAAATGACAGTCAGCAACTGGCGGGAGTTATTGGCGGGAGTTGTTGGCTCCAATTTTTGGCGGGAGTGGTTGGCTCCAATTGTTGGCCAACACGTTACACTTGGGGTTTGTGTAATTAGGTTATTGGTTGGTGTTTGTTGTATGGGACCGTTGTTGTATTTGCAAATTATTCCTGTTGTCCTATTTGACCAATTTCCCTCCTGTATGAGGTACAAATGTCCCAAAAGTACAAAATGTCCCAAATTTATAAGTACGGTCAAATTCACAAAGTACAAATGCAGATGTTTACAAAAACGGACCATGAAAGTATATGTGTTTCGAATTTATTTGTTGCTATCTTCCAAATAACGGATGTAGATGAGTTCCATTTTTAAATATATCGGTAAAATCCGAATTGTGAATTTTGATACTTGCAAATAAGTTCATGTGTATTCCGCCCACTTGACGTTAACTTCCCCTTGAAATGTGGGTCGGGACTGTATATGACTGTTTTCATGTTATTTAATTTTCTCATATGGTCAACATATAGTATCGTCATTTGTAGGGAATACTGAATAATTTATAAACATTTATGTATATTTCGTTATTTGGATAATTAGGGAACTTGGTCGTCATTTGTAGTATTACTATGTGAAGACCTTGAATATTCAGATAGTATACAGTTTTTTAGTAAGGTTGTGTTTATTGTGTATTCACAGTTGTTTAGGTGTGTATATTTGTACGGGCGATTATTCCACCGTTGACATACCTTTATTCGTATTTGGTAAGGCTGTAATGGGCATCTTACAATGCTCTCATTAATTACAAAGAGGACAGGGTGCAGACTGAGCTGTAATGACCAATTTGAAATAAATATAAAACACAAATCTTCCTCTATATAAGAGGGTTTAACGTACTCATTGAATTCCATATCAAACATAGTACTCCATATATAGCAGAGCGCAAACCTATACTAAAGCTCACCCTATTGTTGGTTACGAAGAAAAAAAACTGCCTACTTATTTACCTAATGTTAAGTGTTTTGCACGGTGCATGTGTGCAATTTCCCCATCCATAGTTGAAGATGTCAGACGTAATCCCTCCGAACGACCATGGCAGTTACCCGGGAGACCCGCCATGGCATGTCCCTTTCCCATCTCCACCTGGGACTCCAAATAACGATCCCACGTCATCTGGAAGTGAGGCTGACAACAATGATCCACTAGACAAAATTGCTGAAGTGAAGCAGGACCTCCAATATTTGTGTGCGGCAACGGATTGGTGGGAAACGAAATGTGATATTCATGGCCAGGTGATGGGAAACTTGACGAACAAGCTGAACAATGCATATGCTAGAGAAGTGAAGCAAACAATGAAAGCCAAAAGTCGGAGGGCAAAGTTAGAGTGGTTGAAGGTCAAATTGGAAGAAACAAAGAAAGATGCTGTGCAAAAATTCACTGAATCTGAAGAATTTAACCATGAAATGGTTGAATCTTTTAACAATGGGTTCGAGATGTTCCGAGATTATGCTTCCGTCATCTCACCAGACTACAATTGGAGCCAAATAGATGTTGCTGGTGTCTGGCAGGTGCTGAATAGCTGTGGCCAAGGAATGGCTGATCATAGCCTTGTGCATGCAGCGAGGAAGAAGAACAAGGACATGGATCTAATGATGGACCTGTAACCGTTTGGATTTTGGTAGGATCTGTGTAGCTGGGTCAGGGTAAGTACGGGTTCAAAGCATTTTGTGGACACGAAATGAATTTTGTATGAATGTGGTGCCTTGTTTACGCCGTGCTCTTATTCTCACGGTTGAGTGGCAAATTAGTAAGTTTGTATAAACGTAAAGTGTTGTGTACTGTATGTGTGCTTATTGTATGTTTATTGCCCTCATATTGGAAGCGTCAAGTACTTATATTGTTTGTGTATTGGTATATTATTGTCTCATATTGGAATCGTAGAGTACTTATATTGTTGTTTTATTGTTTTTGTATTGCTACTGTATTGTGTCATATTGTGATCGTAGGGTAGGTATATTGTGGTTGTATTGATGCTTTATTGATTGGCATCATAGCATATAGCTTTTCCAATTGAGTAATGGTAAAGAGGGTACTGTAGCAAAGGTCGTAACGATGGCGGGTTTAGGAAAGTTTGGTGGTTCTGAAGCACGAAAATATCCATGGAAAGATCGGAAAGATATCGATTCCATACAAACCACGGACAGTATACATACATGCAAATTTTTACGTGGAACAAAAATACAGTTATGAAAGGAAGAATTAAATACGAAATAAAAAAAAGGAGGGTGTTCATTTAAGTAAACAAGCAACAATTTGAAGGGATAGTAATTTCAGTACTTATAATGAACCTTCGAATTAAAGAAGCAATAACATGAAATGGATTAAAAAGGGTTTGTAATGAATGACATCAAGTAATGAAATAATTGAGCAACAATATAGAACACTAAGTAAATAATTTTCATTTTGCAAAACAGGTTCGAACACTTATAAATACCAGAGTCCATAGTCAGTAATCAAAAAGCGATGACTGGCGTTGTGGTTAAGTAGCTCAGAACCTAGAAGGGGGGAAGGGTTTCATCCTCTGTGTGTGTGACTTCAAGTGAATAATGCTTTTGTATTTAAAGTTCACATCACAATAGATCGCGATATTATAGATAATATCGCGATCTGTTGACCATGTGTAGCTGCATGTATACTTTCCCAAAAATTCTCTATATATTCTGTTCTGTGGCGATGAGAAGAATGAGCAATCATGAAGTACTACCAGTATCACAGTAATTGCGTAAGCTTTGCATTTGAAGGAGTTTTATGTACGAGATGCAATTGTAGTTAGCCTTCTAGGCGCTTTCATTTTGGACGCAACAAAAGGACAGCAGCATGACGATAGTGTGAATATACAGACAGGAATACATAGGAAAGGAAAGCAATTTATGAGAATTTGACTACAATCACAATAGAGAACACCAAATCAAATTCAATTCAATTTCAAATGAAAGGTACATAACAAACGAACAGAAATGCTAATCTGAAACACACATTGGCCAGTGGAACATTGTTAATTTACAGCTGGTTTCACTGTGGTGATGGCACTGTATGTTCACCAATTTCTACTAATAATAGGCTGTCATTGCAAAGGACTTGTTACCTTGTTCCATATGCTTCACATGACCGTTGAGTGGACCGACTTCCATCCCTGCAGCATCACCGAAGCTATTCATCAACTTCGCAGTTGACCAAAACAGAGGTAGAAACTAAACAAGTGTAACATCTACGCAACGTGCTGCTTGTTGGTGAGAGGGACAGATTGTTTGCATGTACTTCGGTAGTGGCCCTTCACACCACACCTTGAGCATTTTTTTTGACGGGACTCCTCTCCTCTCGAAGCTATTCTTTGCGTTTTGCGACGGCCCGGCATAACATTACAAAGAGGAGGGAGGATTTTGACCTTCTTCAAATTTTGGGGAATAACCCATGTGCCTTCAGGTGGTACAGGATAAATAGATTCAGCATATGCAGCTGCCCATGTAGCTCGTGTATAATAAGAAGAGGCAAAGGAGTAGGGGTTCAATTTCAAGTGCCGACATACCGCAATAGCGTGCTTGCACGGGAGTTGCTCCAAGTCAAACTTCCTGCATGTACAACTACGGTTTTGCAAGTGCACCAGACCGTTCAAATCACCATCCAGAACATTATACTCGACGTCATTGATTTTGACCACATTCATCCTTGACGCAGCGTCTAACCTCTTTCCTTAACTTAATTTCCCCTAAATCAGGGCACAACGTAGAATGAGATTTCATTGCTAACTCTCGACGTTGCCTAAACCAACAGACAAGTAGATTTGTAATTTCGTCAATCAAGTGTAGCACCGGAAGCATCCTTGCAAACCGAAGAACTGAATTAATGGACTCCACAATATTCGTTGTCATCACATTATATCGTCGTCCATCACAATGGGCCCGAGACCACTTCTGGATGCCTGCACGTAGTAAATAAGTTCGCACTCGGTCATTGTTTATCCTGGAAAAGTGACGATTGAACTCCGCTAGACGATAAGACTTAGCTGCCCTTACAAAATACCCCAATATCGGATCCGCTGCTTCAACTTAAATGAGGCTTTGATATTGCCTTTCAAGTGATAAAAGCAAATACCATGGCTTGCCCCAGGAAAAACTCTACGCAACCCATTCTGTATGCTAACATTGCGATCTGATATGACAACGAGATTCGAGCAATCACCAATTGCACAATGTAGTTTTCTCAAAAACCACTCCCAAGCTGCATCCGTCTCCAAATCTCCAATCCCAAAGGCAACAGGATATATGTTCCGATTTCCATCAAATGCGGTCGCAACAAACAAAACACCTCTATACTTGCACTTCAAATGAGTAGCATCAACAGCAATCACGGGCCGCATTGACGACTTAAATCCTCGTATGCATGCACCAATTGCCATAAAAAAATATAAGAAGTGATCAGCTGCATCAGTCTCAATGTATGTCAAAGTTCCCGGATTTGTACGCTCCAATTCATAACAATAGGAAGGGAGAAGGGAATACGACTCTTCTGCAGACCCTCTAATTCTTTTGAAAGCTAACTCTCGGCTTCTCCACGCTGTAGAGTAGCTTATGCTCACACCGAAATTTTGTTTCACATCTTTCTTGATATCAGCTGCTGTATAAATGCTGCGCGAATCCTGAAATCTCCACTTAACACAGTCAGACAGCAGTTCAGTCGTAGCTTGAGGATGATGACTACTTATATACGTTATATCACATTCATGAAGTGGATCGTATTTAACAACCTTAAACTCATGTAATCCAACTTTATATGCCCGAACTTTCCAAGGGCAAGGAAGCTGCCAACAGCGAACACACAACCGATGCTTCCCAGATTGGACAGTTCTCAATCGAAAGTGGCCTGTAATAGCTGCTAAACTGATGGTTTTTAAAAGGGCAATCTTATTTGGATAAACTCGGCCAACCTTCAAATTTGCTTCCCAATTTATGCACGAAACGCCTCCACCATACTGAATATATTCCAAACTCTGACCATGCTTCAAATCACCCCGACTTGTATGCATTTCAGTCGAACTTGATTGTCGGGGAGGTTCGGATTGCACCTGTCTACACTGCACAGTGGACGGTTCGACATTGCTGTCCTCATGAGGATGCAGAATCGGAGCAGACTGCGGTTCCTCTTCGTTGCTAGGTTCATTGAAATCAGCAACTATGTTTTCACCACTTTCAAAATTCACTTCTTCAACCCAATCACTCCAATTAAAATCATTCCCACCATTTTCAGTTTCATTGTCCCGAATTACCACATTTCTTTGTTCCACAACAAAGTCAGCAGGAGCATTGCTACTCTCAACGCTTACAATGCCATTGCACCCTTCAATACCATGACCTTCAATATTTTTCAAGCTTGCTACTAAAGGGGTTACTTTAGAGGCCATAACATCTGTGTTGTACTTTACAAAATATTTAACATCATCATTGTCTTCAACCCTTATATGCTTACAGACAGATGAGGATACAGGAACTGAATATTTCAGTGTGACAATATATTTCGTGGGATCTGCATCCATGATCTTATAAATGCGCTGAACAAGGTCGGAAAACGTTACATTCCGTGACACTATTATGCCTTTAGCCTCCCCACCTTCGTAACTCTCAATGTTATCCTTCTTAACCCAACTTCCATTGTAGCATACCAATATTCCAACAGTATCCATTTCTGCAAATAACATAGATAATTACTACAGCAATGAATAAAACTAAAAAAGATACATTCAAACAAATAAAAACATACCACTACACGTATCATTTTATAAATCTTCCAAACTCAAATTCTAGCTGCTTCAACAAGGAACTTTTATTCATTTCTGTCTTTTCTCTGATTTTGTACATAGCTGTGGGTTCCAAGTTATTCACAAACTCACATAAACATACCATGGCAGCAATATGAACCCTCTAACCTCTAAGGGTTTTCAACAAATGTAAACTACTTCAACAAAAGGCTCAGGTTGTGATACAGAACATATTATGTGGTATAAGCTCAATTACCAAATTGGAAACCAAAACACACAAACTTTACTTCTTACCAAAACAAACCCAGAATGCCAATAAATTCCCCACATTAGCATATACATTCAGCCTAAAAATACCCTAACAAACCTACTTTTAGGCCAGACAAAGTTAACATATGATTTTTCTGTGTGCTGTTATTTTGCCCATTATCAAACACATTGCACTACATTATACAAGCATTCCGTCAATTTTAACCAAAATTCAAGTTTACCACATACATCCCACTGCAGATAATAACACAAACTATGAATTTCAACATATCATAACGCCTTGAAACTGAAAATTTAAGCTCTTCTGCCCTTCTGTGGTGAAAAGGGGATGCACGATTTTATAATACACATACACTACCAAACCAATATCTGAACTCACCTCCGTTCACAACGACGCCGGAAGTCGCCACTTTCGCTTCTCCGTGGAGTCGCAACAGTCACTTCGATCTGGAGGTCAACAATGGAGGCGGTGCGTTCCGCCGGCTTCGCTACGGTCAAACTAGGGTTCGAAAGTTTAGGACATCTGGGTTGTGACTATGGATGGGTTGCGAACTGGATTGCTCAGTGCCAAAATGTCTCGCAACCTAGAGTTCTCCCCATTTTTGCCAAACTGCGAAAACAGAGAACAAAGAGCCGCTATGCCAAACTGCGAAAACACAGAAGAAAGAGGCGCTAAAGGGTTGATACATCTGCTTTTATATGGAGGGCACTTCGGTCATTTCACGTCCCCAAGTGATTATATTAGAATACACAAAAAAAAAAAAAAAAAAAAAAAAAAAAAAAAAAAAAAAAAAAAAAAAAAAAAAAAAAAAAAAAAAAAAAAAAAAAAAAAAAAAAAAAAAAAAAAAAAAAAAAAAAAAAAAAAAAAAAAAAAAAAAAAAAAAAAAAAAAAAAAAAAAAAAAAAAAAAAAAAAAAAAAAAAAAAAAAAAAAAAAAAAAAAAAAAAAAAAAAAAAAAAAAAAAAAAAAAAAAAAAAAAAAAAAAAAAAAAAAAAAAAAAAAAAAAAAAAAAAAAAAAAAAAAAAAAAAAAAAAAAAAAAAAAAAAAAAAAAAAAAAAAAAAAAAAAAAAAAAAAAAAAAAAAAAAAAAAAAAAAAAAAAAAAAAAAAAAAAAAAAAAAAAAAAAAAAAAAAAAAAAAAAAAAAAGATTTTGTTCACCCAGTCTTTGGTAGGTTGCTCCGGCGTTCTTCAGCCCAAAAGGCATGACCTTGTAGCAGTAGGTCCCTCTCTCGATGATGAAAGAAGTTTTCGCCTTGTCATCCTCGTGCATCAAGATTTGGTTGTAGCCGGAGTAGGCGTCCATGAAGCTGAGTAGCTGATTGCCAGAAGTGGAATCCACTAGTTGGTCGATTCTTGGCAATGGAAAGTTGTCTTTTGGGCACGCTTTGTTGAGGTCGGTGTAATCGACGCAGACTCTCCACTTTCCCTTCTCTTGTTTTGCCACTAGAACAACATTAGCGAGCCACTCCGAGTAGGAGACCTCTTCAATGAAGCCGGCGGCTAGGAGTTTATCAATCTCGGCTTCGATGATGGCGACCCGCTCGGGTGCGAAGTTGCGCCTCTTCTGCGCCACTGGTTTGCAGGCAGGGTTGACGTGGAGTCGGTGACATATGATGTTCGGTCGATACCAGGCATGTCTGACGGCGACCATGCGAACATATCTTTGTTGTTCTGGAGGAAGTGGTAAGTTCCACCTTCTCGTCTGGGCTTAGGCGCGAGCCGATCCGCGCTTTTTTGTCTGGCTGGTCAGGATCCAAGGGTATTAACTCGATGTCCTCCTCGGGCTTCCATCCTTCTTCAGGAAAGACCTCTGGACGATTTCCTCGGCTTGGTCCTGACGCTTTGATTGCTATAAGATAGCAAGGTTTCGATTGTTCCACCTCCTTCAGATCTGCCTGGCTTACTGGGAGGAACTGCGCTTGTTGCTTTTCTTCAGCCCTTGGGCGGAGCATTTCCTCGCCATTGCCTGATCGCTGTTGATTTGTCCAACACCGCCCCCAGGGATTGGGTACCGAATTTTCTGATGTGTGGCAGAGGTGATGGCGTTGATCATGCCGATCCATGGCCTGCCCAGAATGCCGTTGTAGGGTGAGACCTCATTAATGACCATGAACGTTTGCAAGCAGACTACAGGTGGGGAGTAGACGTCAAGGTCTATTGTGCCCACGGTAACCGTTGTTGCGCCATTGAAGCCGGTCAGCGATCTGGCTGATTTGTTGATCTTTGCCTCCAAGCCCATCTGCTGGATGACAGCCAGTTGCAGGATATTGGCTGCGCTGCCCTCGTCTGCATGGATTCGGTCGACCATGGCCTGAGCGATTTGTATGCTGATGACAAGGGCATCGTTATGTGGCATGTCGAGGCCGATCAGATCTTTCTTTTGGAAGCCGATTATAGGATCGTCTTCTGTTGGTAGAAGGTCAGTCGAGACTTGGGAGATCATAGTGGCCTGTTTGATCTTCCTCTTCTTTTCCTTGCTGGTCAGTCCTGACTCCTTGGCGTCGGCTAGGATTGTGTTAATCCTTATGACCTTCTGGGGCGGTTCCTTGGCGGTGTCTCGATCTTCAATCCGCTGGATGGCCTGCTTCGCGATGAACTCCGTGCAATGACCCTCTTTCACGAGTTCTTCAAGGTGTGCTTTCCAAGCGAGGCAGTTATTGGTAGTGTGCCCGTGTGTCCCATGGAAGGCACAGTACTTGCTTGTATCCCTCTTGTCTGGATCTCCTTTCAAGGGTGGCGGTCTTCTTACCCAAGGTTTGTTTTTCACTTGGGCTAAGATTTGATGTATGGGGATGGTGAACTTGGTGTAGTTCTCTCCTGCTGTAGCGTCTCCTTGTGGGTGTGACCTGCGCCTATCCTTGTTCTTGTTGCTAAATCCATCGCTTCTTTGACCTGCCCGCTTAGTCGGTTGATCTTCATGCTTAGTAGACTTTTTTGCGGCGATTCGATCGTCATCCCAGAGCGCGTAGCGTTCCGCGGTCGCATAGACCTCTGCCAGAGTCTGGCTGGGAGTGATAGTCAGCTCGCGGTACAAGTCGTGTTCAGCTGGGAGGCCTTTCTTGAAAGCAGATGATGCGATCCGGTCGTCACATCCTACAATGTTGGCCTTTTCTGCTTTGAATCTCTTGATGTAATCTCGAAGGGATTCGTCGGACTTCTTGCGCAGGTTGTACAGGTGGTCAGGGTTCTTCTTGATCGTCCGGTAAGAGGTGTACTCTTTGGTGAAGACGTAAGCCAACTCCTTGAAGCTGTTGATCGACCCAGATGGCAGGGTGTGGAACCAATCTTGGGCTGCTCCTCGCAAGGTCACTACGAATACCTTGCACATCAACGCGTCGTCGGCCTTGTGGAGGATCATGACACTTTTGAAGTGTTTTAGGTGACTCTCGGGATCGGAGTCCCCTTTGAAGTGTGTAAACGAAGGCGTGGAGAATCGCTTCGGGGGAGCAGCCTGCTCGATTTCGGCAGTGAAAGGTGTGGAGTTTGCCTGGTCGATCTCCTTGCGTAGTGCATCGTCGAGGTTCCCACCAGTCTTCAGATCTCGAAGTCGGTCATTCATAAGCTTCTCAACGTCCTCCATGCACATTGTTGGTCGATCACGTTGGCGACCTTCGCGATTCGGGCGACGTTGACTGACCTCCTCCTGGGTCTGCGAGGGTCGACCTTCTCGTCTGCGCTGCCTAGGCGGAGTGTTGGTGGACTGCGCTTGCGAGAGATTCTCCGTAGCTTGTCGACGAGAGCCGTCTCTTCGTGAGTGAGCAGCGGAGCGTCCTTCTTCGCGGTCCTCATTGTGAGGATTATCCGGTTGACCACCCTGGGGACGTAGCCTCTCGTGAATGTTCGTCTGCGAGTGGACAGCTGAGCGTCTTTCTTCACGATCCTCGTTGCGATGGTTGTCTGATTGTCCTCCCTGGGGGCCTAGCCTTTGAAGTACATTTCCCTGCGGTCCCAAGCGGGCGTGGACGTCAAGTCGTGGGCCTAGCCTCTCGCGCATGTTGTTCCTCGAACTTAATCTGCTCCGAGTGGGGCTCGCGGATGCTTGTGACATGTCGGTAGGCCGATCAAGTTGTTGTCCCTCGCCTTGTCTGCCTACTCCTGCTTGACCTGCTGGGTACCCGTTGAGTTGCCTGCCGGTGCGTTCGTCCATCCTTCTCTCTTCGCCTAGTTGTCCAAGGCCAAGGTTTTGAGCCAAGCTGATTTGGTGGAGGAGTTGCCTCATCAGATCGCTTTGGTCGTCCATTCTCTGAGCTAGCTGGTCAACTCTCAGACTAAGGTCTGCTTGACTTCGTGGATCAGGAGGAGAGAAGTGTGTGGAGCCCAATTGCACACGGGCTAGGGTTTCATTGGAGGTGTGCGCGGGAGCGTGTGTCGAGCGTGGAGGCAATGAAGGGATCGCTTGAAGTTGCTCCAAGATCGGGCCTAAGTCAGCGGTGGTAACAAGCCCACCTTGATAGGAGGTTCCACCATGTTCGGCGGCGGTGGCCGGTGCGGTGGTGAGAGGTGGTGGGGCCACCATGTCGATCGCGGGATCGTGGGCGGAGTGGCTTTGGGCCGTCGCGGATTTAGCCATCGCGGCGGTTTTGCCTCTCGTCTTCATGCTTCCAACCATGGTTGTTTGGAAGGCTTCGGTGGATTGGAAAATAGGAGGAACGGATTCCTTGAGCACGCGTTGAGTATAACTCGTGCTCTCAATGAAAGCACCAATTTGGAGGGAATGATTTTCCCCACGAGAATATTCGTCAAAGATTCCTTCGTCTTCTCCGCTTCTCTTTCTCCCTGCAAAACAGATCGGAGTAAAAGGACCACACCCGGGGGGTGTTGGCCAAAGGCCCTCCGATGCCTAAGTTAGGTAAGGTATTTCAAGGAAAACCGGGTGGCCGGAGCCGTGTGTGGTGGCCGGAGCCTTGTGTAAGGGAGAGAAAGAAAGTGGTGGCTAGGGTTTGTGAGAAATGATTTCTGCAGAGTTTCAGTAGGAATTTAGACGTACCTCACCCTTGTGTGTGGCTATGCTTTTATAATGGTCTTGGAGGCTAGGGTTTCAGAGGAATAATTCCGTAGATGGAAGGGAATTATTCCTCCCCTTTTGGAATTGATTTGATTAATTAGGGATTTGATTTATTAGGGTAAATCAAATCCCTAATTGTGGTAGGTATCAAATCAAATCCTATTTCAATTAGGTAACTCCTCATTTAATTGGGAATCGTGGTAGGATTAACCAAATCAATTCTCAACCCAATTAGGTATCTTCAATTTAATTGGGTAACCCCCAATTAAATTGAGTAACTCCCAATTAGGTTATTAATTCCCAATTAGGTCAAATAATCCCCAAATGGAATGAATTATTTGACCTAGGGTTTTGACTTAATTTGGTTACCACAGTACCATTACTACCTTTGGTGCCACCATGATGATTGATGATCCGCTGAGTGAAAAGCAAGAACCTACCTTTGGAAGGGCACAAGGGTTGTACTCAGTGGCTGCACAACGTGATCATGAGTTTGCACTGCTTGTGGTCATGAATTTTGCGTTTGTGGAAGGAAAGTACAAGGGAAGTACCATTAGCATCCTTGGGCGGAATCCAGTGCTAAACGATGTGAGAGAGATGCCGATCATCGGAGGAACGGGCCTATTTAGGTTTGCCCGTGGCTATGCCTTAGCCCATACAGTGAGGTTTAATCCTATAGGAGACGCCATTGCTGGATTTGGCAGTACTATGATGATTGATAATACACTGCGCTGAAGAGCAAGACCCCAAATCCAAGACCATTGGAAGAGCACAAGGGTTTTTACTCCATGGCTGCACAAATGATATTGCATTACCTATTGTCATCATGACACTTGTTTTTTAGCAAGGCAAGTACAAGGGGAGTACCATTAGCGTTTCTTGGGAGGAATCCAGTTCTGAACAATGTATTGTATGCGGCAAGGGGCAGTTTAGGTTGGCTCTCGGTTATGTCTTAGATCGTACTGTTTGGTTTGATGCTAGTACAGGAGATGCCATTGTTGAGTCCAATGTTTATGTGTCACACTAATGAAATTTGTTCTTACATTAGCCCCGGAGTCTGTTTTATCTATATATATATATAAAGCAAAAGGCATAGAATGGTAAAACATTCAAAATACCAGAAAATACCCTTGGTTAATACAAACATTAAGAATTGAAATTATTAATTAAATGAAGATCATATGGTAAATTCATACTTTTCATATTTTTAAAATATTAAAATTAAAAGAAAAATCAAATAATGAATTCTATTTTTATGGAACACAACTACCCATTATATTTTTTAATTCTAAAAATAAATTTTAATTTTTTTTTAAAAAAGCCTCTCGTAGGTGCAGAAGCTCATGCGGAGAGGCTAGTTATTTATTATTTTTTTCTTTGCTATACAGTCATGTATTGTACTTAGGAGTAATGCTACACTTACCACATTATTATCCCACATTTATATACCACATGATGTGGCATGTCCATATCATATGCCACATCAATTAAATGAATGAAGTGTATTTTAATAAATAAAATTAGAAAAATAAAAATTAGTATTTTACATGATGTGGTATGTACACATCAGCTGCCACATCATGTGGTATAAAATTATGGTATAAAAAATGTGGTAAGACTAGTATTATTCATCTTTTAACCCGAAATAAAATCAGTTTCACCGAATTGTGGTAGTCTTCTGGAATTCGCTACCTCCATGTTGTAGCTAGAAGAAATGGATATTGAAATTTATTCTCTTATGATGGATATTGGGGGATATGAGGAGCAGTTTGAACAGTAAAATTGCGGCTGTGAGGAACGCAAGCATCACCAATTATCCATCGTAAACCACCTGTGAAAGCTCTCTATCCCACAAATTAGATTGCCAAGTATATGAAGGAGCCGAACCAGCTTGGGCATTCAAGAAATTAGAAGTAGGGAAATATCTTGCTTTCAGCATACGAGCTACAAGTGAATTAGGAGATTCAAGCAAGCGCCATCCTTGTTTTGCCCACAGAGCTTTATTAAAATTGACGAACTCACGGAAGCTCAAACCGCCCTCCGACTTATGACATTGACGACACAAAGCTTTCCAATGAATTCCTCTCTCAGTGCGTCACCAAAAGAGAGCAATAATACTTTCAATCTCATTGCAAATGACAACCGGTAAGCTGAATACACTCATAGAATAAGTAGCATGGCTTCGCAAACTGCCTTAATTAACACTTCCTTTCTAGCTTTCAAAAGTAATCGACCTTCCCAACCTGTAATCTTCTTCCATATGTGATCATTAAGAGTACAATAATTAGATTTTTTTTGTTCTTTCCGGCAATGGTAAGGAGTCCCACATATTTTTCGAGGACAACAGGAAAATCCAGTATAGCTTGAATTTGGGCTAGTGCTGCCGGTGACATAGAAGGACTAAAACACATGGTTGATTTCTCTAGATTAATCTGTTGACTCGAAAGCATCCTCATAGATGCGGAATATACGCTTTAACTTATCAACTTGAGTAGGCTCTGCATCACAAAACAACAAACTATTATCCACAAAAAATAAATGATTTAGAGAAGGTGTCGAAGCAACAATTGAGACTCCCCTAATCTTATAATTGAACTCAGCTTGGTGGAGAACAGCAGAGAATCCCTCAGCCACGATAAGAATAAGTAGGGTGAAATTGGATCCCTTTGGCTCAAACCCTTGGATAGGATAAGCTTCCCAAAAGGTTGCCCTTGAAGTAACACCGAGTAAGAAGCTGTGGTAATACGTCCCATAATAAAATTGACAAAACGAGCAGGAAATTCCATAGTATGCGTCGTGCGGTTTAGAAAGGTCCATTCGACACGATCATAAGCTTTTGCCATATCCAGTTTCAACACAAGCTTTCCCCGTCCTGCTTTTCCAGCCGCTTCAAATAATGAATAGTTTCAAATGCTAGCACATTATCCAATATCATACAATCAGGAATAAGAGCACTCTGAAACTTTGAGATCACATGGGGCAAGGCCTTCTTCAATCTATTGGCAACTGTCTTGGAGATAATCTTATAGAGCGCATTACAGAGATCAATAGGACGGAATTCAGTAACTTGTGTCTGTGAAGCAATCTTAGGAATAAGAGCTTTCATTGAGGGAGTCTCAGAGAAAGCTTTGAAAATTGAGGAAAACTAAAAATTGAGCATAGTTACAACTGAGGCTAATGCCAACTTAATATATATATATATATAATATATATATATATATATATACAGAGAGCTTCCATTGAGGGATCCCTCAAATAAGCTTATTTGAGGGACACCCCTTGTAGGGCCCACTCCGGATTATATTTCACTAATCTAAACCGTCTATTTTGTAGATACTCATTCAAAGATCATTTCTACAAAAAATCACTTGAATCCGATATCATTTGACCACTCAATTGAGTTCTTGAAATTTTAGTACTTTCTTGAAGCACCATGTTCATTGATTTTGTAGGACACAATTGGATGTCGAAACGGTTTCCAATTTGTCTAATTTTTTGCATGGATGATCTATAAATATATACTAAAAAAATAGATGGTTTGGATCGTTAAAAATAAATTTGTAGGGTACCCTAAAGGGCGTCCCTCAAATAAAATTATTTGAGGGATCCCTCAATAGAAGGGGATTGATATATATATATATATATAATGGGATTTCCTTATATATAATAAGAACCATCGAATTGAGTGGTCAAATGATTTAGGATTCAAGTGATTTTTTGCAGAGATAATCTTTGATGGAATATCTAAAAATTAGACAGTTCGAATCGTTGAAATAAGATGCATGGTGGGCCCTACAATGGTGTCCCTTAATTAAGCTTATTTGAGAGATCCCTCAACTGAAACTCTCTCTCTCTCTCTCCTCTCTCTCTCTCTCTCTCTCTCTCTCTCTCTCTCTCTCTCTCTCTCTCTCTATATATATATATATATATATATATATCAAACATAACTCTTTCTGGAATTGGACAAATATATAAATAAGGGTATCACTACTTGTACCTATATTTTCAGATTTGCCCCTATCCTTTTTCTTTAGGAAATTAATTTTTATTAATTTTTTTTGTTTTTTTTTTTTTTTTTTTCGAAATTCCCCCTACCGTCTAAATCCTCAACATCTCATCCAATTTTCAATTAAATCATTTAAAAAAAATTATTTTTTGAAAAAATTTGAAGTACTACCTATCCTCCTACCCCCATCCCCCCCCCCCCCCCCCCCCCCCTCCCAACAACCTACCTCCCCCTTCTGTGTTTTTCATCCCCCAACCCATCCCTTCTCCTCCAGGTTTTTCTTCTCCTCCCATTCCCCCATGGCCACCACCCTCCACTCCCAGACCAATCCCCCACCCCATATACCCCTCCCCTCACCTCCTCTTTTTTGTTTTTTACCCCCGAGCCCAGCCCCCCTTGGGTTTTCTTCTCCTTCCATTCCCCATGTGACCATCACCCTCCACCCTCAAACCAAACTTCCATTCCCAGATCAATCCCCCACCCCACAGATCCCTCCCCCCCTCCTCCCTATTCTTTTTGTTCTCTCCCCAACCGAGACCTATCCCCTAGCCCTTTGCCTCTAGACCTAGACCCATCCCTCAAGAATAGAGTATATGATAGGATTTTTAGTACTTGCGCAACAGGGTTAAAATCACTGAAAATACTTGCAAGAATACAAGGTAATTGTAGTATAAATGCTCATGCAAGGTCGTTGTCCCCAAAGATTGTTTGACTAATCTGTAATTAAACTAACTCTTAATTAATAACTAAAACAGATTTTATCAAAGATTTGAAGTTTATGAATTTGAAAAGATTAAACTAACAGTAAAAGAAATCTAAAAGTTGGGAAATAATAACAGCAAAGAAGAAAAACGATTTCTTTTTAAAGACTAACAATTTAGAGAAAACTAGGGTTTAGCCAACACCGTCGCAATCCTATGCAATTCTATCAATTACTTATGAATTTCCACATATATGCTTTGAAGGTTAGGTTTTCCTAATGCATATTTTCCTTGTGATGTTCAAGCGAAAACGTATATCTAACATGCAATCTGTCTGTGATGTTCAGATCAAATATAAACATGCAAGACTCATTAAGCTTTGTGAAAACCCTTTGAAAAACCATGCAACCCTTAAGAGCGTGATGTTCGCCTTAAGTGAACTTACAATTACTAATCACAAGAAGCCCTCCTCAATTTCAGGGTGATGTTCCAACAGAAATTGCATTAAATTACTTTTCTACATATCCTAATGGTGATCAGTCATTAAAATAGATAGATAGTTTTAAACACAATGATTAATAATTCAAAGCAAACATGCATCCATTCATAAGCAAATTAATAAAACTACATATCCATGCTAAGGCTTACGGCCTCGCCCTAGCAAAAGGAATTAGTTACACATAATCATAATTGAAATCCAAGAAAATATCATTCGAATGAATAAGAATGAAAACACCTGAAAGTAGCGAAAATCCAAAACCCTAGCAATTGCTCCCAAAGCCAAAAAGAAGTCAAAAAGGAAGTTCTTTAAATTGCTGTGAAAAGGAACTTAAATACCTCCTAAAACCTAGCTACCCAATCCCCACAAGGAAACTAAGTTAAAATAAAGTAAGACTAGGAAATAAAGTCCAAATTGGATTAGGAAATCTGCCACAATCTGCCCAGCCACGTTTTGGTCTCAAATCTCCTCCAAATCTGGCCCAAGATAGCTTGTTTTAAAGATAAAATATTCCAAACACTTCTCCAGAAGGCCACGAACCCATCTGAGGTCATCTTGGGCTCCAAAAACGTAATACAATCCCAAAACGTCACTATTCCAGCACTGCACCAAACCCATGAGAGTGATACTGTGGAGAGGCTTTGTATAGTGCTTATGATGACAAAAAGTAAAACTTTACCACTCCAATCTGTGTATCCTTTGAAATGGGATCTGGGGTTTGCCTGATGGTTTTGAGAAAGTGTTGGTTCCAAAATACACAAATTGTTTTTGAATCATTAAGGCCTCAAATGGGATTGGTTGCTTAATGGTCATACAATGGCCCAAGTAGTATGCGGTGTCGGAATTGCAGAGGAGTAAAGAGGGCAGTGATTTAGGAGATGAGTTTACCACAGAGAGAGAGAGAGAGAGAGTTTATTTCAATAATCTGTTTTTTATTTTATTTTTCATTATTTATTTATTTTTTAACGTACAAAATGACCATTTTTCCCTTAACGGCAAATTGAATGAAATGTTGCAGATTTAGATGGTAGGGGGGAAATTGACACAAAAAAAGAAGTTCATATCCTTAATTTTCTTTAAAAAAAAAGGATAGGTGGCAAATCGAAAGTTAGGTACAAGTTGAAGGGGTGAATCACTAGTATACCCTTATAAATAACTACGTAACTAGTGTGTTATATTATTTATGATTCAAGAAGGACAATAGGTTTTGGTTATGTTATATCTTCTAGAATAGAACTAGAATGACAAATTTTACCATGCATATCATATAAATAAAAGCATGATAGTGGTAAAGGTGATATACCGCCCATAATTCAAATCTGGAAGATACATCACTTCTCTGATGAATTTTCTGCCTCTATTTGTGTCCATAACGAGTGAACCCATACTAGCTACATCCACAAGTGCACCTATTGGCATTTGAACCTTTTCTGCAACATTTGTCCTTATATCAACAAGGAGCTCCACATTTCTAGCCATGTGATTGCTACAACCACTGTCAATGTACCACTCTCCATTTATCTTTGCCTCAGTTATTGCACTATTTGCATAGAATAGGTTCCCTGTCACCTCCATTTGGCTATCACAGTTTGCCTTTTGCACTATCTTACCTGAAGTACATTCTCTAGCCAAGTGACCAAATCTATCACAGTTATAGCACTTAGGCTTCCCCTTATATCTGCACTCACCAAAATGAAACTTGGAGCACACTTTACACTGTGGTTTTATAACTTCTTGACTCATTGACTGTGACGAGTTCAAGTTTTGTGCAAAGCTAGTCTATTGAAACTTGGGTTTTGATTCCCATTGTTACCTTTAGGATTCCAATTCTTCTGAAATTTGGATGAACCAGATTGAGCACCACCCTTGTTCTGCCCTTTTGGACTCACAGAGAATGAGGCAAATGCTTTCTCAGCTGTATCAACAATATGCAAATCGAACCACTGTTCTTGGCTTTTCAAAATAGCAATCACTTCCTGCAATTCTACAGGCTCTAGGCTCTGTGTTTTCAATCTCAAGACATATAGGATCATATGCTTTATTGAGACTACAAAACCTTTTGAACAAGTCTTATTTGAAAGAATCTCACCAAATGTTTTCATCAGATTAATCATTCATTCAATCGTGTAAGATAATCAGATAGAGGCTCATTATCACGCATACTAGTGTATTCAAATTCACATCTGAGATTTTGAAGTTTTGCTGATCTAACTTGGTCACCACCATGATATTCTCCATACAACAGATCCCATGCCATTTTAGCTGAGTCTGCGTTGGCGATACAAAGGAAGATTTGATTGGAAACTGCGTTTTGTATGATACCCAGAGCTTTTGCATCTTTCATGAAGATTGCAGCCATTTTCTCATCAACCTCATCTTCTAAAGCTTCCCCAGCTTTCTTTTTCTTCTCCAAATCAAGAATCGTAATTCCCTTTTCCACCAGATTCCATAAACCATATGATTTGAATATGGTTACCATTTTGATTCTCCATAACTCATAGTTCTCACCGAAGAAGATCGGAGTTCTCACTTCTGAACTTCGAGATCCAGCCATTTATGAGCTCAGATAAACCAAAAACAAGTTGTTTCAGGTCAAAATCGAGCTCCAGCAACCTTCAACAAATCTTGAGTGAGCTTCGATATAGCTCGATTTCAGAGTCTTGAGAACTTTCAAGTGATCGAACTTGGCTCTAAGGCCATGTTAGTGTTTCTTGTATGATTCTGGTTTCTATGGAATCTCAATGCATATATGAAAAAGATGATGAAGAAAGAAAGAGAGGGAAACGAAAGTGACAGAGAATGAAATGTTCTCTCACTGCTCTGCAGAATACAGCAGGGGAATTTTACTTCTTCATATCATGACCACCTCACACGCATAGAGCAAGGCATATTACCGTTAGCACTCTTAGCTGGATCCCTTACATCACAAAATGATCTCAGCCATACATCTAGCTATCTACTAGGATCATTAGACATGGCATTGTATGCCTTACAATCTTAGCTTCACACTTGACAATGATAAAACTCAAGTGAATACCCAATTAAGCTCATAGCTTATTTCACTAATTCTAATCGGCTAGAGACTTATAATTCAACAAGTTCAAAGCTTGTGGGTAGAGCTCAAGGCATATATACTTTTCCTTCTCAACACAGCTCTGCGCTGCTTATGGCCTTGAACTTTGCTTTCTTAGACTCTGTGCATAATGGCAGTGCCCTTAGCATTCTAGGTAGGAATCCATTTTTTCAAGGGACCCGAGAGATGCCAATCGTCGGAGGTACTGGGGTTTCCGGTAGGGCTATGCATTGGTGAAGACAGTTTCCTTGAGTGCAAAAACTGGAGATGCTGCTGTCGAATACAATGCGTCTGTGTTGCACTACTGAAAAGGTTAATGCTATTTGCATCACATCATGTGGGCAAGAGATGTGGTCAGTAAAAGTGGTACAAATAGATTTTTTGTTACTAATAATATCATGCCACATTTGTTGCTTTTTCTTTATTAGTTGCGCTGCCTTCCATGAATACATCAGTCTATTCTCTGTTGATTTTAGCATAACTTGCATAGCATTGAGTGTGATATTCGGCTACTCAAAAGTACTGTTTCTCTTCTTACCACCAGTTGTCTAAGCAACCAAACTGATGTAAACTTTGAGCACTGCACTCTACGGGAAAGGAAAAAAGGTCCTGCCGTCTCACATGCAACTGAGACCAGTAATGAATGCAATTCGATATCAGAAAATAACTTTGAAGTGTAATGTCATGTTTAACTTTGAAGAATCTATAGAACAGGGTTCAAACCCAAATATGGCAGAAACATCAGCGTTTATGTGGGAAGAAAACTAAAATAGGATACAAATTAACAACTAACTAAAGTTTTAGAACAGAGAATAATTCTCCCAAGCTTCTGAGGAAGATACTATGCAGTTGCAGAGGAAGAAATGCATAAAATCCTTTACACAAACAAGAAAAGGAAAAATAAGAAAGAAAAAAAACAAAAACAAAAGCACTCAATTCCCACATGGACCACCAACATCACTCGTATCTCCTAAACCTCCAGGCCGATATTGAAAAAAGCGGCCTGTCATGCCAACAAATAACTAAACATCCATTTTCTTCTTTAATCTTAAACCCTTCATATCCCTGCAACTGCCTCCTAGCCTGTAACATTCCGTGGTAGCTTAAAGGGACCCTGCCAAACCCAGCCAACTCAAGCCTTAAAATCCACTTCTCAAGCTTCTCATGCCTCTCCGTTCTCTCAGTTCCCTCACATGCTATGATGTTTTTTATTTCCTCTCCAAAAAGCATCTTCTCAACCTTTTGTCGCTCCATTGGTGATCTCGGAACTGTAGACTCCAAGCAATCAAAAAGCGCTCCATAAAAGTTCAATGCTTCCATGATCCTGTCCATTAATGTATGGCCATTGTGGTTTGATTCTTGCTCGGTGATCACCATTAGCTTTGGTGAAAGGCCCCAAAGAGAAGTTAAAAAACTCCCCATCTTTGGTGAACCACCTGATAGTGGGGGACAATGCAGAATCAGGACTTAGGTTATATGCACTGATTGGATCTTTCTCCAGCCACTCTCCTAAAGTGAGTTTATTCATATGCAAGACTTTCTGCAGGTTCTTAGATGCTAATGGTGATTTTCTCCTAAGATCATCATCAGCTGCCAAGAGAGAATGTAGCTGCAATACAGAGCAGACTGCAAGAGCCTCTCCAGTCTTGACACGCAAACTTTCGATATCAAGGTTCTCTAACTTGCTAACTATAGGATTGAACTGAAACGGGATGTTCAGATTTCCTGCTTCTTCAGTCAAGCGATGGAACATTTGGTCTAATACCTCTTTCTGTTCGTGAATGCCTGTAATTCTCAAATGAGGCGGGCCTTCAGGTCGAGCATTAATGTCTGAATCAGATAAATCCATTGGGCAGGCTCACATGAATGAAGATCAATAATATGAACCATCTTTTCTCCTTCCATTGCTTCCACTATGGCCTGATTTGTAACCACGTACGCAACCTTCAAGAAAGGACATAGATCACAGAAGAGCCTTTTAACGAGAATTTCTTCTGAGACTGATGTTATTTTCGTTGAGTTAAGAGCTTTATACAGACCAGGCCAAGCTTTAAGCATCCGGTCTGCAAGTGCCTCATTGAAATAAGCAGCTATTCGCTGCATTGTATCGCCATCAGGAGAGGCTAGCTGAGAAATATGGTCAAGCCAAATATTTGCATTCTCAATGCTACCAGAAGCGACATGGTTAGCACAAGAATAAAGAAGCTGGATCAGATATAAACCTCTCTCTTCAGATTTTAGCTCCCTGAGCCATGTTGGGTATGGAGATCCCATCCCAGGAGATAGCCAGGGAAAGAACTGCAGGGGTGATGAAGTTACTGGGGACCCGTCCTCTTGCGCCATTCTTTCAATTAACAATAAAAACAATTAGGGGATGCTGAAGATCAGACTGCCAGAACTGTTTCAAAACAGAAAGAATTAGACCAGAAGGAAAGCAGCCGAGAAAAGAAAAAATTAAATTAAGTCTGCATTTTTTAATATTATTTTCTACCGGTTTGGTTTCCCAAATATGAACGGCTTCGATTTCAACTGAAATTTCTCCACATCCAGACAGACCTTATTTTGGTATCTAATAACGCATAAATAGCAAGGTCAAGAAACAGGCAAGAAGATCAGAGAACACACAATCAAAATTACCCAGGGATCCCAGTAAATTTGATGTGAATTGGGTCAACTGACCTTGTGGTTTCTGAGAAACAGAGCGAAAGAGCAGAAGATTAAAAATACAATATTTGATTCTTGTTCTTGCAAATGATTCCATTGTTAACAAAACTAACAAATTCATTATAGCTCAGCAATGAAATTTTCTGGGAATTTAACAAGTTCAAATGTCTACTTTTCCACCAACCAAAGAGAGCCTAAAGAAAAATCATGCCAAAAAAAGAAAGCAAAAGATAAACAAAACAATCTACCTCTTTAACAACATCACAACAAATGAACAACTGGGTTTTTGTACTAATTTCCAAGAACACATCAAAACCGAGGAATCAAAATAATGACACAGAGGCAAAGAATTACCTGAGAAAGTTACTAGTTCCTCCGATAAATAACTGACCAAGTTCAAACGAAATTGAAATTCCTCACTGGACAAAAAACCCAGCAAAGTTCCTGCGGAAGTTTCCTTAATTGGTTGGCTCGACCTGCTACTCCATCAAAGCGAGTCCAGAACTCCAAAGGGTTTCATGTGATGTGAAGTTTTGTTGCAAAGTGACTGAAATAGTAATAAAGGTCTTGTTTTGAAGGACTTTTCCATGGCTGCGTTGGCGACAATACAAGAGGCTGCTTTTGTCGTCATTGCTTTGTTTTGTGTGTCCTTTGAGTGAGTTCAGAGGAATATGGAATTAGTGAAATACTGAAATACAGAGCCAGCCCCCTCTCTCTCTCTCTCTCTCTAGATTTTCTCTCTATCTTAATTGTTTGCTTTGTTGCTTTGTTTCCCTCTCCCTCTCTCTCTCTCAGTTGATTTTTGTCAACATGTAAGGTGGATGGGAATAAGAGCTGGCCAAGTTTTGTTACTATTCTCCAACACAATGCCCTTCCAAACATGTCCTAACAAAACAAAACAACAACCATCCTTGTTGCTTAGTGGGTAATAGAGGGAATTGCAAGGGAGAGCCTTGCAAGTGCCTCCAAAACTTGTATTTGGATTCTTTCAAAGGCATAGACCATCCACTTGGTACTTTCTTCTAACATTAAGACAAAGAGACAAGGAAATTATAGGAAAAGCCAAAAGTGGATAGAACATTTAACTTTTGGTGCGGAGTCTTGGGTGGGAGAATATCATAAGGCCCCATTCCATGTGTATTTCCCTTTTTTTACCCTAGGGCCTAGCACATTCCCTCAATAAACTTTTCTTTGGTATAAATAACCGATGTGAGAAAGGAATTTATAGTTTAAGTGGTTAAAATTACTTACTTCCGTACTCGAAGTTCTACGTTCGATTCTCCCCTCCCCAATATTACCTGTACCAAAAAAGAAAAAACAGATTAATGTGATATGAAATTAAACCCTACTTTAAACCAGCTAATCAGCATTAATTAGTGATATACCTCATCATTGCACCTAGTATGTTTGAGAGTGTATCGATGCGTCATGAGAATTCTACACATGTTGATGGCTTGAAAAGTGGTTAGACTAGTACAATTAAATTTAATGGACAATAAAAATATAAATATAGCTCCATTTAGTGGTAATTGATTAGAATAGGTTGAGGGTAGGCCTCGTCAAAGGGCCGGGCCGGGCTAGCCTGGCCCAAATTTAATGGGTTTGGGCTGGGCTGGGTTGGGTTGGGCCGGACTTTAAAGAGAAGAGAGAAATAACGGACAGGGTAGGGCCGAGCCTAAATGGGCCTACTTTATTTTGTCCTTTTTTTTATATGGATTTTTTTTTGTCAATTCTTTATTTATTTTTTCTATGTTTTTGGTGTGTTTCTTTGTTTCCATTTTTTCATAGTTCTCTGTTTACATTTGTCTATATGTTTATGTTTCCATTTTTTTCTTTGTTCATAACTTCATTTTTTTTTTTTCCATAAATATAAAGATATAGTTATACAACCACCATATTAATAAACTCATATTTTATCACATACTTCATTTTATTTTTTTAGTTCTTACAATGATAATAGATAATGATTTTCTCCATCTTTCATTTAACTTGGGTTATTTTATATATTTATTTATATGTATGTGAGCCCGTGGGCCGGACTTTATGGGAGGGCTGGGCTGGGCTTTCTTGGGCTCAAACGGGTCAAGCCTGGCCCACCCAACAACTAGTCGAGTCGGCCCATGGCTCGTAACGGGCCAGGCCATGCTTTTTCTCGATCTGCCTGGCGAGCCCCCATCGCCCATGGGCTCGCAGGCCTAATGATGACCCCTATTTGTGGGCCTCATACTTCTCATTATTCAAAAAATACTTTGTGGCAATTTTTTTTCTAGCACTGTGGGTACAAGTCCTCCCACCTTGGATGGACCTTGTCCATATGTTTGTCCAAAGCACTTTGATCAATGATGACCTTTGCATGGTCATACCCATTCTTGTGCACACATAATCTGCATCTCTTGCGATTGTCTAGTGCCCTCAGCCCCTGCACATTAGGTGCGTGCTTATGACATTTAATTATGTGAGCTAGTTCTTCTTAAGGATCATAGCAGGAGAATTTATCGCAGTAGCTGCAGAAAATCGCATCCTCATAGGAATTCATATTGATTTTTCACCTTGGCACTAATATATTAAAGAAAGAAGCCATAACATAAAGCAAGATAAATTAATACAACCTAAACATGTGGATTTTAAGGCCATATAACAAAATTGAATAAAAAGGATCAGCATTCTTTCTCTTCTCTCTCTTATTTATTTATTTATTTATGAAATATAAAAAGAAGAAGAAAAACAAATCATCAAATAAGAGTTGGCTAAACATATAGTTCTTTTTTTAACTAGCCCTCTATTTACATTTGTATACATGTTTATGTCTCCTTTTTTTTCTTTGTTCATAACTCTCTTTTTTTTTTTTTTTTTTTTTTTTTTTAAATATAAAGATATAGTTATACAACCGCCATATTAATAAACTCATATTTTATCTCATACTTCATTTTTTTAGTTTTTACAATGATAATAGATAATGATTTTCTTCATCTTTCATTTAACTTAGGTTTTTTATATATATTTATTATTTAAGGTTTTTTAGGTTTTAGACATAAAAAAAATTTCACTTTTGGAAAAAGCCAAAACTTTTTCAAAAAAAACCGCTCAACTTTCAAATCAAAGACATGCAAATGTATTGGATTCCTTAGGAAATCTAAAAATAAATAAGGGCATTTTTGTCCATTTTTGCTTCTTTTAAAATTTTTCTCTCTCCTTTTGCTTTTTCTAAAATGTCCCATTTATTTATATGTAGGTGAGTCCATGGGCCGAGCTTTTATGGGCGGGCAGAGCCAAGTTTTCTTAGGCTCAAACGGGCCAAGCTTATGAGCTAGGCCGGGCTTTCTTGGGCTCAAACGGGCCAAGCCTATGGGCTGGGCTGGGCTTTAGACACCTAAGCTCAAGCCCGGCCCACTCAACAACGGGCCGGGGCGGCCCATGGCCCATAACAGGCAAGGGCCAGGCTTTTTCTCGATTTGCCGGACGGGCCCTCATCAGCCCATGGGCTTGCGGACCTAATGATGATCCCTAATTGAGAGTTCCATTCCTTTCTATCTAACAAAAATTGAAAAACATCACATTTCCTTAATCTTTTCACTGTTTAGAAATTCAATTAACTTGCTTTATGGATTTGTATTATATTCCTGTCACTGCTAAACTCCATCACGGTGATTCACCAATGGTTACTTTTTATTATTATTATTATTCATTCTTATAAACGCAAGGCATATTAGAAGGTGATTCCTATGCATAACGCTAGCCCTACATCAAGACAGCTCATAGATGACCTAATGTTTAACAAAATATATACTATATATTTGTACATCCACATATAAGAAGGGTGTGGGTTCTAACTTTTAATGTGTTCCCATTATAATAACTCTTGTATTTTGTTTAATAATATCCAAAAGAAAACTTCTCAACCAAATACATAAATGATTATAAATTAATGACCCTTCTGTGTTAAAAAGATCGGCTACCATGTTCAATTCTCTCTTCTTCTTTTTTTGAGAGAATAACGATAGTATTTTATTTGTTAAAGATGAGTAACAAGTACAAAAATCGGACTATATTGTTGGGGATTAGGTGAGTGTCTCTACACCATTGGACTCTATCATCAGGGTAACTGAATAGCCATACCCGCTCAACCGTAAAGCGGGAGCAGGAGCCTTATCTCCAGTAGAGTGCCCCCTATCCCCATCAGAACATACCCAAAAAAATTACAAGTTACAATCCGCAAATAAGAGATCAACTATAAAACCTGGGGTTTCCTCAAATCAAGTTAATGAAGTTCCAATATGAAGAACAAAGCGCGCTAATATTCGATTCTCTCTAAATGTGAGTTTGATATTTGAGAGAATTTCCCATCAGTTGCCAAATATCATCAGCTATGGAGTGCAAACTCTGGTAGATTCACACCCCTTTTTGGGTAAAGAACTAGTATAGACACCTAGAGCAAGTTCCGAGTTTAAATTTCATGTACCAAAATTATTGAATAAAATAATTTTTTTTATTTAAAGAAAAAACTCTCACGCTCAAATGTTGGTCCTCAAATGTGGCAACTACTGAAAGCATTATATTTAACCATTTATTCGAAATATATTTACAACCACTATTCCATGGATATATAAATGTGGGTGTGGGATGATAATGAGTTATGAGTCAGCCAGCACTTGCATGGGTCGCTCCAAATATAAGTCGAC